TATGTACTGTCGTTTTATACTTGGGAATTTGAAGCATTAGGGAATAGTTCTATTGGGTTCGATCAGCATAATTAATTTGCAAGGGGTTAACCTTACAATTTAGCTAAAAACATTTTGGGTGAAAATGGGTGAAAATGTGACAAAATAATTTTACAAGGGGTTAGCCTTTCTTTTTGAGTGAAAATGTGACAAAATAAATTTGCAAGGGGTTAGCCTTACATTTTGGGTGAAAATGTGACCAAATAAATTTGCCTTACATTTTGGGTGAAAATGAGACAAAATAAATTTGCAAGGGGTAAGCCTTACATTTTGAGTGAAAATGTGACAAAATAAATTTGCAAGGGGTTAGCCTTACATTTTGGGTGAAAATGTGACAAAATAAATGTGCAAGGGGTTAGCCTTACATTTTGAGTGAAAATGTGACAAAATAAATGTGCAAGGGGTTAGCCTTACATTTTGAGTGAAAATGTGAGAAAATAAATTTGCAAGGGGTAAGCCTTACATTTTGAGTGAAAATGTGAGAAAATAAATTTGCAAGTGGTTAGCCTTATATTTTTGGTGAAAATGAGACAAAATAAATTTGCAAGGGGTTAGCCTTACATTTTGGGTGAAAATGTGACAAAATAAATTTGCAAGTAGTTAGCCTTACATTTTGGGTGAAAAAGTGACAAAATAAATTTGCAAGTGGTTAGCCTTACATTTTGGGTGAAAATGTGACAAAATAAATTTGCAAGTGGTTAGCCTTACATTTTGGGTGAAAATGTGACAAAGTAAATGTGCAAAGGGTAAGCCTTACATTTTGAGTGAAAATGTGACAAAATAAATTTGCAAGGGGTTAGCCTTACATTTTGGGTGAAAATGTGAGAAAATAAATTTGCAAGGGGTTAGCCTTACATTTTGGATGAAAATGTGACAAAATAAATCTGCAAGGGGTTAGCCTTACATTTTGGGTGAAAATGTGACAAAATATATTTGCAAGGGGTTAACCTTACATTTTGGGTGAAAATGTGACGAAATAAATTTGCAAGGGGTTAGCCTTACATTTTGAGTGAAAATGTGACAAAATAAATTTGCAAGGGGTAAGCCTTATATTTTGAGTGAAAATGTGACAAAATACATTTGCAAGGGGTTAACCTTACATTTTGGGTGAAAATGTCAGAAAATAAATTTGCAAGTGGTTAGCCTTACATTTTGGGTGAAAATGTGACGAAATAAATTTGCAAGGGGTTAGCCTTACATTTTGAGTGAAAATGTGACAAAACAAATTTGCAAGGGGTTAGCCTTATATTTTGAGTGAAAATGTGACAAAATACATTTGCAAGGGGTTAAACTTACATTTTGGGTGAAAATGTGATAAAATAAATTTGCAAGGGGTTAGCCTTACATTTTGGGTGAAAATGTGACAAAATAAATTTGCAAGGGGTAAGCCTTACATTTTGAGTGAAAATGTGACAAAATAAATTTGCAAGGGGTAAGCCTTACATTTTGAGTGAAAATGTGACAAAATAAATTTGCAAGGGGTAAGCCTTACATTTTGAGTGAAAATGTGAGAAAATAAATTTGCAAGTGGTTAGCCTTATATTTTTGGTGAAAATGAGACAAAATAAATTTGCAAGGGGTTAGCCTTACATTTTGGGTGAAAATGTGACAAAATACATTTGCAAGGGGTTAACCTTACATTTTGGGTGAAAATGTGATAAAATAAATTTGCAAGGGGTTAGCCTTACATTTTGGGTGAAAATGTGACGAAATAAATTTGCAAGGGGTTAGCCTTACATTTTGAGTGAAAATGTGACAAAATACATTTGCAAGGGGTTAACCTTACATTTTGGGTGAAAATGTGATAAAATAAATTTGCAAGGGGTTAGCCTTACATTTTGGGTGAAAATGTGACAAAATAAATTTGCAAGGGGTAAGCCTTACATTTTGAGTGAAAATGTGACAAAATAAATTGGCAAGGGGTTAGCCTTACATTTTGGGTGAAAATGTGACAAAATAAGTTTGCAAGGGGTTAGCCTTACATTTTGGGTGAAAATGTGACAAAATAAATTTGCAAGGGGTAAGCCTTACATTTTGAGTGAAAATTTGACAAAATAAATTTGCAAGGGGTTAGCCTGACATTTTGAATGAAAATGTGACAAAATAAATTTGCAAGGGGTAAGCTTTACATTTTGGGTGAAAATGTGACAAAATAAATGTGCAAGGGGTAAGCCTTACATTTTGGGTGAAAATGTGACAAAATACATTTGCAAGGGGTTAACCTTACATTTTGGGTGAAAATGTGATAAAATAAATTTGCAAGGGGTTAGCCTTACATTTTGGGTGAAAATGTGACGAAATAAATTTGCAAGGGGTTAACCTTACATTTTGGGTGAAAAAGTGACAAAATAAATGTGCAAGGGGTAAGCCTTACATTTTGGGTGAAAATGTGACAAAATACATTTGCAAGGGGTTAACCTTACATTTTGGGTGAAAATGTGATAAAATAAATTTGCAAGGGGTTAGCCTTACATTTTGGGTGAAAATGTGACGAAATAAATTTGCAAGGGGTTAGCCTTACATTTTGAGTGAAAATGTGACAAAATACATTTGCAAGGGGTTAACCTTACATTTTGGGTGAAAATGTGATAAAATAAATTTGCAAGGGGTTAGCCTTACATTTTGGGTGAAAATGTGACAAAATAAATTTGCAAGGGGTAAGCCTTACATTTTGAGTGAAAATGTGACAAAATAAATTGGCAAGGGGTTAGCCTTACATTTTGGGTGAAAATGTGACAAAATAAGTTTGCAAGGGGTTAGCCTTACATTTTGGGTGAAAATGTGACAAAATAAATTTGCAAGGGGTAAGCCTTACATTTTGAGTGAAAATTTGACAAAATAAATTTGCAAGGGGTTAGCCTGACATTTTGAATGAAAATGTGACAAAATTAATTTGCAAGGGGTAAGCTTTACATTTTGGGTGAAAATGTGACAAAATAAATTTGCAAGGGGTTAGCCTTACATTTTGTGTGAAAATGTGACAAAATAAATGTGCAAGGGGTTAGCCTTACATTTTGAGTGAAAATGTGAGAAAAATAAATTTGCAAGGGGTTAGCCTTACATTTTGAGTGAAAATGTGACAAAATAAATTTGCAAGGGGTTAGCCTTACATTTTGAGTGAAAATGTGATAAAATAAATTTGCAAGGGGTTAGCCTTACATTTTGGGTGAAAATGTGACAAAATAAGTTTGCAAGGGGTTAGCCTTACATTTTGGGTGAAAATGTGACAAAATAAATTTGCAAGGGGTAAGCCTTACATTTTGGGTGAAAATTTGACAAAATAAATTTGCAAGGGGTTAGCCTTACATTTTTAGTGAAAATGTGACAAAATAAATTGGCAAGGGGTAACCTTAAATTTGGCATACAACAATTGACCAAATTAACTGGCATAAGGGGTTAACCTTACATTTTGATAAAAATGATACAATCTTTAACACATTTTACATTTTTTTTATCATTTAATTAATGCTTACTTTATTACTGCCGTATCATTTATAGTATTGCGAGACAAAACACTGCAGGACTCTAGTTTTAAATTAGCAACATTTTTTTAAAAGTTGATTCTAGATTATTATAAAATTCATTCAACTGTGAGGGCGCTATTTACATTCATGATACACACGTCTTGGCGTTGAGGGCGCTTTTCTGTTGAATAATATGAAACAGTGAAACTGCCTGAAATTTGTGGTACAATATTAGTCACTGGTGGCAAGGTGTTTCATAGCGCTATGCCAATAACAATAAACAGCGCCCTCTTTTGACTAAGACAAGCCAATGGCAGGCCTGGTTCATCAGATCTGATATTTTGAAGCAAGTGTTTTTAACAGATGTGTCATTTGCTCAAGTACTTCATTTACTAAGTGCATGCCAGCTTATCTTACACAAAAAAAAAAAACAATAGTAGCACGCCACTTCTTGTACCATATCTCGCACACACGCCATCATGGACAATCGTTTCAAACATTCAAACATTTCTTCCAACTTATGTACACTGTCATGAAATAACTGAAAAGCAGACTCAATACTTTAAAATAAAAGTATTTAAATCACAATTAGCATTTTATCCCTTGGAAATTTCCTTTTCTCCTTGGATGTTGCTGTTTTTTCATGATATTTAAAAGTTGCTTTTAGACACTCACTGACAAATGTCCTAAATTTTGCAGTCCGAATTGAGAGCGAAATTCCAAACTCTGACAGTCTTTATTAAACATGCTACAGCCTACAGTCAACTTGCAATATGAGCTCCATTCTTTTGCCTTTTTTTGATTCCAAAACGCCGCCACATCTGTCTATAATAAAACTACTTTACTACAGAATCTGTTATAAGGAAAAAAAACTGGCATAACCTTAAAAATTGTAAAAATACTTAATTTAGGTTAAATGTGATACCTATCATAACGCTACTCTATTTGCACGAAGCGTCGACCAGGCAAAGACCCTTGTCGCAAAGATTCCCCAGAGAGCGCTTTAAACCAAAAACAACGCCCTCTAGTGTTGACGACTTTACGTCAGATGCCAATAAAACCTGGTAGACGTTCACAAATAAGCAATTGCACAGCAATGTAAAAAAAATGTATACTTTTTTTTCTGCAGCTTTCGAGCAACAAGTTCCACAAATATATTTTAAGTTTTAAGATATTTGTTTCAAATTTTTAAGTCACCGATTTAATTTTTCATGCTATAAGAAAGACGGGTCAGCTATTACTTTGTACGGAACAAACACTTTGCGTAACAATAATTGAGACTTTGTACAAGAAAAGGGCGGTGTGTTGCAGAGCCCATTAGATATTGCTCAGCTGAAATCGGTTACCAGCCAAAAAATTTCATATGCTGTTTATTTCTTGTTACTGGTACCCCGCTGATATTCGCTTGACAAGAACATTTGAATTTATGCCAAAGTTCGGTTATGACCTCGGCTTTCATGATCTAATTAAAAATGACCAAAAAAAATTTGCGTTCGAGGATTTTTCCTACTCCACCGATTTGAGTAGCTCCTCTATGTTCACGGGCTCGCCTTCTTCTAAGACAACTTGGAGGGAGCAGGACGTCTCGCATTCGCCGTGAGCGTTCTTGGCCTTGAAGGTGTACTGGCCCGTGTCGGTGGACAGGGCCATGGGGATCTCGAGGCGATACTCGTCGGCCTCGGCCGAGATGGTGAAACGGCCGCCATCCTCCAGCGCTCGGTCGTCTTTGAGCCAGAAGACTGTAGATGGGTTGGGGAAAAAAACAGACGAGGATTAGAAAAACTTGTCGATAAGGACTCTTGACCGAGAAAAAAATAAAAAAATAAAAAACAGAAAAGAAAAGAGGTCTGAAGTCATATTTGCTCTTAATTTAATACCGATTTAACAAAATGGGCGTCTGCAGGGGTGTCAATGGGGTGGGGTGGGCAAATTTCCCCCCGCCCACCCTTGAAAAAATCCTGGCGACGCCCATGACAGAGTCTGTAACACTTCACCAGACTTTTGGTATCACACTTTTGCAATTAATCTTGTACATTATGGATGCGTTCGAGTAGCTCACCCGGATCGACTCGGGTTAGCCACGACAGCCAGGCTAATCAAATGCTAAACCGCGGGCCATCACGATCCTCACGTGACGCCCGTAGCCGCGACCGTGGCCACTGATAAAACGCCCGTTTATTTTGGATCTTAGTTTGAGATTTACCGCTTTTCAGTCAATTGCAAAACTCTAAAAAAAATGGACTGGACTTATAGCCTCAAAAGTCGCAATGAACTCAAATAAATTATTACCTTTAGACTTCAAATAAAGTAAATTTTTAAGTCCACTTGACATTTCCGCTGTCCGGCTACCAGATTTGTCCATTTCTTGGAATGAACAACACATGCGCGTGGCGTGTTTCCACCAGTGACTCTGCTCCACGAGCAGGGTCTGTGGTGGCTAAAACCCCGGTGAGCCCTGAGCATGACGTCAGAGCTAATCGAACGGCACAGGTCTGACCCGTGTCGATCCGGATGATCTTAACGAACGCACCCTTTCATTCAACTGCCAGTGAACTAAAGCTCCTTGATTGAACTTGCTCCTGGTTGAACAAAAAAGCAAAATTGGTGACCTTTCAGACTGGGCTTACCTTCCTCGGCTGCCTCCATCAGTTTGCAGTAGAATTTGGCACCCATTCCTTCCTCGACGCTTACAGACGATGGCTGGACAACCATGATGGGGCCTTTGTAGCCCTCGGGCACAGCTGCAAAAAAGATAGAAAGCAGAACTATTGGAAACAGACTGATAAAGAAAATGGGTGAAGGGGAATCGGATGGGCGACAAGCATGGCTATTCGACATCAAGACTACTCAATGGGCAGCCTGAAAGTCAATTGACTAGTAAAACAGGTTCGACTAGGCAGCCAAGGGCTAGCAAATTATGGAGTCAGACAAACGATCAACTCGCCAGCATTTTAGTCAGAATATAAGCAAGCCAGTCAGCCAGCCAGCCAGCAAGCCAACCAGCCAGCAAGTCAGCAAACCAGCCAGCCTGTCAGCTGACTTGCCATCAAGCAAGCCAGCTAGCCAGCCAACCAACCTCTATAAGCCAACCAACCAGCCAGCCAGCCAGCCAGCCTGCAAGCCAACCAGCCAGCAAGTTAGTCAACCAGCCTGTCAGCTGACTGGCCATCAAGCAAGCCAGCAAGCCACCCAGCCAACTGAATTCTGAGCCATACAGCCAGCCAGCCAGCCATCCAGGGAGCAAGCCAGCCAGCTAGTCAACTGACCAGTCAGCATGCCAACTAGCCAACCTGTCAGCCAACCAGCCAGCCTATCAGCCAACAAGCCAACAAGCCAACAAGCCAGCCAGCCAACCAGCCAGCTAGCTAGCCAGCCAGCAATTCAGCCGACCAGCCAGCCAGCAAGTAAGCCAGTCATCCAGCACAATCCAAACAGCCAGCCAGCCAGCCAGCCATCCAACACAAACCAACCAGCCAACCAACCAGCCAGTCCGGCCCCAACCAAAGTCCCCCCTTTGAACTCACCAGGTGCCTCCTCTTCCACAGCGGGCATTTCCTCCACCTGGGCAGCATCCTCCTGTGCCACAGCTGGCTCCTCAACCACGCCCACCTCCTCGACCACACCCGCCTCCTCGACCTCCTCCTCCTCCTTTGCACCTTCCAAGTCAACCTCGATCGCCTGTCTAGCGCCGACATCGATTCGTGCCTGGCTCTCCTCTTCCCTGGCCGAGTCAACGGAGCCGCTCTGCCCTACGTGGATCTCCTCACGTCTCTCTCTACGTGTTTCTCTTCTTGTGTGCACACCGCCCTCTTCTGATTCTGTAAAAAAAAAGGGGAAAGCGGGAAAAAAACTAACAAATCGTCACTATTTCAATCTTACACAACATCTTGTTTGACAGAAACTCAAATGCAGTGCCAAGAAATCACCTACACCCATGCAGGTACACTATGGGTTCGGGGGTTGCAGGCCAGTAAATAGGCCCGCAATTGCCTACGCCGGCCTAATCACGATTTGCATGCCCCCAAATTTTCTGTTATCAGAGCCTTGTGTGGGCCATGCACTTGAGGGTTTGTAGAAGAGAAGGGTAGGAGCCGTGAACAGGAATGCAAGCTTGTATTTCTGTAAAATTTGATGAAATCGGGCCCTTAAATGGCTCTATTTTGCAATGGAGCGTAGGCATCATTTTTCAAAATGGCGATGGGCTGCAGGACTACTTTTCGGTTGGAGATTTCTTCAAAAAGTCATTGGATTACTTCCCAAAAAAGGGGAAAAAATTTAAAGGTGATGAAATAAGCTTTAATTTGATGTATGTCTCAAACACCTTGGAGAGTTGTTAGTATTTTCCCAATAAGCCATTTGCAAAAAAAATTTGTGTAACATCTGGTAACTGACTTGCTCGAATGATTGGCACATTTTAACTTTGAATTCTCCAGACCAAAGAAACTGTAGCTATATCACGTGATTCGGGGCAAGCCTTACGCTAGCAACCCCCAGCTCCGGAATGGTCTGGTGTCTCTGTGCCATTCTCATCCATTGTGAGCAATATATTGGTGCTGAGCGTCTCTTACGTAACTATGCAAGAGCTGGCCCCAAATCATGTGATATAGCAACAGTGTCTTTGGTCTGGAGAATTCAAAGTTAAAACGTGCCAAGCATTCTGAGCAAGTCAGTGTACCAGATGTTATTCAAATTTAACTCGCAAAGGGTATAGGTTATTCGCATATGCCTTATTGGGGTCTATGGCAGTTTATTTACTGGTCTGCAACCTGAGAAGATTCAGACGAACGTGCAATCAGACTATTGGAGGCGCTATTCAAAGCCAAATAATCTTTGACATTTTCAGACAATAGGTGGTGCTCTTCGTCTCAATATTCCTCAACAAATGAGTCTTTCCTTTTTTTTCGTCTGACCTGTGACTTCTTCCGAGACGCTCTCTTTCTTCTGTCGGTACTCCCGGAAGCCTTGCTGGATGGTCCGTGCTGCCGAAGAGGTGTCGTCCTCTGTCATGTCCTCTCGTCGCCTGGATTTGCGGGTGGTGGTGCTGCTGTACTCTGTGCTGCTGGCTTTCTGGCCTCGCTTGGCACGATCTGGGGACAAACAAAAAGTGACCCCACCAAACAAAAATGAATTACAACTCAAGCTGCCTTCAAGCAATAGACTTTTAGTTTTAACAGAATCTTACTCAAGGCAACACTTCCATCCATATTTATGTCTGTACGTAACGGTATAAATATGTGAAATTTGAAGGGATGGTCAATTTTTTGTTTTCAGGTGAACCTCAATCAGTAAGTCCTGTTTTACCTTGCTCCATTTTTTGTTGTTCTGTCAAACAACTTTAAAACCTATTTCATCCCGTTTTATTATGCTGATTGTTCATTCACTGTCACAACTGCAGGATTTTGAACTGCCAATCTTCTCAAGAATCATTTTACAACTTCAAGTATTAAAATTGGTGGTCTATATTTGCGTCACTGAACTCAGTACCCCTTCATGTGGTATACCATTGGAATGCTCATGTTCTGCAGAATCCAGATATATAAATATCTCCATTCTTAAAAAGTCCGACTCTAAGTTCATTTTGCGATGACAGGTCACAAATAAAGATGTGATATATAAAGATGTGATATATAAAGATGTGATATATAAAGATTTGATATATATTAAGATGTGATAAGAAAGATGTGATAACCAAAAGGTGATATATAAAAATGAAGAGTGAATTATTTGCTTCCTAATGCTTGTAAAATAACAGATCGACAATGCATTGTGCTTCAGTAGAAATCACACCAGTTTCGTTGCTGTGCATGCCCATACTGTTACCCCCGATCAGCAGGCCTAGCCTCACCCTCCACACTGATAATGCACTCCGTCTCGTCGGTGCCCATGGAGTTCTCCGAGATGCAAGCGAAACGTCCGCTGGTCTCTGCCGTGACCCGGTCGATCTCCAGGACCGCCATGCGGTACGAGTACTCCTGCTTGAAGTCTGGGTGGGTCTTGGGGATGACCTCGCCGTTACGCATCCAGGTCACCTGGAGGGAAACAAAAATCAAAAGTACAGGAGATTTCATGCTAGACTTTGTGTAAACTCTAGGCACAAGTACCCCCTCAACGGTTACAACGAGAAAGTTGGGGGAGACCACTGGCAGGGATTTTTGAGTACACCTGCTGACGGCGTGTGATACTCAAAACCAAGCTCAGTGGTCGAGTGGTTAAGATGTCTACACGAGTAATAAGGAGGTTGTGGGTTCGAGTCCCACCCCAGCAAGCTTTTGAGTTTTTTCTACCACGCTCCTTGACAGCACTCAGTAAATATGTAACTCAAAAAAGTTGTAAGTCAATTTTATAATTTGAAAAATAAACCGCTGTCACAACCAAAGAAGTTCTGCTTAAGTGACAAGTTGGGGACAGAGTTGTAGTTGAGGTCCTCACAAGTCCTTACAAGACCACACAAGTCCTCACAAGTCAACCACAAGTCCTCACAAGTCCACCAAGTCCTAACAAGTCCCAACAAGTCCTAACAAGTCCCCACAAGTCCACCAAATACTCACAAGTCTCCACACGTCCTCACAAGTCTTCACAAGTCCTCATAAGTCCACACAAGTCCTCCCAAGTCCTCCCAAGTCCATACAAGACCTCACAAGTCCTCACAAGTCCCCACAAGTCCATCACAATTCCCAAGTCATCAAAAGTCCCCACAAGTCCTCATAAGACCACACAAGTCCATCACAAGCCATCGTAAGTTTACACAAGTCCACATAAGCCCTTGCAAGTCCTTAACAAGTCCATCACAAGTCCTCACAAGTCCCTCAAATGACAATCACAAGTCCCCCAGTCACAAGTCAAGTCACGAGCGATTCACATGACCCGAGACGAGCTACTCCTTGTCATTGTTCATCCGCCGTTACTTTCGACGGAACTTGTGAAAGGTATTGTGATGAACTCTATGAACTCGACTACAAAACTGGTACGGGACTATATACCTTGGGTTCTGGGTAACCGGCGGCTATACAGCTGAGTCGTACGCTGCTCCCCTCTTGGATGGTACGTGACCGCAGACGGAATGTGAAGGCCGGTTTGGAGTCTGGGCGGGGCGGGGGCAGCTGCTCTACTTTTCTGCAACAAATTATCAAAATAATATTGAAGAACATTGTAATCACATACTATTACCCCCTATGGACAGGCTAATTAATTCAGAATCTATCAACTCTATTATCATCTATTAGGCCAAAAAAAAAAAAAGTCGGTCTCTGGTCAGCGCGCGCGTCGATTTTAATCATGCGCGTCGATCTTTTTTTTCCCCAAAATGTTCCGCGGTAGCTCCAACAGCGCCCTCTATTTCCGCACCTCCTCAATTTTTTTTACCAAAGAGCACCAAAGAATGGGAAATTGCACCAAGGCAAATGATCGAAAGCACCAAGGCAAATTATGGAGGACACCAATGTACATGAGGACACCAAAAAAGCAAAAAAGTACCCCACCTTGTCTGTACAATCCAAGCTAGAAGAAAAAAAAAAAAAAGCAAAAAAAAAAAAAAAAAAAGCCGCGTGGCCGCGTCAATTCCGGAACTTTGGTCTGACCAGAGACCGAATATTTTTTTTTTTGGCCTTAGCTGTTTTTTTTTATAACTGGACCATAAGCACACACATTTTTAATTTAGTACAAAGTCTGCATTTACATTTTTGCATATTGGTGGAAATTCCAGTTGAAAACAGGTCAACTGGTTTCAACTGGTACCGGTTAAACTGGGAATTGGTGACTGGTTGTGACTGGTTTTGACTAGTTTGAACTGGTTCTGAACTGGTTTTGAACTAGTTTTGAACTGGTAAAAGTTGTTATGGACCAGTTAAACCAGTTCAAACTAGTTGAACTGGAATTTTCTTCTGGGTAGTACCGTGTCTATGAAATGTTAACTTATTATTAACAAAGTATTCGTACATACAGTTTATTTAAAGATTTGTTATTTACCTTATCTTCTTTTCTTCACGCCTCTTCATGGGATCGGCTACAAAATTGAAAAATAATATTAAAATATGGTAATCACATTTGCAGACTATAATTTACTCATTGTTTTCCTGTTTTGTTACGGAAAAAAATCTGTTAAAGAATGGACTTTTCTTTTTCAAAAGATGGTTTCTACTTTAAGGTGTTACAGCAAAAAAATGGAGTTCTGTCCTTTTAGAAATGTGACCAAAAAGAATTTGTTCTCAACATATAATTATTCAAATAGTCAAGTTATTAATATTATCTAAAAAATCGAACTATACCATTTTACAGTCAACCGTTTTGAGATATTTTTGGACGCAAAATGAGGGCGCTTTTTAGTTTGGGTAAATATTAAAGAGTTTACCCAAACCAAATAGCGCCCCCTATTGACCCCCTACTGAGCCATATATGTAAAAAAGCTACATGATTTGAGTCTTTTTGGAAGAGTTGTCAGTTTGTGATTGGCTTGTGATGACTTATGATCAGCTTATGATGACTTGTGATCAACATACGATTTTATTTATGATGATCTGTGACTATCTCAGTCCGACTCACGTTCGACAGAAAGATGCGACTCCTTGGTCAGTTCACCGTAGGAGTTGACCGCCTTGACCATATACTGGCCGGCTTCTTCCACCTGGCAACGTGCGATGACCAACCCGTAGTTCACGTCATCGTATTTGGACTTGTACTTGAGGCTCTGCTTCAGCTCCTTGTTGTCCTTCCACCTGAAATGAAAACATCAACTACGTGTGACATGAAATTCCCCCAAAAATGTGCAATAAACTTCAATCAAATTTTAAAAAAATAAAAAGAAAACCAATTTTTAGATGGAATGTTCCGTTGGGGTGATGACAATTTTAAAATTCAATTTTATCCTTCATCAAAGTATTTTTTTAATAAACACTGTATACTCAAAAGCTTTGAGAAAAAATATCCACAAGCTGACTTGGTCGAGACTTGAACCAACGACCTCCCACTTGCTAGTGCAGATGTCTTACCACTCGACCAGCAAGTTTGCCAAGGTTGGCTAGCCGGTTCGAATCTGATAAGGCTACAATCAATTTCATTTTCATTTTTCACGTATTGTTTTTGCTTCAATAGATGATGTCTCACTGCAGAAGCTTACAAAACTGATTTTTTTAAAATCAGGGGTGGAGGAATGGGGGGGGCAACTCACCAAGTTACGACAGGCTGTGAGGGCGCTGCAATAACACACTTGAACACGGCGTCGCGATCCTCCATGGCAATTGAGTCGATGGGACGGCGAACAAAGCGTGGACGCGCTTCCTTCCGTGCTAAACAAAAAAGAAAGAAAAGCAAATCAGAATTAATACAAAACTGTTCTCTATTTCTTAGTATAAAGATTTACACTGACACAGGTGCAACGACTCTAAGTAAACTACCACAAACACACGATCTCAGACTTACACATTGCGACTTCGATGATGAAGTCGCCCTCTAGTGGCCTGCGTCTCCGGTGTGCGCTGGTGTTGGATAGCCGTCCAATGCCAAGCGTCTGGGTACCGATCTTTGAAGGAAATAATAAAATCATGTCAGTCGTTTGTAAAACTATGATTCCGCTTCACCCTCTGCCTCTGGCTTACATTCTTGCTGTGGGAAAGCTCCGACTAGATCTGATTTTCATTTACCATCTACTGTTTTTGCACTGTGTCCATAACCAAGCCACCATTGGTTTTTTTTACTTTGGGCTGGATCAGCACACAGAGGAAGACTCTTGGCAAGAATTTCTAGGGAGCTGAAGGTTTTCACCTACCCTCCATCCTGGTCTCTCTAGCAGCATCTTGTGACGGTCGGTAGGGATGCGATTCTTGGCCCATTTGCCTGGCTCCTTCAACCATGGGTGCTCCAGGGCCTCATAAGCTGGCATGCGCTTCCTGAAACATCATTGAGAAAAAGAAAAAGAGGATGTGTTATTTCCAATCGTCCGAATCGGCCACGTCCAAAATTACTTCGCTACAACTGACAGAAACACACATGTTCCTGGTGATCCTTTAGTCTGAGGACTTGGAACAATGGGTTACCTGTGTTAACAATATAAACCAAATGACCAAAGCCCAACTTCTTGGAAACTTTTTGTGTACAAACCTTATGGAACATGTCAAGAAAAGTTTGACTTTTCTAAATGACCTGTCATATACATGTCATATGATTTGTCAGATGGCTTATCATATGAGTTGTAATATGACTTAAAATATGACATGTATTATGACTAGTGATTTGACTAACATGACATGAAATATGACTTGTTATATGACTTGTAATATGACATGAAATAAGACTTTAAACATGTTTCTAATTCGACTTGTAATATGACATGTAATATGACTTTACGAAATTGTATAATGACATGAAATATAGCTTTAAACATGACTTACAATATGACTCATAATCTGACTTGTAATATGACAAATAATATGGCTTGTAATATGACACAGAAATATGACATATAATATGATGTTTAATATGACTCATAACAGACTTATGAAGGCTTGTAACCGACTTTTGAAGACTTGTAAGGAGTGAAACTGTGAAAACAGCATGTAAATGTTACTTACTCTGTGTCTACAACGAGCAGTTGGCTGATGAAATCCTTAGCATCGTCAGAAATGCCGCGGAACGCTCCTTGGTCAAAATCCCAACGACCCCGTCGGATCTTGTCCGAGTCGTGGTCAAATGGATGTATACCACTCAGCCTGTGGCATAAAAACAGAAGAACTGATTCCAACTTGGCTGATTTAGACAACCTCCTGATGTGAAGCCGAGGGTGGTACTCAAACAGCCAAACCAACCTGCCTGTTACTCCCTGTAATGCCCGCGAAAACGCCTGAACACTACAGCCTGTCCCCCCCCCAAAAAAAAAAAAGCTGCAAAAAAAAAAGCTGTAAGCAGAAACGGGCTCTGTGTCCTTGGAATATTGAAAAATGTTTCATGATGCCTATTGAGATATTCAGCTTTAAAATGTTATTTGTTTTATCAATTTTGCTTTTACCAAACCAGAGATATGGTCCGTTGAACATAAACACTCAAAAATCAATTTGTGCCACTTTCCGTAAGTTGACACTATAAACAGCAGTGCTGTCAGTATTATACACATGTATGATCGTGCAGAAAAACAATTAGTAATGAATAGGCGATGAAACACTTTTGATATTCATATCATAATGTTCTTTTCATTATTTGTAACTCACTTTCCAAATCATTATAATAGAAACATTTCTTCTGGAATTGCGAACCTCAATTGAAGTTGGATTTGAACAGGTGCCATGTCTTGTCATGTCCTAACAATGTAGAAAGTGGCCTAACAATGTAGAAAGTGGCAAAAATTGATTTTTGAGTGTTTGTGTTCAACAGACCATATCTCCGGTTCGGCAAAAGCAAAATTGATAAACCAAATAGCATTTGAAAGCTGAATATCCCAGGTTTAACATTATATAAGCATTATGAAATATTGTTCAATATTCCAAGGACACAGAGACCGTTTCTGCTTGCAGCCTTTTTGGCAGGAAAGGCTGTATATGGTTTTATAAATTCTTCAGGGAATAAATATAATACAATGTGGCACAAGTGCTAAGGGTTAAATAATCCTACAGCCCACTCACAGCATGTATACGATGACTCCCACAGTCCACATATCTGTGGAGAAGCCCACCGCGTCGCCGTTGATCAGCTCGGGCGAGGAGTACTCCGATGAGCCAGAGACCACCTTGACCCGCTCCTCCGGGTCCAGCTTGGTTGCCATGCCTAGGTCGATGAGGCGGATGTTGTTGCCTCGCTTGGTCTCGTAGATGATGCTCTGGGGCTGTTTGCGGGAGGAAAGACCAATTTTCGTTGTTGACAGGATTGTGATGGCTTAAGGGTGAGTATATTAATTGGCCTGATTTTGTTGTTGAAAAATTATTAAAAGTTTAACAAAGTGGATAGGACAATTTGAGAACTTTGAGGATACACGATGTGAGGTAACAAGCACAGGTTTTAGGTCAGAATGTCCAGACCATCATCAGGTCCTGGTTCTTTCCAGAACTACACGTCTATTTAGAGTTGGTAACTTGGACCTACTTGAGTCTCCATCTAGGCCTTGCAATTGAGCTACCATGAGACGAGGGCCATCTTTTGGTTCTTAACTCTAGGATATGTAGTGAGGCTCCTTAGTTGTGATTCTTGAGGTATCAGACTGTTCTTTTCCTCTTAAAGTCACTGTGTAGAGGGCACAACTTCAGGTCTCAGCGATTGTCGAACCATAAAATCTAAGTCTAGGACCTAGGTCTTGATATTAAAGTCTAGTTTGAAATTAAAGTCTAGGTGCCTAGGTCACTAGTAGTGCGGCAGATAGGTGATGGGATTGCGCCTTTCACGATGCAAGCATGGCATTTGGTACACAGTCAGAGTATGTCGTGATGTATGTCATGGCCATCGCAGATTTGTCATTTGAAAAAAATATAGGTAGAATAACAAGAAATGACGGCCATTTTGAAAATTTTGAAAATTGCTTGTTATTCTACCTACATTTTTCAAATGACAAATCTGCGATGGCCCTATAGCCAAATATTTTTCTGAAGACAAACTCTGACTGTGTGCCAAATGCCATGCTTGTATCATCAAAGGCACAATTCCCCCAAAGATTTCCCCTAACTGCCCCACTATTGAGGTCTTAGTCATAGCAACCTTGAGGTCTCAGCCAATTTGGGCTTACCTCTAGGTCTGATTTTGGGTCTTATCTTTAGGCCTCAGTTTAGGTGTTAACTTGAGGTATCATTTTAGGGGCCTACCTTGAGGTCCAGGTGCATGTAGTTCCTGAGGTGCAGGTAGTTGAGACCCTCACAGGTCTCAGTTTAGGTGCTAACTTTATAGGTCTCATTTTAGGGGCCTACCTTGAGGTGCGGGTGCATGTAGTTCCTGAGGTGTAGGTAGTTGAGACCCTCACAGGTCTCAGTTTAGGTGCTAAGTTTATAGGTCTCATTTTAAGGGCATACCTTGAGGTCCAGGTGCATGTAGTTCCTGAGGTGTAGGTAGTTGAGACCCTCACAGGTCTCAGTTTAGGTGCTAAGTTTATAGGTCTCATTTTAAGGGCATACCTTGAGGTCCAGGTGCATGTAGTTCCTGAGGTGTAGATAGTTGAGACCCTCACAGGTCTCAGTTGAGGTGCTAACTTTATAGGTCTCATTTTAGGGGCATACCTTGAGGTCCAGGTGCATGTAGTTCCTGAGGTGTAGGTAGTTGAGACCCTCACAGGTCTCAGTTGAGGTGCTAACTTTATAGGTCTCATTTAAGGGCCTACCTTGAGGTGCGGGTGCATGAAGTTCCTGAGGTGTAGGTAGTTGAGACCCTCAAAGGTCTCAGTTCAGGTGCTAACTTTATAGGTCTCATTTTAGGGGCCTACCTTGAGGTGCGGGTGCATGTAGGCACTGAGGTGCATGTAGGCACTGAGGTGTTGGTAGTTGAGACCCTCAAAGGTCTCAGTTTAGGTGGTAATTTTATAGGTCTCATTTAAGGGCCTACTTTGAGGTGCGGGTGCATGTAGGCACTGAGGTGCATGAAGTTCCTGAGGTGTAGGTAGTTGAGGCCCTCAAAGGTCTCAGTTTAGGTGTTAACTTTATAGGTCTCATTTTAGGGGCCTACCTTGAGGTGCGGGTGCATGTAGGCACTGAGGTGCATGTAGGCACTGAGGTGTTGGTAGTTGAGACCCTCAAAGGTCTCAGTTTAGGTGGTAATTTTATAGGTCTCATTTAAGGGCCTACTTTGAGGTGCGGGTGCATGTAGGCACTGAGGTGCATGAAGTTCCTGAGGTGTAGGTAGTTGAGGCCCTCAAAGGTCTCAGTTTAGGTACTAACTTTATAGGTCTCATTTCAGGGGCCTACCTTGAGGTCCAGGTGCATGTAGTTCCTGAGGTGTAGGTAGTTGAGACCCTCACAGACCTGCCTGGTGAGGCGCGCAACCTCCTCCTCTGTCAGGTGGTCCCGGTCCTTGATGCGGTCAAAGGGATCGCCTCCGCTCAAACTGCCAAAAAAATGAGATGATAGTCATTGAAATTAGTAGGCGACATGTTGCTGAAGTTGTGCAACAGTCATACTCTTATGGAGCACGTCTCACTACACAGAACAATGGGCTCTGTGTAAAAGTACTTCTTCAACGGCCAGAAAAGGAGAGTTGGGGGAGACCTAGACTGGTTACCGGACCATCCACTGCGTATTTCGAATGATCCAAAGTTATTGGGTGCGGGGATTAGTCTGGGAGACCATCGCAAGTTTTATTTGAACGTATTCGCACTCACACGAAGACGCTGTGGCTAATAGCTTTGGCACATTCAGGAAGTCGTTCATACAGTACAGTACGCACATGCTGTGTGTCCCCTTCATGGAGCGTTCAAAAGAGGTAAAAATGCACCCTCTTTTGTTGGCGCACAGAGCCCATAAGTGATCACAGTCACATATGAGGCTGCAAGTCCAAATAAGATAAAAAGGACCAGATATCACATGACTCAAATTTCTGGTAGAGCCAGACCAAGATTTTGGTATGATAAGAATTTGTAAGAATTGGTTTATGATGTGATGGTTCACATGATGACAGTTGATGGTATTTGACTGAGTTTAGACATTTATTTCAAAGCGACCTAAAATTTTGAGCTATGTACAAAGGGACACTGATGTCAACTGCTACAGCAAGAAAGCCTTAGCGATATCATACCCGATTCAGAAAGGGCTTTTATCAACAATGTATGAGTCTGGTGCCAATACTGTACACAATTAATGTTCCAATTGTCAAGTCCAGGATCATGATCATCTGAGTGTCCATATCAAAGAATTTGACAAAGCCTTAGCCACAGCATATTCAATTCATGAGTGGCTTTTTGAACAATGTTTTAGTCTGGCGCTGATGATCTTATACAACTGACTTCCCAACTTACAAGTCCAGGACCATGTCCGCCTGTAAACAAAATGTAGCCATAGCAACAACTTCAGAAATGGCTTTGTTCACAATGTTTTAGTCTGGTTCTGATATCAAATTCAACTGAATGTCCAACTTACAAGTCCAGGATCATGACCATCTGGTCGTCCGTCTCGAAGGCGTCGTGCAGCTGCAGCAGTCGCGGGTGCTGCAGGGCGCTCATCGTGTCCATCTCCTGCTTGATGTGGGCCTTGTCGGCCGGCTCCGTCGAGACAAACTTGGCGGCGTAGTTGCGGCCTGTTGGTCTCTCCAGTGCCCTGCGAACTACGCCATATTCTCCCCTGCAAGGGTATATAAATATATTGACCGGTCAATAGAACACAGATTGGCCCTGTCACACCAACACGGATTGTACAAGTATATAATGGATCTTACTATCACCATTCTCCCCAGTGGCGGAAAAGCAGTATATTGACTGGTCAATATAAAACATTGGGATCTACCATAGTAACAGGGAGTGTAATACTATTTGATCATTATAGCCCATTTGGAGCACGATTTTCCCTCCTCTGGTGAATAGTGTTACTATTTACTGGTCAATATAAGATTTATTGGCGCTGCTGCAATAACACAAAACTAGACTGTTTTTAAGACAAAAACCGGGATGTCTTCCAATAAAAAGAAAATATTACCTTCCAAGCTCTTCTCCAAACTCATAGCGGTCGCTGGGTGACGTCTTTCGCAGCTTGACTTTTTTTGGTGTGAAACCCTCCTCAACTTCAAAAGAGTTAAATAAAAATAATTAATTTATGGATGTGGGTTTTCTTTTGAGTTATTGCAGTTAACTTTTTTTGGTGGGGAAAGGTTTGTATTAAATTAGTTAAAAATGAAAATTAAACAGCCCATCAAACAAATTCTGTTGCAAACTTAAGCGATTTTAACAAAATACAAAATGACATTTAAGGAACTCACCAATCATGTCATAATCGTGAACTTTAGGAAGTCTTGGTTTTTCTGGACGGGCAGCTGGTAAATAAAACAAAAATGGAGAAATTCATTTTAAAAAACGCAAGTACTATTTCTGAAGATGCTATTTGAGGTGCTTGACGTGCAGAAACAAAATAGGAAAAACAAACGGGAAAAAAATGCCTTTTTATTTAATAAATTTAAAAATATTTTCAGTTTGAGAATTAAATAAACAGTTACAGAATTTTCAAAATGACCGATTAATCCACATTCTCACCTGACTCTTCTGTTGCCATGGAAGCTCTTTTGATGGGTTTTTCTGGTTCTAAAAAAAAAAGGAAATGAAAAATTGCATTGTGTTAACCCTCTAAAACTTCAAACTTGGTAGGTACAAAGAGTATGCCATTGGGTCCTGCACAGTGGAGGATTTTGTAGGATTAAGGGAGGTAGAGCCCAGCCACTATTACTTCACATTTGGGCTTGATGTAACTTGAAACTTGGTAGGTACAAAGAGTATGCCATTGTGTTCCTGCACAGTGGAGGATTTTGTAGGATTGAGGAAGGTAGAGCCCAGCCACTATTACTTTACATGTGGCTTAATGCTCCTTGAAACTTGGTAGGTACAAAGAGTATGCCATTGGGTTCCTGCACAGCGGAGGATTTTGTAGGATTGAGGAAGGTAGAGCCCAGCCACTATTACTTTACATGGGGCTTGATGCGCCTTGAAACTTGGTAGGTACAAAGAGTGTGCCATTGGGTTCCTGCACAGTGGAGGATTTTGTAGGATTGAGGAAGGTAGAGCCCAGCCACTATTACTTTACATGGGGCTTAATGCTCCTTGAAACTTGGTAGGTACAAAGAGTATGCCATTGGGTTCCTGCACAGCGGAGGATTTTGTAGGATTATGGAAGGTAGAGCCCAGCCACTATTACTTTACATGGGGCTTGATGCACCTTGAAACTTGGTAGGTACAAAGAGTATGCCATTGGGTTCCTGCACAGTGGAGGATTTTGTAGGATTGAGGAAGGTAGAGCCCAGCCACTATTACTTTACATGGGGCTTGATGCGCCTTGAAACTTGGTAGGTACAAAGAGTGTGCCATTGGGTTCCTGCACAGTGGAGGATTTTGTAGGATTGAGGAAGGTAGAGCCCAGCCACTATTACTTTACATGGGGCTTGATTCATCTTGAAACTTGGTAGGTACAAAGAGTGTGCCATTGTGTTCCTGCACAGTGGAGGATTTTGGAAGGGTTCAGAAAGGTTTCTCACACAAATGTGACTTCTGAAATATCCATTGGGCCCATGCTTCATACCTGGTATAGCAATCTTGTGAGTAACTTCTATCGGCTCGCTGGAGCCCGTGATGTTTTCTGCCCGGACACGGAACCGGTACTCCTTATTGGGCGTGAGCATGGAGACAACGTGAGTGGTCTGACCCGAGGTGTACCCGGCGCGACTCCACGACTCAAGGCCGAACTCTCGCTTCTCCAGGACGTAAGCATCGATGTGGCTGCCTCCGTCATCCGAGGGCGCTTTCCAGGTCAGCTCGACAGACTCGAAGGTGACATCGGACGCCTGGAGGTCAGTGGGTGCTCCGGGAACATCTAAGGGATAAAAAAGGTTCAAATTGTGGCAATTTTTGTTTGCGTTTTTTTTTTTTTTAAGGAGAATTTGGGAAATGGGCACAAATAATGTCTTGTGGAAGGATAAATGAGCAAAATATTATAACGACCAACAATTAAAACATGAACAGACTGAAAGTTAAAAACACCAATAGCGTGGTACACATTCATGACTGGTTTTTGCAATGACCACTCAGATAGCGCAAAAAAACCTCCCAGGGTAAACTATTGAGAACCATTTGAAGTAGACCCTGGAAACAAGGTTAACTCACCATTGACATTGATCTGAATGACAGCTGAGTCGCTCCCAACCTCGTTCTCAGCGGTCAGTTCATACTCTCCGCTGTCCTTCCGGTCGGCGTTGGAGATGGTCAGCACGGCGTGGCGCTCTGTGTCTTCAACGCCGCGGTTGATGCGCTTACCGTTGAGCGTCCAGCTGGACGTGGGCTTCGGGTAACCGGTGACGGGGATCTTGAGTTTGATGGTCTCGCCCTTGATGAAGCTCACGACCGTGTCGCGGAAGCGGGCAGGGAGCTTAATCTTTGGTGAAACTGTGAACAGAAATTTTAAAAATCATTTGATTTATCCCAAAAGTAACATACCGAATAATTATCAAAAAGCGTACTTGGATTAAAGATTGTACTGGCACTAAACATCCCGTGAAATTATTCCGTCTGGTTCAGCAGTAGGGACTCCAGACACAAGTACCCCCTCAACGGTTACAAAGGGCGAGTTAGAGGTGACCACTGCGAGAGACATTTGAACGCAATGCCGACGACATCTGACGCTCACAAAAGACGCTGTGGGTTGTGCACATTCATAATAAAATTAGTCGTGCATACTTCCCACTATGTACGCATGAACCAGTACGTAAACTAAAGATGTGACGTTTAGACATTTAAAAAAAAAATCTATAACGAGACCAGAATTGAAAAACAAAAGACCTACACTGCACGATCTTCCTTTTAGTTAAACAAATTTCAAACCTATTCAATTTACAAAACCTTGGAAGCACCCCACTGCTTCATTACACTCGAGGTATACGTAGTTAGTATTTTACTTTTTCAATGACTCTCCACTATTTATTATGTCAATCGTTGTTGATTTATCATGTCAATCACGCCGGTCACCAGACATATAATGCAGGTGCAGCCTTTGTGAAATGGCTAAGCATTTATACCTTTAAAGGGTTCTTAAAATATTTGCTAAACGTTTACAAAATCAAACGTAAAGTCACATCCTTAACGTGCACGCAGAGTGTCCAATCCAATGGGCTGTTGAAAAGTGGTCAAAAAGCACTATCTCCATTTCCTGATCAGTGACTCTATAAAATTGGCGTCTAAATCTTAAATTTTCTTTCTGTCTTTCTTACATTTGACAAGGAGTTGCGCTCTGGTCAGCTTTCTCCCGCCAGGATTCCTGATTTCGCAGGTGTATTCCTCCACGTCGTCAGGCTGGATGTTGCTGATGGTCAGCGTTGCCGCGTTGCCGTCCAACTCCGGCTGGTACTTGTTGTTGGTGAACAGCTCCCGCGATCCCTTGAACCTGTTTGAGAGTTTCAGGTTTCGTTTCTTTAATTTTTTTTCGTATTTTATTAACCATATTCGCCCTGAACAAGGCTAAAAACCCACTCAAGGTACAGGGCTACAAGAGAAATAAAAAGAAGAGTTGGTACTCAGGAGAACTGAGGTAGAATTAACACTCCTCTTGAAACAGGACGAAACAAAGGTTGGAGGGAAACAAGCACCAGGCAAGGAATTCCAAAGAGAATTTTCCACTCATAAATAACAAATTTAAGAAATACAGGTTTCATTTCAATCTGTGATTGGTGGATCATCTGGAGTCCATGAAGGTCAAATCACAAGTAAATCACTAGTCATCACAAGTCATGGACACAAACAAGCACCAGGCAAGGAATTCCAAAGAGAATTTTCCCCACTCATAAATAACAAAGTTAAAAAAAACAGGTTTCATTTCAATCTGTGATTGGTGGATCATCTGGAGTCCAAGAAGGTCAAATCACAAGTAAATCACAAGTCGAATCACTAGTCAATCACAAGTCATTCACTAGTCATGGACACAAACAAGTACCAGGCAAGGAATTCCAAAGAAAATTTTCCCCCATTCATAAATAACAAATTTAAGAAATACAGGTTTCATTTCAATCTGTGATTGGTAGATCATCTGGAGTCCGAGAAGGCCAAATCACAAGTAAATCACAAGTCAAAACAGTAGTCAATCACAAGTCATTCACTAGTCAATCACTAGTCATATCACAAGATAAACGACCAGCCACTTGACTCGAAATTGACTTGTGGGTCTTGTGATGACATGTGATTGAATTCTGATGACTTCATTATAACTCTTGGTTGGGGTTGGGTTGGGGTAAGGGTGGGGGTAAGGGTGGGGGTAGCGATAGCTTGGGGGTAGGGGTGGGGTGGGTGGGTGGGTGTGGAGTGTTTGGATGGGGTTGGATGAACACCAGTCTATCATTTACCATTTAACCTCTGGTTGGGGTTTCCCGCTGAACCTGCACTCAAAAGTGGCCGTTCTGCCCTCATGGGCCGTGCTGTCCTTCAGACCTTCCTCAAACTTGGGTCTGATCACCTCTGGAAAAAGAACAGCAAAGTGAGAATTTCACTTTCACATTGGAGGTAACTCACTGAGTATACAGTGTTTATGCATCGGTGAAAGGCAAAAACCTTATATTGATTTACATCACCCCTACGCAAAATTCCATCTTTTGAACTGCGATATCGTTCTTTGCTGCTTTCAGATGCCTTAACTAGATATAACAGGTTCTCATGCACTATTCAATACAATACATTCTTAGCATATTTGGTTAAACAGTCATCTACGCGAATTCTATGGTAACTTTACTTTCCTTAAAGCTAATCTTCTGCAATATTTTGCAATAAAACCTTTCACATTTTTAGATGCACCAAATATCAGATGAATAGTGAATGAAAAATTGCTCTCTCCCTAAAAAAATATATTTTTCTCCTAATACATTTTCATTTTAAATGTTTTAGTTTTAAATAACAAAATACTTGGGCATCATCCCTCTGATAAACGGCTCGTATTTTGAATTACTTTTTGCACCCCAACAATGCACAAGAAGATGCACCTGGAATATCCATTAAACAATTTTTTTTTTAAATTGTAACGTGATTATTCCAAAACTTACTGTGAGCCACTTTTTTAACTTAACGTGAGCCATTTAGGGATGAGACCATATTGTAATGTTCGAAAAAATGAATAGAACAATTTGATTAAAAAACCTTTAAGTGAATGGATTAGGACTGACCATTGGGATCCTTGACCAGGACCGAGTTGCTGCCGACGGCCGGCTCGCTGACCAGTCCGGCCTGGTTGATGGCAGTCACCCGGAAGTCGTACTCTCGGTCCTCGATCAGGTTGGGGATGGTCATGATCAGTTGCATGACGGCATTGCGGTTGACTTGTACCTGTGGGACGAGGTACCAGACCAGATTATTGGTGGATAACCCTACACGGGCACCAGTCTTGTCAAATAACATGCAGGGAAGTATTATATATTTTTTTGTGTGAAAATAAAACCAAGGGTTCCTTAAAAGCACCCTAGCCACTGTAGCTCGAAAACCTGAAGAAACCTGTAGAGAGAAGGCAATGAGAAGAAATGATAGTTTTAGAGGTGGGAGGAAAAGCCCAGAAGTATTTTCTGGGGAAAACCCACAGAATCAGGTAGGGACTTAAAAACCCAATCCAAATGTGGACCAGGGCAGGAATCGAACCCGGGTCACAGCGATGGAAGGCGAGGAAAGAACCACTGTGCCACCCTGACTTCCCAAAAGCTGGCGATTTTAAATCCATGATTTTTGTACTAATCAAAGTACAAAGTAAGATTTATGAATATGTATGAAGGTATCTAATATAAAGTAAAATAAGGAAATAAATGCGTGCTTGGCCGGTTTAATTCACTCTGTTTAAGACCAGTTGGAGTCTGAATGCTGATAATTGCCGGAGCAGAAGGCAGGGGTATTAACGGCATCCAAACTCCAACCAGTCTTAAAACAGAGTGTTAAATACCAGTGTCATATGAAAATCCGACTCCTACGAAAATCGGACTCCTTTTCCCTATTATTGGTTAATACCCCTCACGTGACAGGTCACTCTCCCATATATGAGCCTAAAAATAGCATATATTGTACTTACACATGCGCAATACTACCATTGAGTCCATATTTCATGGAGTCGGATATTCACGCTACAACGGCCAAGCCCATAATTATTCCCATTCAAAAATATCTTTTCGGCAAAAAAAAAAACCCCAACCTTTTCGGTCTAAAAGTCAAAACATGTCAAAAATTATATATTTCCAACGATTCGTTTCAACAACTTGACTTCATGTTTCTTGAAACACCCCTGTAGCTATATTATGGTAGTGTCAGTGTCGTAAACAACTCCTTATATGGCAACAAAGAATGAGTAAAGTTTGCTTGAATTTGACTTTTTTCTGCACTTTTGAGTTTCAAGCGGCTTCTTACCCATCTATCGGATCCAGCCTCCGTTTTCTCAACGAAGTATCCGGTGATGGGGCTCCCGCCGTCCGAGTGCGGACGGCCCCACATCAAGGCCACAAAATCCCTGCCGATTTGGCTGACGTCCGGCTCACCGGGCTTGCTAGGAGGGTCAAAGGGGCTCTTGGCCACCACGGGCGAGTCGCCGACCAGCGGCTTGCCCACGCCGATCTCATTCTCGGCCGCCACGCGGAACTCGTAGGGCTGGCCTGTCTGCAGGCCGTGCACCAGGAAGTTGGTGTCTTTCACAAAGCTGCTGACTGGTAATGGATTTGGCAATTGTGTTTAATGGAGACAAACATGATGCACATTTTTGTGAGTCAGTTAAATAAGAACCTTATAAATAGACATGGGAGATTATTTTTAAATCATATGCATTATTCAGCTGAAAACCATGAGCCTTGAAACTTCCGTCTAGTATTTGTGACCTACTGAGGCAAAATGAGGACTGTCCCACAAAACCTTGTTTTGAGTAATCAACGCCTGAATTTGGATATACTAGAAAAATCATGTCAAAATCGTTATTGATTGTTATGTATTTTTGAGTAGCCAAGGTATCCAAGATTCACACTATGCATATTTGATGGGAAAAAAATACCCACAAAAGTGGAAAAACTGTTGTTGGCAGTGCAATGCGTGTCTTTTTTTCAAAGCTGTTTCTCTCGAAATGGGGTTAGCGAAACTTGGCAGGACACTGTTAAAGTTTCTGTGCCATATCTTTGGAATAACTTAGGCTATAGCAATCAATTTGGTAGCATTGGAAAGCCAATGCCTTGCACTTTAACATGATGTACATAGAAGACCCGATATAGAAAGTGCCCATTAATTGATCAAAATCTAGAGGTCAAGGGGCGGTTGTCTTGCCTAATTAATCAGCGAATCTGCTCACATATCATAGACCATGGGGAATGACATAGACTATGAATATGAGGCCCCGGTATATAATTTGAGATCAGGGCGGCAAAAAAGGAGTTCACAGAGTTAAAATTTTTGGAAGGGAAAATATTTTAAACCTCTCCCAAACAATAGTAGACAACTCTAAAAGAGCGGACAACGGAGAATAAAAAAGTTCTTTTTTCCTCCCTACCTGGTGTCCAGTCTCTCGATCCTTCCTCCCTTTTCTCCACGTAGTAAGACTTGATGGGCATGCCACCGTTGTGGGCTGGGGGTTTCCAGGAGATGTGGATGGAGTGGTTGGTCACCTCGCCGACTTCCAGCGGGCCGCGCGGCGCTCCGGGTGCATCTGCAAGAAAACGAATCGACAGAAAGAATGGCATTCTAATGTACTAAAAATGAGTCAATTTAGTTGTGAATGATGGTTTTAAAGGGAATATACAAGATTTGCAAACATCGAAAAACAAAACTACCAAGTTTTTACGAAATACCTTACTAGGATGTTGGTAAATGATAGTCTCAAGCATTTTGTATAATTATGACACCTGGTGTGAAGTCATTTTCAAGAAAATGGTATTTTTGTATACATTTCCAACGGTGGTCGGCCGACCAGCGTTGGAAAAACCTAACTATTTTTTAACTACTGCTCCAAATTAACCATTTTTTCAGTCCAAATTTTGTTTGCTATTGGTTACATGTTTCATGAACGGGTGCAGGCCAGCTAGACTGGTTCCCGTGCCCTACAATTTTCCATCATCTATAAATTGATCCATTTTATCTTTTGTGGAGTCAGGGAACCAGACTACTTAAACATTTTTGTTTTTCTTGGTTTTTCCAACCTTTTCGAACACAAAACTTCAAAAATGTCAGTGTAACAATATTTGATCTATATATACTAACCCCTCAAATAGTTCATTTCTGAAAATTACATCAAAAACCAATGATGTACATTCCCTTTAAGTATAACTGTACACTATACTCAAACAAGAGCCACTGTTGGACTATCAAGTCATCTATCTATTCATACACTCAACCCAAAAAGAAAGTCCCCCTTTCCAATACTTTTTTGTCTAACTCAAAAACTACTGAGCACCTCTCACTCAAATAACGACTAATCAGTACAGAAATTCCGTAGCAATCCAGCCATACTCTCTATTTGGCCCAACACACTGATAATGTGTACGAATTTATGCAATTTATGACAAATGATATCGAATACAGTTGCCCTTTTGTATACATGCAATTTGTGGTGCACACTCACCTTGCATGCATACAAAAGTTCAACTTTTTCCAAAATCCAAACCGTATTGTGTAATTCAAACCGAATTTTAAAATATCTGGCTTTACATCCCACCACTATTTCCCGACGTCAAATTTGCATTCGAGTGAACTGGGATGAACAGGCTCTAAGGCTGTTCAACGTTTGACATCATAATACCATTCACGTATGGATCCACAATGCGGAAATAATGTTGGTCTAAGTAAGAATTTTAACCCTTACCAATAACTTTGACATTGAAGGTGGCGGTGTCATTTCCTGCGTCGTTGCCGACGGTGACCTTGAACATGGCGTTGTCCTCCGGCTCGGCATGCTTCACGTTCATGATGACGTAGTCGTCGAAAACCGTCATCTTTACACGGTTGTCTGCAAAACAGAAAAAAAAAAGAGAAAAACAAAAACAATTCAACTTAATCCTCCCTGCGCAATAACTTTACTGCTGATTTAAAAAAAAATGTTCAGCATAAACAATTGACTTGTACAAAATTAACATTTTGAGTTTACAAATTTGACCAAAAATTAATTGTTATTCCGCATGTCTTTAATGCCTGCCCACTGAAAGTTAAAATAAAAAATATAATAAAAACAAAGCTAAGTTTCAACCAGAACGGCCCACTTTTAAGCAGCGCAAACATTTTGGGGGTAAAACCATCCACATTTTCTGCCATAAACGATTGATAATTTGACAGTTTTCAAAGCAACAAAATAGTGACTCATTCTCTTATAAAATATTAAAAAACAATTCGTCAGCAGCTTTAGCGACAAGGAAAGAACTAATTTGAGCTGGTGACATACCGTCGACCGGTTCCCCGTCCCTCTGGCAGCGGGCAGTGACGTCCCCTTTCCCGCTGAATGGAATCTTCACCTTGAATGGGTTGCCCACTTCCACTGTGACTTCGCGGGGGACGTTGCCCACCGAGGGGGCCACTGAAACAGAGCAAAAGATTATAAAGTGAATTTTTGAAGTTGAAGACTTTGTGTGGAAAAAGTAGTTGGAAAACTTGTCAATGCATGTTTTTTTTTTTCATATGTGACATACATACACGCCACAGCACAGGAGCATCTTTTTTTCTCCATTTTTCTCTTTTTGAATGCACTGTTTGCCCTTAATTTTTCAATTTCCGCTCAATTCCAGCCGCGGAATCAAACTGTGGCTTCACCTCAGCAGGAATTGAAAAAAAAACATTGCCTTTTTAAACTATTTTCAGGCAGGCAGCGATGACCAACTGTACGTTATTTCGTCTTAATAAGTTCACTTAATTCATTCAAAAAAGGGTGAATGAAAAAATTGACGGGAGCAGGGTTAGAACCTGCAACCTCCGGATTGCCCGGTGTTCTGGCGCTCTCTGAGTGATCACCGTTTGCTATTTCCCAGGTTTGCGGCATTGCTGATGTTGCTAACATCGTGACTTTGGGCGTGATCCCTGGCTACATTATATACACAGGTTTTTGGCTTCTGACTAGCGCCCCCTAAACAAAGACTTCGACAAATTGGGGCAACCGCCAACATAGGGCTGGACAGCTCAGTTGGTAGAGCACCGGAACGGTAATCCGAAGGTCGCAGGTTCAAACCCCGCTCCAGTCATTTTCTTTGTTCAACTTTAAAATTACAGACAAAGCAAACTGCAAACTTTCTCTTTTAGCTGCCACCTTGAATGTCCATTGGTCTGATGATTGGTGAATTTCATATAAAGAGATACAAACATGTGACTTGTTGACTCACGTTGGACGGCCAGTTTTGCCTTGCATCTCTCTGTGCCCAGCTTGTTGCTAGCTTCGCAGGTGTACTCGCCAGAGTCTGCGTCTTTGAGGTCACTGATGGTCAAGATGCAGAGCTCGTCGCTCTGTCGCGCAGACACGCGAACTCCGGGCCACAGCTCTGCCCCGTTCTTATACCTAAACAATGAATGGATACAACATTATAAAGAAAAGTCTTCATGCTCGCCTTATTTCAAGCCCTAGTTATCAAATGTGTATTCTTCCTTTCTTATTTAACCCTAACTCCCAACTGTCTTGTACTAAGTACTGGACCAAGTCCACCAAAATCCATCAATCACACTGCTTCCAATGCATGCTTTGCTTTAGGCCTCCAGGCCCAAGTCCATCATACTCCATCAATATTTAGTCAAACCAGGCCTGCAGGACCAAGTCCCCCAAAATCCACCAAAGTGGGGGGTGGATTTTGATGGAGCTGGGAGGTTAGGGTTAAGGATCAACATTGGTTTTTCCTCAGATATAGCTCTGCATGAGTCATTTAGAAAATAAATTTGATTAAGATTACAATCCAGAAGTTTTCTTATTGAAACTTTTCTTATTTTACGATCGGGTACAAGCCTTCTGCCAATATAAACTCCAGCTTTGGAATGTCGTTGTGACTCTGTGCCATTTTCACCCATCGGGAACAATATTTTGATATTTACAAAAGACCTTCCCACACATCATGCGATATACCAATAACATTTCAGTCTGGACAATTAATTCAATTCTACCATCTCTTAAACACGAGTCAGGGTACCAGACTTTCAAATTTGAGTTGCAAATTTGCTAATTTAAAGGAAATGAGGAAGAATGTTGAGTTTTTGATCGTGGGAATGAATTCCACTAGTTGCCCTTTTATCTATAAAACAGGTCTGCATATTTGGGTACGCACTTTAAACCCTGTCGGGAATCGAGGACATGTGAATGTGAACCAACTTGAAATAAATCGTCAAAATTCCAAAACTACCAACATCTGGACAACTGTTTTAGATGCGAGCTTACCACTTGACGATGGGCTGCGGGGTACCAGACACTGCGCACTCAAACTTGGCCGAATCCCCTTGGGAACCGGTGACATTCTCCAGCCTTTTGTCAAAGAATGGAGCTGTACCCTCTGGAAATGAACGAATCACATTCAGAAAAAGTCCATGAAATAGCAGGGAAAAAATGTTTTGTCTTCTTCGAGTAAGTTGGCATAAAGAATACACCAATCAAATTAAAGTACTCCCAATCACGAAAATGCGTGGACGAAGAATGGAACGATCACATTTATGCCTTGAAGAAAATGAGCCAATATATATTTTGAAGAAAACTATGGCCAAATCAATTACATACTTTGAAGAAAATGAAACATTCACAAAAATTGTGATGCATTCCAGCTACACGAGTCATTTGTCGACCCTGGTCAATTTTTTTTTTTTACAGATTTGAAAAGAGCACAATCTCGGCATTACTGCTGTGAAAACCGCATGCTGGTACCATCTTTAGTTCAAAAATTATGGAAGTCGGAACACCAAGAAATATGATGAAGTGATGTGATGAAGTGATCCTATTTTGGCCTGAATCTCCGAAAGAAAATTCCTGACAAACGACTCATTTCGCCTGATCGCATCACAAATATGCTTGATAAAGGAATGGACCAATCACACAAATGTTGGAAGAAGATTTGGCCAATCACATTTAAGCTTGGAAAAACAACAGATCAATTCAAACGATTGACCAATAATACACTTGAGAGAAGAATGGACCAATCACATGACATCTTAAAAAAGAACGGACCAATCACATGAGATCTTTTTACAAAATGGCCAATCGCATGGCATATGTTGAAAGAATGGGCCAATCACATAAATGCTTGGTAAAAGTATTTCAACTGGATGAATCACACTTTATAATTTGTACTGAAGCACAATATTTGACCACTCAAAATCCTTAACCACTTTTGCAATTGAGTTGCAAAGTCAACAAAAAAAACCCTCATTTTTATGACACTCACTGACGGAGTCCTTGGGTTTGATGGGCACCTCCGAGTAACTGGGCTCACTCATTCCCGCCGCGTTCTCGGCGCAGACTCGCACCTCGTATTCCTTCCCTTCCTCTAGTCCGCCAAGGGTGAAGTTGGTATCCTTGACCGGATACCGGTTAGCCTTCTCCCAGTTGGGAGCGCCCATCTCGCGTTTCTCAACCGTGTAACCTATAAAACAAAACAAACGGCGTTGTGGTTACTGTATTACACATTAACTTGTGAGCCAAGAAGGAAATATTGGTACAAAAATGGCTGGCAAAAACGTTTGCTGAGATTTCATGCAATTGGTTTTAAATATTACCCTTATATTTAACAGGTTTAAGATTTGTTCATTGTTTCATTTCACAGATGGCATGTAATCTAGAACGTAGGTATCGAAATGTATTATTTTAATAAGGATTAGGATAAAAACAAAAATCAAGAATATCAAAATTTGTAGCGAACAAGTTTTGAACTTCTGTTAAAAAGTCACTATTTTAATAAAAATCTGCATTTCAGGGCTGGCATCAATAACAGGAAAAGTGTTTCCATATTAACTAGAAAAATAACTGGAATTTGTGGTAAAAAAAATTGTTTTCCAAAAGTATTTTTCGGCCCCTCTCTGAACTGGTCTAGCACCCGGCCTGCTTTTGGGTTATACCAACCTAGAAGGCGTGATCCTCCATCTGATGTAGGCTTGGACCAGGTTATGTCAGCCGTGTTGCTGGTTACTTTCTCAACCTCTGGTACTCCAGGCTTGTCTGAGGTAGCTGCAAGAAAGGAAAAAACAAGGTTCTAAAGGTAAATTTTCTTGAACCATTGTTCCCTAAAAACCTCCCCTTTTTACTCAAAAAACGTCCCTGAATTTTCAACACACCGTAACTGCTGTTTTATACATTGCATGCAAATCCTGAAAACTACCAGTGATGTAACAACATGTGTACTGTAAGCCAAACTATAAAAAAAAAGTTGAAAATAAAACTTATGATAAAAAGTCACATCATTTAGGTCTCTTTTCTAAAATTTGTTTGGAAGATTATTTTGAGGAAGTAAATAATCTATTAAGATCTTCCTGGCTTCAAGTGATACTTTTCAGAGTGTCTAAAAATAAGTATGCTTGGAATGTTCGATAACGCACATCACTTACTTTAAAAGGAAAGAAAGACAAAAAAACAAACAAAAAAACATCCCAAACGAAACCAAACAAAAATCTGACACTAAAGCCTTTTGCTATTAAAGTTGACATCAAGCAAAAGTGGATCCATCTATAAAAAGACAATCAAACGCCCTTTAATAGGCAAAATAAACGATAGTAAATTGGACCGACACAGGTCCATGCTTCAAGCAAATAATAAATCTTTTTAATTGGCTTTTTAACCCTCCTGCTGTTTGAACAGTCACAGATAGTCAAAAAATTAATCCTCTTCCCCGCCATGTCTTTTACACAGGCTAGTCACCAGCAGTCAGATCATATTTCAGGCAAGCACTGTGACTAGTCAAATTAAGTCGATAAACTGACAAAAACAGGCAAGTGGTAGGCACAGCTGGCTTATCAATCACCTACTGTCAAAGCACAGCTGTATCAAGCTACATAAACAGTCCAAGGCAGTCGATCCTGCTTTAAGTAGGCTAGGAATTCCTAACTGTTGAAAACAGTCACTTGTTTGATTTTGACTGAAAGGACAACTTTGGACAGTGTATGTTTGCATTGGAGGGTTAAGTTCAATTAGCAAAACAAAACATCAACAACCAAATACTCTCACTGATTGGTAAACAATATATACTTTCTTACTGTATTGTGGTTTCGGGACGACGCCGTTGGAGGGCCGACTGGGTGCGCTCAGACCGGCCGTGTTCTTGGCGATCACGCGGAACTGGTACTCCACTGTGTCACGTAGGTTGCTCAGGGACATCTTGGTGTCCTTCACCAGGAAATTATTGCACTATGGGATACCAATCAAATGAGAGAAATCTTTAAAATTCTCAGACCAGACATTACAAGAATGTGCTTGAAGACGCAAATTCCCATCTTGCATTTGCATTATACTTGGAAAAGCCAAAATTAGTGTAAGTGCTCCTTAATTTCAATCAATCATTAAGTCCTTCACTACCAGTCGCCTGTTTTAGTTTCATCAAGCATGCATGAAACTTATTAAAACACAATTTAAACACAAACCCAAAGATGCCTGGCGTCCACTTTTACATGTGCTTCATTTTGCCACTCTCAAAATGCTGAAAACGTGGCCTGTTCATTTTTAGCAACCCTGACCCTTGTTTTCACTTATTCACTGTAATACAACAGTGGGATTTCAATTGTAATAAAAAAATTATTTTCTTGAAAACTAGTTTTACAACTCCATTATACTCTCTGAGGGTAGTTTACTGCATGTCAGTTGGTTATGCCAATGCCCTCCAGCTGCAGTTTATTGGAGGATACTTTGATGTAGCAGTGAAGGCTCCAATTGGCAGGAGTTGGAGGCCCTGGAGGGTGCCTGATACTGACCAGCTGGGGGCACTTGATTGTTATCAGAGGACTCTCATTGTTCTCTGTGGCATGTATTGGAGTGCCTGTCCAGTTACCCTTGAAATGACATGGCAGATATTGGAGGGCCATGCAAAAAACATAGGAGATTTTCTTGAGGCACATATTGGCATGCGTTGGAGGGTCTAGTAGGGTAAGGGTTAAGGTAGTCTGTATTTCTGTTAAACTGAACTCAGTATATCCAAAGTTGTTTGTGCATTTCAGACAGTTTTACTGCCACAAATTTCAGTAAATTTGGACATTCAACCAAAACCTGAATAGTGAAAACACCCGCGGCAATGTAATACTTATTTTTGAAAGAGCAGATCACAGTCATTATTTTGAATTTAATAACAGACCTGTTCCCATTCAGCATCTTCCTCTTTCTTCTCCACGTTGTATCCCGTGATCTTGGCTCCGCCGTCATTCTCCGGTTTCTCCCAGGTCAGACTCACGTAGCCCCTGTCCACCTCGTTGATGACGGGCTTGCCCGGCGCATCGGGAACATCTGGAAGTTGGAACGAAAAAATAAGACAGTGAAAATAGAATACTCATCAGGGAAACTGATAATAAACTGTAACTGAAGATAATAAACTGGCCTCTGGAGCAATTTCACGTTGCTGCTAAGCACATATTTCTCTGCTAACACAACCTCTGCCTGTTTCATGGAGACTGAAGCAGTAAGCACAGTCAAAGGCACGCTTAAAGAGGTTGTGGAATGCTCGAAGACATTTCCGTCATTTTTCGGGTATATGTAGCCTAAGGTGTGATGAAATAAAAACGACTATTGTTTCTGTCATAAAATGAGTACAAAAGGTACTTTTGAGAGCTGTTTTTCAAGTCCTGTCATGCCTGTTTCGACCCGAACGTGCAATTTGTGTAAAAGTCGTCGTTGCGGGCAGCAAACAAAACACAGTAAATCGTGATGTAATAAACAGGACTCCCGATGCAGAGTAGCATAAACGAGTCCTGTTTATTACGTCACGATTTACTGTGTTTTGTTTGCTGTCCGCAACGACGACTTTTACACAAATTGCACGTTCGGGTCGAAACAGGACCTGAAAAATACTGGTAGCTCTCAAAAGTACCCTTTGTACTCATTTCATGACAGAAACAATAGTCGTTTTTATTTCATCACACCTTAGGCTACATATACCCAAAAAATGACGGAAATGTCTTCGAGCATTCCACAACCTCTTTAACCCCAGAGGACAAAGTTGATTGAATCAGTGACATAACAATAGAAATAAACGTGTGCACGCAACCGTTAGCACATCCACACCATGAAATTTTGCTATGCTATTTGACATTGAAATCTAGAAGTAAACTAACAACTTTCAAACAGAGCATACGAAACGTCGTGTTAAACCAAAGAGGTTCTCTTCAGAACCACACATACTCGCAAAAGAGATATTTCCACATGGTGTTACCGCAAACCTCTCACTTATTGACCTTTCCACCGTGCAAACCTTCAAGTCTCATTTAACACTATATGGGTCAGAATCGTCACTTACAGGATAAAGGCACGCGCAAAAAAAATTCCTTGCTTATTTGCAAATATGCTAACCGTCAATGTTTGGGTCTCATTCACATTGCCTTACCGTATGGACTTTTGACGTGTACAGCGTTTGAATTCTCCAGCGGCTCACCGACGCCATACTGGTTCTCCGCCCGTATGCGGAAGAAGTACTTGGTGCCTTCATCTAGACCTCCGACTGCATGGTCGGTGGTCCGCACAAAACCAGAAACCTGCGAAAATACGAACAAATGGTTGAGCATGAAACTTGCATATTTTGCGGACGAATTTTCCGAGTCCATTGGCGAAATTATTGTTGGAACCCACTGTAGGGTTTGAGTTCAGCTTCAGCTCAGGTGCCGTGTCCTTGGGCAAGTTAGTTTACCTCAACTTGCACTCTCTCTCCACCAAGGAGTAACATGCGGCAGACTAGCATATCAGTTGTTTCATGTCAAGGAACACTACTAGGCATTTTTGCCAACTAACTTTCCGAATGCAACAAAACCCATCGTTATGTAGGAACTCAACAGCATATTTTTGTAATTTTCAAGGTTCAAATCCAGCTGCTGGTCATGTGCTGTGTCCTCAGGCAAGCCGCTTTACCACGATTTGCTCTCTCTCTACACCCAGAAGTCTAAATGAGTACCAGTGTTAACTAGATAGTAACCTGCGATGGACGTTTTTTTTTTAAGAAATGAAAAAAAAAAACGCTGGCCGTTTTGTGTGTTCATGGGCAAGCCACTTTACCACAACTTTCTCTCTCTACACCCAGAAGTAAAAATGAGTATCAGTGTTAGCTAGAGAATAACATGCGATGCATTGGCAATTGTTCCATGACAAAAAGACAAGAAATGAAGAAAAAAAAAAAACCATATAAAGCCCGGCTCATACTTCACGCGAAAGCGAAGCGAAATTCGTGACGTCAAAAAATACGTTCGAAGCACGTCCACCATTGTTGACGACACGAATTTCGCTTCGCACTTGCTTTCGCGTGAAGTATGAACCGGGCTTAAAACAATATTATCCTGAACTTGACCTTTGACTGACCTTTGACCAGCTGGTCCGTCCTTCCTCTTTCTTTTCCACCACGTAGTTGGTGATGCGGCTTCCTCCGTCGTCCTTCGGGGGATTCCATGACAGCTTGACTGACTCGGCAGTGACGTCGGACACCTCCAGAGGACCATCCGGAGGACCGGGCTTATCTACATGAAAACAATTGAAAATTCTAGCGTTGAAGGGATTCGAACCAGACAATACTGAAAAAAGTTCTCAACCATACACAGCACCTTTTCTAAGTAAAATGAAGAAACAAAGAATAACAGGACAAATGGAACAATAAACTGCATCAGAGAAAAAAGAAATCTGCAAGACCTAGATTATTCAAAGGAGCATTACAGAGATAAACAGCACTAGAAGGGTTCGAACCTATCACCCTTCAAATATAGTATTGAACCATACACAGGACCAAGTGCACTTAAGTAAAAGACACAGGAAAAATTCAACTGAGGAGGAAGAAAAATATCACAATGCAGAAAAAAGTGTCATTGGAGGGGTTCGAACCTACAACCATTGAAAAAACAACAACATAGTACTGAACTATTCAGAGAACGTGGATAATTTTAAGAAACACAGGAACAACAGCACTGGAGGAATCTGAACCTATAACCAATACAAAATATTATTCATAGGACTGGACTTATCAAAAGAAACAATGTAGGAATAGCACTGAAGGGATTCGAACCTCTAACAACTGAAGAATAGTATTCAAAGGTTCAGGCTCATATAAAAAGGGAATAACAGCAATGGGGGAGTTAGAACCTGTTAACCATCGATACACCACCCACAGGACGAAATCCTATCTGACAAAATCCAAAAAAAATCGGCACTGAAGGGATTCGAACCCAAACCACTGAAAAAATAGCCCTTAACAATTCTGAAGCAACATGAGAATATCTGCACCAGAGATATTTGAAATTACAGGTTTAAGAGGAATTTTGAAGCTGAAAGTACGAGGAATAGTAAACATTTGGAATAAATCTGTATCGATGGTTTTTTTTGGTGTCCCTGAAAGAGGATGTTATCAAGCTTGGTCTGGTCTCCTGGCCCCTACTTACCAACAACAGTGATACGGAGAATGCAGGTGTCGGTACCCTCATTGTTGCGCAATGTGATTGTGTACCGCCCGCTGTCGGTTCTCTCTGCGTGCTTGCATGTGAACAGGGCTTCATCCGAACCTTCCTGCAAGAGGCAACAAAACATTGACCACACCAAGTTAAACCAAAAAGTTTAAATATTGGGAAATTCATAAAAACAGATGTCGCTGTTTCTTTATGTTAATTTTTTTTTCAGTTGTGAACACTTACTCTTTGTGTGTGAAGAATATGTTACCCAATAATTGTTAGTAAAATCTGTAAGTAAAACTCAGTAATTTTTAAAGTAAACAACTCAATTTCTTATAGTAAAAATACTTTTTCTCCAATTCAAATGTGAATACTAGCAGTTTTCTGACAAAAGTAAGTTCAAATGTATCATATATTTTATTCTATTTAAATATTTTCATTCTCCCCTGTGTTTAACTGTACAAAATATTTCGGGTTTGTTAATTTTTAAATAAAATACAAAGGCAAACTGTCTGGGGCTGGACATAGTTGGTAGATCAACGGAAAGGTAACAAGTTCCATTCGACGAATGCTGCTGCGGCAAATTTCTTGGTCAATTTTTTTTCCAGGTTTTAAACTGTAAATAATGCTTTGTTATGCTTGCAAATAAATTATTACGGGAAACTGATTAGGGCTGGATAGTTCAGTTGGAAGAGCATCGAAACAGTGTTTTGGGAGGTCATACATGTAGGTTCGAATCCTGCTTTGGCCACTTAAACCAAGTTAAAAAAAAAAACAGTTTCTTGTCTTGGCTTTTTCAAAAATGGGGAGAAATGGCTCCATTTTCTTGAGCCATCACCCTTTCTATCAGGTTGTGAGCGTCCATACGTTGCAGGAAACACATAAAAAGACAAAATATATTTCAAATGTATAATAAAAAAAAGACAGGAGGCTGGCTTGAAAAAGGAAACGGGCTGGGACAAGAAACTGGTTTTATTTTTTAACTTGGATTTACGTACCTGTATGTCAAATCTATCTCCCTTAGGGATCTCCATTCCGCCTTTGTCGTCGCGCGTCACGGTGACTTGGGGCGCCGGGGTGCTCTCAAATGGAACGTCCACTCTGAACTGGTCCCCGGCGACCACGGTGATGTCTTTGTTCCGACAGTCGCTACGCACTTTGGGCTTCACTGTTGATTACAAAATAAAAATGAAAGGTATTACAATACAATGATACTGTACAAAGTCTTGGTCATTATCTTTTCTGATATTTTTTAGGTTTTCCTTCAGCTGTAAGTGACAAATTTAAGGCTGCTTCTTGATCAAAGAAAGTGAAATCAAACTTGAATTGATGATGTTATGGCTCAAATTGATGATGTTATAAGTTTTGGTGCTCCAATTTTGCAAAAGTTTTGACTCATTTCAACACTAGTGAATTCGGGCAATTCACAATGCAGTGCGCCACCAACAGTTTGCCATGGAGAGTCCATATTTTCAAGTTTACGCTCGACAAAACATGAATGTTTGAATGAGTGTCAGTAGACAACTTGAGTTAATTTGTTCTAGATTGGGGCATAGCGTTCTGCCGCCTTACTACAAACACCGTATTGATAAAAAGAAAAGAAAAGGGCAAACAGATACTCGAATCATACGCTTACTTAACTACTGACCGGAAAAACAATTTCAAATGTCCTGCACTGCGAATTTATCGACCATCTCCTACAATGCATTGGGAAAAATGAACTCTCCGTGGGAAACTCTTGGTGGCGCACTGCATTGTGAATCGCCAAAATTGCGACACTAAGGTTTTTTGACAGTATGAACCATTTAGAAAATGCCAAGGAACATGTCGGGAGCAAAAGAAAAAGTACGCATTAAATTTTTTTTTCAAAGCCATTTGGTGGTGTTCTAAACGATAATGTTCTACTGACCTGATGGGGGTGCAGCAATGATCGCTTCGCAAGCGTCGCTAGGTTTCCCAGGCCCCGCGGCATTCTGGGCCGTCACGCGGAACTCGTACTCCGTCCCCTCCACGAGTTTAGGCACGGAGCAGCTGGTGTCCTTCAGCGGTGCCCTGGTGGCCGGGTACCACTTGCTCTCGCCGGCTTCCCGCTTCTCGACGATGTAGCTGGTGACGGGGTTGCCTCCGTTGTTGGACGGGGGTTTCCAGGCGAGGTTGATGGCCGTGCGGTCCGTCTTGGTGGGGTAGGGCGGTTCGGGGGCACCCGGGGCGTCTGCCAAAAATATTGTAAGAAGTTGGAGGACCTCACATTTCATTCGCAGCAAATTTTTTTTTAAATTCAATTAAATTCAATACAACATATATTTCCAAACGTATTGTTGATGTACCCTAACGAGGAGCGGCCCCTAACATGGCGTGCTCTGATTTCTTCGTCTAATCGCCTAGTTAGAGCAAAAGTTTTAACTGAAATTTCACAAAAAGTGAAATTTCATCAAATTCTAAACACTCCTGTGCATAAATCACAAGTTTATCTACCTGTTACAAAGTTAGAAGAAAACTTTATTTCGGGGTGATTTTCCGATTTTATTTCGAAGTGCACAGTGAACCCTTAAAAAATGTCCCCCCAAAATAAAAAAAAATTCTGACAAACATCTAGTTGGGTATGCAAGTAGAGATAATAATGGTTTATCAGAATTTGTCAACTTTACAGAAATTCCTTAATGTTAATTTGGAATTTTCTGAGTTTTTTCATTTAAGTGTGCCACGTTAGGGAACACTCAGCTGATTTTGTGCCCAATTTTCGGACGCCACCGTTTTTAAATTTCGGATTAAATTTCATGACACCGCAATTGTTCACAGAGGTTAAATAGCATGCAATAATAATAAGGTAAAAGTACCAGTATTTCACTGAATAAAATTGAAGTTTGTCAACAAAGAAGTATGGCAACATTACTTGAGGAAATGCGGGGTAAACATCAAAGTGCACCACGTTAGGGAACACCAATATAGATTGCATCATTTTTCAATGGGCCTTATTCACGAGGTAGCCATTTTTGTCAAGTTCCCTGAATGCATTTCATCAATTGTTAACTGCTGAGTGGGATGGCGCCAGACTATTTATGCAGCCATATTTTACGTTCAATGTTTTTTTAAATTTGGCTTAAAACATTAGGGAATGTTTAATTACAAATTTTAAATTATTCATTTAAGCAGACTTGAATTATTTATTATTTAGTAATGTACTTGCTTTCAATTCTCTTCGCAAGTTTCAAAAATGAAGACTTTATTTTACTTTATATTCAACATGGCCGACTCGTGAATAAGGCCCATTGACCTATAATTGACAACTATGGCTTATTGGAGCATTTAAGGACCAACTGGAGGTACTCACCAAATGGGTGTTTAGCAGTGAAGGGCTCACTGACCAGCGGCTTGCTGGCCCCGTACTGGTTCTCGGCACTGACGCGGAATTCGTACTCTTTCCCCTCCTGCAGGTTACGCACCTTGAAGTTGGGCGAGACGCAGAAGCTGCTGACCTTGGACCACGCACCCGTGTCCGGCTCTTTCTTCTCCACGATGTAGTTCTCGACGTCCTCGGGCCCGTGGGCCGGGGGCTTCCAGGATAGGGTGGCGGATTCTGGAGTGATGTCGGAGACTTTGAGGGGCCCTTCGGGAGAGGCTGGGGCATCTGAACAAAAACAACCAAAAGAGACCAAAAACCATAAATGCTGGGTTTTACCCTTCACTGCTATTGCAGGGTTTGTGAGAAACAAGTCGGTTCTCGACCCGCGCGTCTTGTATGCTTTCATGATTATCTTTTAATAAAGAGTGCCCTTTGACCTTGGTGTGTGACCTTTGATACCATTAGCATGTGAAGGTTCCCATGTTGCATCTTTGCCCCAAGTTTGGCTCCAATTGGTCTTCAACTTTTGAAATAAGACCAATTTTACGAAACTTTAACCAAAATACAACATACATTTGTACATGAGGGCTTTAAATTCAAGGATTTTTTTCCATGACTGTGGAAACCCTGCCAACCTGACACCCCATCACATTTCCTGATATCCCACTGTGGATCCGTCGGGATTTGAACCGGGCTCATCAAGGGTGATAGAACCACGACACTCACCTAGAACTACCACCTTGACTTTCCCGCTGTCTGTGCCCGCGCTGTTCTTCAGCGTGACGGTGTACCGCCCGCTGTCCGCCCGCTGGGCGCTCTCCACGACCAACGCCGTCACGTCGTGCGTGGTCTTGACCATCACGCGGCCGTCCTCTTTGACGTGCTGACCGTTCAGTTCCCAGGTCACCTCGGGTTTGGGGATGCCCGTGTAGGACAGCTTGAGGTCAAACTTCTCTCCGCCTTTGACCTTGATGTCCTTGAGGGTGCTGATGTCCAGAACCGGACGCTCTGTAATAAAAAGTATACCCACAAAAATTGTTCATTAGCATCTGTGCTACATTGTACTACATGGTATTAATAAATGCCTTGGAGAGTTGATAGCTGCTGATTGGTCGAGACTCGATCACGTGGGGGTGTATTAAAATGTGATATAAAGACCGGCTTCAAGAACAAGCGAATAAATGGCCCCTGAACCAGCGTTGATCCAGCATCATGTAAGCCAAATGATTGGCCAAATTTACAACAGTAGCTTGTAGCAATTGACCGATCACGGTAGAATCGCATTAGAATCGCCTCAACACAGCTTGTGAAATATTGTCCAGGACGCGGAACGCGCAAAATCTGAGACAAACAAAACTTAGTGTAAAAAAAGATTCGAGAGGGTTGTCTAAGGGGGCGTGGCCAACTCGTAAACGGCGATATGTCAATACAGCAATACACATGCCCTCAGTCACAATCGTGGCATGCACATAGAGAGTGTTCGAAGACTTACGCGCGCGTACGCAACATAGTTGTTATGTGTGGGTGCACGCGTAAGGAAGTTTTCAAACGACATGTTCGTACTGCAGTGCTCAGGATGTTTATGATGAAAGCGTGGATTGATCTGCCATTTATCTTCTGTAAACACTTCGCCCACAGACATATTTCCTTTTTCTAAGCTGAGCATCTTTGTTATTCTGGACACAACGAATATATAAACAAAATTTCTGCTTCCTCTATCAGGTAAAGATAAGAAAACAAGTTTGTTGTAATGTTGTTTTGCTACGGCAGCCAAAGTTCATACCCTAGACGTCAGTGGTTGTAATTCAATGAAGACGTCGTCCAGCGCAGCCTGGGCCCGCTAGGGTGGTATATAACAATGCATATTGAAGAGACAGGGTACCACGCATAAGCTAAAATATGGCAACTGAGCATGAGCACAAAACAAGTCTGGAAGTATCGTCTCACCTGGACGGTCCTCTGCAGTGACAACTGGTGTCGGGATGCTGGGCTTGCCAGGAGGTCCTTCCTCAGTCTGGGCCCGGACTCTAAACTCATAGGGCGTACCCTCCTCTAGATCTGGTACCGTGGCCTGCTCTTCGGACGCTGGTACTTTGACAGCCTTGAATGAAGAAAAGGAAGAAGTATATTGGCAAAACTTTTGGTTTCAATAAATATTGTTGTATTTTAAATGGACTCATTTTCAGTGTGTATGATGAAAAACAGAAGTGTTAAGGGGTCCACGCGATGAATTTTTCTTAGGAAGGCATTTTGTTTATCTTTCTACTCCTCTTAAATGAATGAAAACTATTGACATTCCTTTTCGCTTAATTTTATTGAAAAGTGCACTTCTTTAAATATTTAAAATAAGGTTAAATGGGACACAAAGGTGCATTTTCAAGGATAGCATTACAAAAGTTACACTACAAGGTCCCTTTGTGTAATACCATAGTGTATCTTGAGTCAATATTGCAACATGAATGCTAGAAAAAAAACCTCCAAACTGTATGCCAAATCTCAGACCTATGTTAAGTTTTTCCTGAAAAGTTAAAACTAAACCACAAGTCAAGGTGGAATAAGAATGAAAGTGGCCTAAACTAAACACCATTTTAACAAACATTTTGGGAAATTTCTCAGTGAGTTTAACAACTGTAGAACTCCAACTTTCGCAATCATTCAGCAGTCCGCAGTATTACCAGAAATGTTTTAGTCAAGCCCAGATCTGAGTTCAAGGGAAAAAATATTTTAAAAAACTGACTTGAAGTAAATTTTGAGTCCAAAACACCAAGCCCCACATCAGCATAAAATCCAAGAGGGTACCAGTTAACGGTTAAATTGATAAGCGTTTGTGATTGGTCAACTTACATCCACCCAGTCGCCCTTCTGGCCGCTGTCCGGCACTTTGCGCTTCTCTACCACGTACTCTTTGATCTTGGACCCGCCGTCAGACACGGGCTTGGTCCACGACACGCCGATGTTGTCCTTGCGAACTTTGTCCACGGACGGCCTGCTGGGAGCATCGGCTGGCACTGTGGAAAAAATACACACAACTCAACAAATCAAAAAGCGGCAATTAACTTTTCCACTAAACAATAACCAGGGTTGCAAAAGAAATCTCAAACTGAAAATCCATGACTTCTCAGGACAAAATCAGGGCTTTCCTTATGACAAATTTCCATGCCATTTTGGCACCTTAGAAGCCTTTTTACGATACACTGGCCAGTCATCACACTGAGGCAAGGGGCGCCACTCCCTTTCAGCCTTCCAGTTTGACACAAGACTACTGAGCACCACAAAAGCATCACAATGGTGCATTGAACGGTTGGCTCTGTCACGGACATTACATTTTCTTCAATAATGCTAGCATTGCCCAGAAGTAACTTACGGATTGGAGTCTTGGCGACGATAGAGTCAGAAGCCCGGCTGGGTTTGCCCGGCCCGGCCTCGTTCAAGGCGATGACCCTAAACTGGTACTCATCGCCCTCCCTCAGATTCGGCACGGTAGCCATGGTGTCCTTAGTAGGGTAGTTGCTAGCTGGTTCCCATTTGTTGCTGCCTGGTTTGCTGTACTCTACGGCATAGCCGGTAACCGGGCTGCCGCCGTCGCTTGCTGGTGGGGACCAGGAGATCTGGGCGGAGTTGCGGTCAACGGCTTCGATCTTGGGGGCAGTGGGGGAGTCAGGTTCATCTGATTGAAAAAGATTCATTTAAAAAGCCACAGAGGTTAATATTTGCTACCAAAAAAGAAAAACAAAGGAGGAAAATAAGAGGAACTTAATCTTATTGCTCCAGTAAGTACTCTGGTTGAGTCTTTCATTGATTGATTCATCAAAACCCTCCAATTGTTTGATCATTCACAGACAGTCAAAAACATACTTCCACTTCCCCTGCCATGTATTTGTATACTAGTAAAAAAAACAATCAGATCGCATTCGTGTAAACACTGTGACTAGTCAAATTCCGTCAACAGATAAAAGAGGTAACTGGTAGGCACAGCTGGCATATCAATCACCTCCAGTCGAATTAACAACGGGAGTTCTTAACTGTTAGGGCCCGTCTCAATTCACATCCTTGAAGAGTTCTGGATGAGATGCGGAAGAATCATTCACTTCGTTCGGAACAAGCTCTGCATTTGTCCTGGATGTGTTCCGGGGAAATGTTCATAAGCAACTGCTTGACTCACCAACACCGATAACTTCATTGCGGGAAGATTGCGGGGAAGTTGTTCAGAATCCTGCAACTTATAACTGATGCAATGTTCGCAACTTGTCCGCAACTTGTCCCAGATATGACTAAGCCATTTGCGAGTTAAATTTGAATAAAGTCTTGAACGCTGACTTAATCCAATGCTTTGCACATTTTAACTTTACATTCTCCGGACCAAAGAGACTGTTACTATATCACGTGATTCGGGGCAAGCCTTACGCTAGCTACCCCCAGCTCTGGCATGGTCTGGTGTCTTTGTGCCATTCTCACCCATTGTGAACAATGTATTGGTGCTGAGCATCTCTTACGTAACTATGCAAGAGCTTGCCCCGAATCATGTGATTAGCAACAGTCAAAGTTAAAATGTGCCAAGAATTCTGAGCAAGTCAGTGTACCAAATGTTTTTCAAATTTAAATCCCAAAGGGTATAGATCACTCGAAAATGGCTTACTGAGAAGGGCCCTTAAAAACAGTCACTTGATTGATTTTGACTGCTGTGATGGCGTTGCTGAATTTGCCAGCCAGAGAGGAAGGGTTTTAAATTAAAAGCAAAACTAGTCTGCATCTCTCGGTGCTTGATTTGAAAATTGAAGCTTACCAAACGGCAGCTTGGCTTTCACTTGTCTGCCTTCCAGCGGTTCGCTGACGCCGTACTGGTTCACCGCCGAGACGCGGAACACGTAGTCGTTGTGCGTCTTGAGGTTGCGCGCCGTGTGGCCCAAGATGGACGCCGAGCTCGTGATCTTCTGCCAGTTGTCGCGGTTGGCGTCGCGCTGCTCCACGACGTAGCCCGTGATGGAGGCGTTGCCGTCGTCCTCTGGCGGTTGCCAGGTTAGCTTGAGGGAGTCTTTCTTGAACTCGGAGTACTCCAGTGGGGCTTTGGGTGGGGTGGGGCAGCCTGAATATTAGGGGGTGGGCAGGGAGAGGAATAGACAATGAGTGATCCCTATCATTAAATAGATACTCTGATAAATACACAAAGTTCTTTGGCTCTGAATATCAAGCTCTGATTTTTATAAGCTATTTTGGTAATGGTCAGTCCAATTTAGGGTACACATTTTTCACGTCCCTGTTACATCTGATATAAGATTTTGTAAATTCAGGTCAAATGCAAAGTTCCCTAAACTAGATCGTTCACTGTTCGCTTCTGTGTTTTGGGGCAAAGTAAACTCTTTTCTTGATAAATATTCAATATCATATATTTTTTCCTTCTCAATATTAAACTAATCAGAGCATTTCAAAACAATGTGTTGATTCGCAATATAGCAAGCTACCAAAAAGCTTACAGTATCTATGTATTTTAAGAGCCCTTGGTTTCATAAATTTAAAGAATGTAAATACAATTTGGCAAAATGCTCAACTGTTCGCATGCATTTCTCTAAAGCTTGCTGGCCTTAAAAAAATCACCAGAAACAAAAACTTATACTTACAGAGTACTGTAACCTTCAACGAAACCGAATCAGTGCCTGAGTCGTTCTCCAACGTGACCTTGTAGGTCCCCGTGTCGCCCCGTTCGGCCGCCTTGTTACTGAGCGTGCACGTGGTTTCTGACGTGTCGACTTCGATGCGATTGTTCAGCTTGATCTCCCGGTTGTCCTTGTACCAGACAGCATCCGGCGCGGGGCTGGCCACGAAGGGTACCTTGACGTCGAAGGGTTCGCCTTCCCTCACCTTGATGTCTCGGAGGCTTAGCGCGTTGGTGTCGATTCTTGGCTTCTCTGGATATTTTAGGGTGCAGAGGAATAATTTCCTGTTCATATAATGAACCCTTCTGCCGAGTAAGGCCTGCTGTGTTGACCCTTGAATGCCACATTTGTGCAAGCACTCAATGCAAGTGACTTATTTTCCAAGCTAATTTCTGATGCAAAGCTTACATACACTGAAGCTTGCCCCATATTCAGCTCCCAATTGAAGTCTAATGCCCATATGCAAATATGAATCAGAATTTAGTGCTGCTTACTGCTTAGGTCTACATTTCTAATTGGGTACCAAATTCTGGACTCAATTAGCTTGCCATTAACTTAACCACACTGATTTGAAACAAGGAAAATGTAGAAAGACTGATATGTTCATAGACGCATCTTAGATACCCCAATGTTTCCAGTCATTCTGATATCCCCTGTTTTTGAACAAGAGCAACATTTCTGTGTTTTGTGAACAAAAAAAAGTTCTGATCATCTGGTGGTTTCAGGCTGTTCCCAATTAAAACAAGGGATAACCTACGGATGCATTTCCGACGAATGTTTCAAAATGATTTTAAAATTTTGAGAAATAAAAATTATGCTGAATCCATATTCCCAGTTTTTCAATTCTTACCAAATTCTGGCTTTGCAATCATGACTTCGGACTCCGGGCTCGGCTGGCCGGGGCCGGCGCGATTCTCCGCGGTGACCCGGAAGTGGTACTGCCTTCCCTCGATCAAGCCCGGCACGGTGAACTTTGTGCCCAGGACCGGGGCCTTGTTGACCTTTGACCAGCGGCTGGATTTGGGATCCTTCTTCTCGATGATGTAGCCCGTGATGGCGTCGCCCCCATCTGACTGAGGCTCGGCCCACTGGAGGTCGGCGCGGTCCCGGTCGTAGCTGGCGATCTTGGGCTTGCCTGGGGCATCGGGCTCATCTGGAAAATCAAAACAATCCAGAATTGTTTTGAATTTTGGGTTTCAAACAAGCATCCTCTGAGCCAAGACCTTGACAATTTGGGAGACAGCTGAAAGAAAGCTGATAGCTCAGCTGGCAAGGATTTTACAAAGGCAGGAGGTTGCAGATTCCAATCCTGCATCAGTCAATTTTTTTTTTTTAAACCTGGTAATTCTAGCTTTAAGGGTTTATCTAATAAATTGCAAAAAATGTCAGAATTTTTTAGAATGAAAGAATTCTTCCAAATTCTTCTGCTTACTCTGATATTTGCATTAAGTTAAATAGAATTTGCTTACTGACAAAAGGCCACTTCAGGTAACAGGTTTGCTGATTTTTTTATTTTTCAAGATTGATGACTTTTCAGCTTGCAAAGTATTTCTGCTGCACTTTGCAAGGTTTTTCAGCTTAACAGTAAGCCTGGCCATGAAAGACCCAATTTGTAATATCTTTTTTAAGAAAGCTTGTTTTAAGGGTTTTTTTTTTTTTTTTTAGAAAAGGCTACTTAAGGTATAAAGGGCTTCATAAGGGGAGAATAAAAAGGGAGTTGACAAAATAAAGAATTTATTTATAGAGGTAACTATTCACGTTGCACTTGAACTGGGACAGTTTGTAAGTAGCTGGGAAACATGACACAGGTAGGGAATTCAAACACGTATCAGTGTGTGAGATGAAACTGGATGAATATCACTAGTGTTGTGGCCTCGTGGTTAAGGGCACTGATTCGTGGTCTGTGGGTAAAGCTGCAGGTCGTGGGTTCTAGTCCTGGCGGGGTCATGGTGCGTGTGCCCTTGAGCAAGGCACTTTGTCACTCATTGCTTCTCTCCACCCAGGAGTAAATGGGTACCTATGAGGGCAGTGATGGCTATTGTGATTGAATTAGCTTCCTTGCGCCCAACAGGCAGCATCGAGCTGTATACTCCCCAGGGAGCTGAGATGGTATATGGAATGTTTAATTGGCCCAACGATTAGGGGTAATAATAATGTAAAGCGCTTTGATCTTAGTTAAAAGCGCTATATAAGAACCTGTTATTATTATTATTATTTTATTATTACATCACTGCACAAAAAAATATTGAAGAAAAATTACAACGGACATCACGCCTTACCGTATGGATTCTTTGCAACAACGGGCGCCGACTCCAACGGCGCGCTGATCCCGCCGTGAGCGTTCTCTGCGCTCACTCTAAACACGTACTCCTTCCCGCGTATCAGCTTGGTGGCGGTGTACGCAGGCGCATTGATGAAACCGCCGCACTTGGCCCAGTAGTCGTCATCCGACTCGCGCTTCTCTATGATGTAGTTGGCGATCTCGCTGCCGCCGTCGTCAGTTGGTGGGTTCCAGGTCAGCCTGCAGGTCTCGTTGGTCACGTCGGTGATGTCAAAGGGGGGCTCCGGTGGAGAAGGCTTGTCTAGTGAACAAAGAATTTGAAAAAATTGTTTGAAGGTAACTGATATTATTCAAACTTCTAGTTATAACTACGTTATGGTAATTTAAGGTGTTTGTCTATAATTGTGTACTAATGTTGGTGATCTGGTACCCGGTACCCTCTGGAGACATGTGCACAATAGGGAACAAAAGATTGTATACGTCTCCACAGAGCAATTTCTATAGGTGAATACGTCTCCACAAGGTTATCACGAAATAGATATATGGATTTTACTCAAAAATTAGGAATTTCCAAGGTGTGTTGATTTGTCGCAAATTGAAGTATTTTATGTAAGGGATATTAAGTACGAATTTCAGCCAAGGAAATTAATTCTGGTTAAAATAGGAGCATCTTGAAAGTACACTTTCAAACTCGAAAACTTTAGTACATGAGAACAAAGAAATGACTCCACAAGGATACAAATTTCAGTATGTGTGTACAGCTACTCTGAACTGGCTTAATGTGTGCCCTGGTAAGTTGAAATGTTCAACAACAGGTTTCTGTATACATGTATATATCCTTGTCTTCTGATATTAAACTTGTGTCCTTCATACGTTGTCTTAACTGTCCAGTGTGTCCAATGTATACTGCTGCGGGCATTGCTGACAGACAATTGCATGTACAGCTGAATGATCGGTTGATGTTGTTTGTAACATTGTTGTATGATGATGCCTCTCTTCATTGCATCTAATGAAGTAGTTGCTGCTACGAAGGCTTACGCAAACTTTCATTCTAGTTAGTCGTTTAAAGTGCTACCTTAACTTTTTCCATTTGATTTTGATATTATAAATTGTTTAAGAACGCCTTGGTTTTTATTTGGCAGTACCTAAGACGATGACGTTGCACTTGGCGTTGAGAGTTCCCGAGTCGTTGGTCAGTATCAACTCGTACTCCCCGGTGTCGTCCCGCTGCGACTCTTTGACTCGCACGGTCGTCTCCTCTTCGGTGCTCTCGATCTGCACGTGCTCAGACGGTTCCAGGGGGCTGCCGTTCTTCTTCCAGGCGACGTCAGGGGGCGGGCTTCCGTCGAAGGGGACGTGGAGTTTCAGCTCCTGGCCAGCCCGGAGTTTGAGGTCCTTCAGGCGGTCGATGCGCAGAACTGGTTTGGCTGGAGTGTAGGGAAAAAGACAATTTCTTCTTTTATGAGTAACAGAAGAGATGTTTCGCAGTTGGCATCATTTTTGGTTGCAAGTCAACATACTTAATGTGCTTAATGTGCTTGATAAGTGTAATCACAGAATGACTTGATTTCAGTTGTATTTTGAACTTCAGACCTGTACATATAAAAGAAACACAGAATTCAAATTAGTTCACTAAAGATTTTAAGAATGCTTACATTTGAAAAAAAAAGTTAGGAAAAAAAAACTGGAGTTCAGGTTTTAAAAGTGTTCCAACTAGTTTGAATTCAGGACATTGATTTTTCTTGCTCAATTCAGTGAAAGCAATATCAGAATATTGTAACTGTCTACTAAAGATGAATGACATTCAAATCTGTAAACCATGCAATACTTCAAATTGAATGTGGAAAGAGAAAAAAAAACCAATCCACCAAAAGAGTTTGGAAAAAAATCCACAGTGTTCATAGTAGGGGCTTTTTCAATGCAGACAGAAGTAAGAAAAGCCAGAGAAAAGACAAATATGTCAGCAAGAACATGTGGAGGCAAACTCCAATTGGAAATTTTTGTAAAGCTGGCGTCTTGTAACGTATTGAAATACCAACAATGTCGTGATTGCTACTCACAGAATTTAGCCTTGACCAGTTTGGGCTGTGACACCTGGCTAGGTTTGCCCTTGCCAGCCTTGTTGACGGCAGCCACGCGGAACTCGTAGGTACGCCCGTCTATCAGATTGGGGACCTGAGGAAGGCAGAAAAAAACCATAAGTTCACAACTGTTGTTGGGAATGTATAACCTGCGCAAAACACATAAATACTTGCCAAAAAGAGAGAGTTGTGATGACAAGGATAAGACGCACTTCGTGAAAAGTGACCAGGACATCACAATTTAAAATTCTAAACTAGATCTTCATCTTCACTCATCACAAAATGCATTTCTCAAAAATAAAAAAGACACTGATTTGGAAGTTTTGTTCTTTTAGTGATATATTAAGCCAATTATAAAGCTTATTTCTCTTTAAATTTCAAACTTCAATTGTGGTGTGAATATTGAACTTATTTTCGCAGTTCTTAAATTGAAAACGTGCATATTGGTTATGAAATGGTGACATAGACCAATCACAAGGATGCCATTTTTGATTGCGTTCCCTGAAATTTATTTACACACACATGCTTTTGTCACGCGATAATGTCATACGTTTTTACATATACGCACAAATCAATGAGCGCCTCATAGGAGCACGTTCACATTTACGCGAAAGCATGTCGTGAGACTTATTACGCGATTTGTTTAAATCAAATTCGATTTGAAATTGGGAACAGGAGATTTTCCGACCTTAAAGTTAGTGCCTCTGACGGGCTTGTCGGTTGCATCCATCCAGCGGGTACTGGTCTTCTCTTTCTTCTCCACGACGTAGCCCTCGATGTCCGCCCCTCCGTCGTTCTCAGGCTCCTCCCACTCGAGGTCCACAAAGTCGTTGTCGTAGTCCACAACCTCCGGCACGCCCGGTGCACCGGGCTCGTCTGAAAAACAAAAAACGAGAGAGAAATGTAAACATCCAGAGAAAATAATAAATAAAAACAAGACAGGAATTGTCAACATCACCAGAATTTTAGGGTAACAAAATTTGCTTTTGCTTTTATTTTCAGAAAAGGATGGATTTGGGGTGTTAGCACTTTATAGAAAATATTGTTACACTGACTTGTTTGAAGTTTTGGGTTTGTAGATGCTGGAAAAACCAAGAGAAAAAGTCATGTTCAGTCTGGTTTTCTGACCCCACTTAAGATGAAACAGAGCAATATAGACGTCAGTGAATTGTAAAGTCAGGGAATCAGTCTAGCTGGCTTGTACCAATTCACAGGTGTGTAATCGATTGCAAAGAAAATGCTGACTAACTAAATATGATAAATTGGGAGCAGTATTTTAAAAAAGCCATTTTTTACCAATGCTGGTCGGCTGACCAGCTTTGAAAATTGATACAAAAATAAACCTTTTCTTGAAAATGTTAGCACTTCAGGTGCCATGATTTTACAGGATGCTTTAGACTGTCATTTACTAACAGTCAAGTAATGTATTTTGTGATAATTTGGTAGTTCTGTTTGTTGATGTTTGCAAATGTTGTATATTCCCATTAAAGCAAGTAATTTTTTGTGTTCCTATGATGGCAGTTTCCTGAGCAATACATACTTGTAACATTTCAGCAAAGCAAATTTCGTTGCCGTTACTTCAGCCAATGCTTTGAAATTTTTTCAACTTTACACCTGCATGTTTATCAAATTAGGTTTTGCCCTTCACCTACGTATAAACACTGTATACTCAGTGCGTGACCTCCCGAGTGAAAGTTGAAAAAAAAAAATCACTCGGGTGGGACTCGAACACATGACCTCCTGCTTTCTAGTGCAGATGTCTTGCAACTCAACCACCGAGCTAACGGGATCGGTTGGCTGGTTCGAATCTGATGTTCATAGCAGCGGGTACCGCATTAACTATTATAATATGGAATTTTTGCGTCGGGGTGATGTAAATCAAATTAGGTTTTGCCCTTCACGGACGTATAACCACCTGCATGTTTGCCGAATGGGACCAAAAACCGGGACACATACCGTATGGGTTCTTTGCCAGGACGGTGTGTGGGGCCTCCAAGTACTTGCTGACGCCCAGAGTAGTCTCTGCAGCAACACGGAACATGTACTCCGTCTTCTCTTGTAACTTGGTAACCTTTAAAAAAACGGGAAACAATATCAAATCTTTTAAGTTATATTTCATGGATAATTTTAAACTGGATGTGAAAAATTATTTTCTAAGTAAGATTTGAGGCTTTGCATGGTGGAGATACTAAATAATGAAAGGTTTGCGGAAACACCATGTGCGAATAATTTCTCAACTAAGAGAATGGTTCTGAAAAGAACCACAGGTATAAACTCGACGTTCCCGGTCAGTATGCTCTGACCGTCTTCAGGAGAGTGCCTAAACTCTAAGAAAGTGAATACTTAAGTAGCAAAAAGTACTTGGCATCCTCACAGGATGCAACTTCACACTTCATTGACTTCGCATTTTGCTACTTAAGTATTCACTTTCTTAGAGTTTAGGCACTCTCCTGAAGACGGTCCGAGCATACTGACCGGAACGTCGAGTTTATACCTCTGGTTCTTTTCAGAACCATTCTCTTAGTTGAGAAATTATTCGCACATGGTGTTTCCGCAAACCTTTCATTGTTTAAATTATTTTCTACCAATACCAATAAAGTCTTTTGCAAAATTAAGAGAAAATATGGTGGAGTTTTGTGATCTTTTGCTCTAGCGCATTGTGTAGGTAATGGTTGTTGGTTTGAGTCCAGCCTCGGTTGCAGTGATTGTGTCCTTGAGCAGCACTCTTTATCATCACCAATTGCTTATTCTCACTCAGGAATAAAACTGGTACCTGTACCTGTAAGTGTACAGATGGATATCGTGTTTTTACAGTAGGAGTTTTTACATACTTTGGGAATTCATTACACAACAGTCATAAATGGTCATGGGGGAAGTGTGGCCTAGCGGTTAGGGATCGTGGCTCATGATGAGAGGGTCAGGGGTTCGAACCCAGCTGCTGGCCTAACGTTGTGTCCTTGGGCAAGCCACTTCACCCCTACTTGCCTCTCTCCACCAAGGAGTATAAATGGGTACCGGCATTAGCTGGGGAGTAACCTGTGATGGACTGGCATCCCATCCAGGGGGAATAGAAATATTCTCAGTCGTTTTGATGCTTCTGAAACCGGAGACAAACGCCGGCCTAATGGGTCACATTGGCTCATGACAGACTTTCATTTTTTTTACTTTTACTTTACTAAAAATCGCCGTAGTGGTATCCGCTTATTTGTAACATTACCTTGAGTGTTGTGTCTTTTGTCGTGTCGTTGACCACCGACCAACCAGATCGCTTGATGTCTCTCTTCTCAATGACGTAGTTTGTGATTGGCTGGCCGCCGTCGTCGGCTGGCGCCTGCCATGACAACACGGCCGAGGTTGCCGTGACGCCATTGATTTCCATTGGTCCTTTCGGGGGACCAGGCTTGTCTAAGGATAAAGAAATTATAATAATCAGTAAATTTGAAAGATTTGTTTATTTTAATAAAATGATCACTATTTTCTATTTTGTCACATTGTTGTGATAATATCAATGTTAATTATTTCATTACATTAAACCATTAGTACCTGTACTACAGTGTATTACATTGTATTACAGTGTATTACATTGTATTACATTGTATTACATTGTATTACATTGTATTACATTGTATTACATTGTATTACATTGTATTAATTCACTGATGAAGCAATTAAACCCTAGAGTGTTCAGGCGGTTTTGGGCGCAACAGAGAGTAATAGCAGGACGGTTTGGGGCAGTAAGTGACTAAAAAGGTAAAACTTTTTGAAATTGGCTGCCGGGGTTTCTCAACTCACCGAGCACGTTGACGTTAGACGTGCCCTTCTCCGTGCCAAACGGATTGGTGACCGTGACGATGTAGACCCCCGTATCGCTGCGGCGCGCGTCCATGGTGGTCAGCTCGGCCGTCAGCAGGTTGCTGCGCAGCTTGGTGCGGTCGTCGGGCACCAGCTCCTCCTCGTCCAGGCTCCAGGTGGCTTTCGGTGGTGGGGTACCAGTGAAGGAGACAGATAGCTTGATGGTCTGGCCGGCCTTGACCGTGAGGTCTTTTAGCTGGGAGACGTCCAAGGAAGGAGGGACTGGACGAAGAATGAAAACCAGTTTACCGATTTTGATCTTTTTGCCTACTATAAAACTGAAGGTTTCGTTGTCAACTTAGCACCTTCGCCTTCCAGAAAGATTTCTTAGAAACAGTCACTTCATCGAGGCAAGCTTCTTCAAAGTAGGAATGCTGCTTTCATTGTGTACTCCCGATAGCTTTCTTCAGGCTTTTGAGCTACAGAAAACTTAGTTTCATTATTAGAAAGAAATACTATTACAAAATTCAAGAAACTGCTCCAGAAATGTGATCTAGGGTTACTTACTCTCGGGATCTTTAGCCACCACCGGCGGTGACACCACACTGGGCTCGCTGAGCCCCGCCTCGTTCTCGGCCACCACTCGGAACTCATACTCCTCTCCTTCCACCAAGTCCGGCACCTAAAACAATGGGAATCTTTAGTGAAACTTCACGCACCAAAAATATTCAAACCTGGACAAGTTGACAATTTGGTGTTTTTATTTTTAGGATTTGGCATTTTCAAATTCCTGAGGTTCTCAGCTTTTATCATAAGTTTTCATAAGTAAGGGAGAGGGATTACGCGATAAAACCCCGACAACCCAACTATGAGATAAAAAGCCTTAAAGTTCAGGAAGTGCGTATTTTTAATGTGTGATTGGGGGGCGATTAGAAAAAGGCATATTCCATTACGTGATTTACAATTCATGTTCACTGAAATGCTTTTTGTAAAAATTTCTTAACACACACACTGTTTGGAATATTAAAATCAACCAAAAACACATTTCTTCCTTGATGGATTACATTCATATTCGTGGAGATTGTAAATTCATTGTTGCTGATTCAGAAAACGTCAAAACCTCAAAATAGTCAGTTTCACCGTGAAGAGACTTCAAATTTCATTTTGCAAGAATATGAACTTCTGCCATTTTATCCGAGATTTCGTGGAAGCAGGTCTCAAACATGTTAACCAACACTTTTCAAAGGCTGCTGCCTACTGGAGTCTTATATAGCGCACGTACCTACCAACAATTAGGTATTCAAGGCGCTGGAAATTATGTCTACTATTAAAGACAGGTAAATGAAGTTTACGAGAAATATGAGACCCATCATGTAGCACTGTTTAAGGGTTTAACAAGGTGCTGCGGCGCATATTGCAGCCAATGCCAGAAACACCGGGGTAAACCCCTTCTCTTTATGATAAGTGTTACTGGGTTCTTTAACGTGCATTACACAATTAACACACAGGACCTACGGCTTTACGTCGCATCCGAAGGACGAAGCAATTATGGTAAAGTGCCTTGCTCAGGAGCACAAGCACCATGTTCCCATGGTCAGGATTCGAACCCATGTACCATGGCACACGGGTCGAACACCGTAACCATTGGACCACAGCACCCCACCCCACCCCAGGATGTGCGCATTTTGGCCCGACGGTAGATTACAATTTTTGTCTTGTAAATGTCTAAGCGTATAAACATCACGTCCTTCGCACCTTGTACTTGGTATCCTTGATGGGCTTCTTGTTGACGCGTTCCCAGTCGCCTGTCGCGGGGTTCTTTTTCTCCACGTAGTAGCCCGCGATGGGACTGCCCCCGTCGTCCTTGGGTTTGGCCCAGGAGAGGGTGACAGAGTCCTTGGTCACGTCCTCGATGACGGGCTCGCCTGGGGGTAGGGCTGGGTCTGTGCGGGGGGTAGGGAGACAGATAGACCTTGAATGGCTTCCAAAGAAAGAGCATCTTGTATTTAAGAATTCTGTGATAATATTACACCATACTCTAGTCTTTTCTGAGTACGAGTCCCCAAAATTGTGACTCACAATAGACTCAATGTTAGTCTGAACTCACATCTACACAGTCGTACTGGCAAACTACGTGACTTACATTTTCACATGGTCTTAACTCAAATGTGTCTTTGAAAGGCCGAGCCACCAAGCGTTTTCAAAAGTATACGGTGAGTAAAAAAAAAAAAGGAAACCCAAATGGCAGGACCAATTATTTAATGAAGTTCTGCATGTAGCACTTTCAAAATCTAGGATATAAAAGCCCAATTCATAAGCTTTCTTGTAGTACAAGAATCATTCAAATCAGTCATGTACTTTTCAAGTTACATAGGGATGTATGTGAATTGATTTCGTTTTGCTGAAAGAACACCTACATTTTGGGGGATCTGTGGACAGAACTTTAAAACGGTGTTTGTGTTCAAAATTCCACAACTTGAAAAATACATGAGTGATTTGAATGATTCTTGTACTAAAAGAAAGCTTATGAATTGGGCTTTCATATCCTAGATTTCGACAGTGCTACATGCAGAACTTCATTAAAAGAATGGTCCTGACATTTGGGTTTCTTTTTTTTGATTCACCCTGTACAATTCAGTAGTTGTCTCTGATAACAAAAACCCAAATGACCCATACCGATTGGTTCCCGCGCCAGGGCCGCCTTGCTAGGCGTGCTCGGTTCGCTCTCCCCGGCCTTGTTGACGGCCATGGCCCGGAACTCGTAGTTCCCGCCCTGCACCAGGTCCGGTACCTCGTAGCTGGTGCCCTTGATTGGGCTCTTGGTGGCCTTGGACCAGCGTGGGGAACCGACTTCCCGCTTCTCGATGATGTAGCCAGTGATCGGGCAGCCGCCGTCGAATTCTGGTGGGGACCACTTCAGCTCAATGCTGCCGTCGTGGGTGTCAACGACTTTCGGCGCTTCCATCTGATCAGCGGGCTCTGAAATAACCACATTTCAAAACCTCAAATCCTTAAAACGAGTCTTTAGAAAAATATTTTCGCCTCTTAGTTTTCGCTTAGCAGATAAAATTGCTTAGCAATTCTGCTTAGCAAATTTGTGCGCTAAGCAAAAATTGGCAGAGTACCAGTCAACAGCAATACATGTGACATGCAATTTTGGCTGGTGACCTGTTTTTGCTAAGCGAATCTCTTCCATCCTTAGCAGAAATTCTGTGCTTAACATCTCCACAAAATTGGCAGCAAGTACGAAGAGCCAAAACTCACCAAATGGTTCCTTGGCAACCTGGGTCCGGTCTGTCTGCTTCGGTTCACTGGTACCCACTATGTTGACGGCCGCCACGCGGAACGTGTACTCCTTCCCCTCCGTCAAGTTGGGGACGGTGAATTCCGTCTCTGACACGCTGTCGGTTGCGACCGTCCAATCGCCGCGCTTGACCTCTTTGTACTCCACCACGTAGTGCGTGATTTCCGAGTTGCCGTTGTCGACGGGCGGTTTCCAGGTGAGGGAGACCGAGTGCTCGTCGTAGCTGGAGATTTTGACGCTTTCTGGACCCTGCGGCTTGTCTGTATGGAGAGGAAAAAAGAGTGGTTTGATTGTTGTGAAGATCTAATTTCATGGAAATTTTTCAATAAGCCATTTGCGAGTTAAATTTGAATAAAATCTGGAACGCTGACTTAATCCAATGCTTTGCACATTTTAACTTTACATTCTCCAGACCAAAGAGACTGTTACTATATCCGTGATTCAGGGCAAGTGTTACGCTAGCAACCCCCAGCTCCGACATGGTCTGGTGTCTTTGTGCCATTCTCACCCATTGTGAGCAATGTATTGATGCTGAGCGTCTCTTACGTAACTATGCAAGAGCTTGACCCGAATCATATGATTAGCAACAGTGTCTTTGGTCTGGAGAATTCAAAGTTAAAATGTGCCAAGCATTCTGAGCAAGTCAGTGTACCGGATGTTTTTCAATTTTAAATTCCAAAGGGTATCGGTCACTCGCAAATGGCTTATTGGTCGACCACTGGTATAAAATAATTTTTCAAAAGATATTTTGTTAAATTCTTGCCTTTTTAAAAAAATTTGAAAATTTTCCACAATTCACCCCAAAATGATAAAACGTGCCTACCAATGACCGTGATCTTGAAGTTGGCCGACTCCGTGCCGTGCTTGTTGTTCACAGTGACCGTGTACTCGTTGGTGTCGTTGCGGTCGGTATGCGTGATCAGCAGCGTGGCGCTCATGGGCATGGTCACCATCTGGGTCCGGTCGTCTGGCGCCAGCGTGGTGCCCGGCTTGGACCATTCCACTTGGGGCGCGGGGGAGCCGGAGATGTCGAGGGTGACTTCCACGGGCTCACCGGCTTTGACAATCAAGTCCTCCATGTCCAGGGGCATCTTGAGGGTGGGTGGAGCTAATATGTAGAAAAAAAGGGGGGACTTTTGAAAATTTCATATTTTTGAAACGTTAAAGCTATAGTCCATCATTTGCAGCCATCCGAAAAGTAACTGGCGTAATTATTGTTGAAAAACATACTTAGTTGAAAGATAGTAAGGGAACTAAACTCCCTGTGAAATTATTCTTTCTGGGAAGCTGTCATTTTGAAGTAATCAACGAAAGAAGGCATTTCCAACGGTGATTCTTAAGAAGCACCGTAGGAAAATTTAAATTAGTAGTTCGTTTTGTTATTCAGCGCAGCGTAGCGCACGCAAGTATTGGAACGACGCACACGCGCGCGCGGTTGTTATAATTCGTCGGATCAGTGCGCGACGTCACGTATAGCTGCAATTCAAAACATGATTCAGTAACTTTTGATTTGAAATTGAGATCTTAGAATGCTGGTTTTTCTCGGAATGTACAGCTGAAGCTTAGCTGAAACTTTATCAGGTTAGTTGCTTAGTATCCTTTATTAGATTTTGAACTCTTTTGTTACTTCAAACGAACAAAATGCACAAATTACAAATGATGGACTATAGCTTTAATATAAATTGGTAAGCAAGAGACACATGCATTTATCCCGAAAGTAACCTCCCAAATTATTATCAAAAGGTTTACTTGGATTAAAGATCGTACAGGTACTCAACACCTCGTGAAATTATATTTCGTCTGGCTTGTTGTTATTTACAAGTTTTCAAGAAATGTGGGTGATTTCAAACAATCAGTCAAATTAGTTTTGGAAATAAAAAGTGCAACTGACAAACTTGTGTCTCATGACTAAGGCCAAAAAAAAAAGTCTCCGGTTTCTGGTATGGAGCTTGCCCCAAAAGTGGTGCGGTGACGCGGCTTTTTTTTTTTTTTTTTACCTGTTTTTTTTTTTTTTTGCTTCAAATGTCGGCTGATGACTGCAAATGGTGCCCGACTAAACTTAGTGCAAATATATGGGAGTCCAGAGAGGCCACATAAAGCTTATTCTCGATCATAACCCCATCTAAAAACACGTCAAAATTGTGCAGCAGCAGAATTCCAGTCAAACCAGTGAGTTTGGCGGTTTTGAGACATCATCTTGTATTGAAAAAAAACCTTTTTCATTTTGCCGACGCGCATGGCTACGGCGACGCACGCGCATACCAGAAACCGGAGACTTTTTTTTTTTGGCCTAAAGGGTTGCGCATGGTTTTTTTTCCACTGTTTTCTCAAAGAATGTAATATCAACTGAGCTGAAACTTTAACAGGTTAGGTTATGAACACTTGGATTTTGAGTGGTGTTATTATTGGAAATGAACAAAATGCACGAAAAGCAAATGGTCCAATATGCCTGTAATTAATTATGATGTTCCTGTAAACATTCTTTTCTCGATTGGTGTTGATGCACAAAAAGAAAATGATTCTATTAGCCTTTGGGCCCCAATCAGGCCCCTTTCTGGTTTGAAGTCTTTGATGCATTTTTTTCCAATGACAACTAACCTTGAACTTTGAGATTAGACCGTGTAGCTCTAGTCTCGTCCAGGGCGCACGCGTAGTTGGCCTCGTCCTCGGGCCCCACGTCCTTGACAACCAGTTTGCGCGTGGGACCCTCGGAAATCATCTCGTACTTGTCCTCCTCTCCGGGCATGATGGGCTGGCCATTCTTGAACCAGAAGACCTCCGCGTCGTCGCTGGAGACCTCCGTGGCAAACTCGGCGTCCTGGTGGGCGAAGGCTTCCACTTCATCCGGCAGGTTACCGTTGAAGTTTGGCGGCTCTGAGCGGAAGAACACAAAACAATACAGTGGATAAATCTTCTTCTTCTTCATTCATTCATTTTCATGATGACTTGATGAGTTGGGCCCAACTGTCCCTGTCGAGCATAGTGTTGGAAAGAGATGGACCACTCAGACCAGTTTCTAGCTCGATGGATGTTTTCAGGGTCATGTTGGGACGACCTTTTCGTCGAGGGGCTTCAGGATTCCAGAGGAGAACTTGACTAGCTGGCTCATTGTCAATAAACGTTACCGGCTAGCCGAAGCCGACGCTGTCTGATGGTGGTGGAGATAGGGGGAAGGGCACCATACAGAACAGAGTTAGGGAGATGTTGTTGCCAAGAAACGTTCTGTACAGCCCGCAACATCATCCAATAAAGAAAGGGATGGATGCCACACAGTATATTTCATTTAAAAATGAACCAGTTTGACTAAATGCACGAAATAAAAATAAATGTCTGTGGTAAAATTTGAAAGTTATAAATTTGCTTTCAAAACAGCTTAAACTCTTAAAATTCAAAATAAGTGAAATTTCTTTTCCAGATAACAGCTATAACAGCTGAAAGGTAAAACACAAAAAATATACCCACACATCACCAAAAGCTTTGAAAATAATTGAGGTTTTTAAAATAGTTTCCAAAGCCTCCAACAGCAACCCTCCATAATATCAATGAAAGCAGTTCTAGATGTTGACAAAACAGCTCATACCATTTTCAAAATAGCCTTTGTCTAGTATAGCTTATAGAATTTCCAAATACCTGGAACAGTCAACTTGATCTTGCACTCCAAACCAGTGAACTCACCAAAATATCAGACAGAACAACTTGAAAATTATTTGATATTAATTTCACAAGTAGCAAATATAAAATTTGAAAATACCTGTAACAGTCAGTTTGGCCTTGGACTCCAAATCAGCAAACTTGACGGTGTACTCGGCCGCGTCGTCAAACGCCGCCTTGTAGAAGACCAGCTTGCGGACGCCTTTGTCCATCTTGGTGACCACCCGGTCGTCCAGAGTGACCGGCTTGCCGTCCTTGAGCCACTTGACCTCCGAGGTGAAGTCGGAGATCTCGCAGGTCAGCGCGCAGGACCTGCTCTCCACCACAGTGACCGGTGACAGCTCCTTAACGAACTTGGGTTTGGCTGAGATGGGCCAAAGAAAGTTAACGCAAAAAAAAACTGAAATTGAAATTTGGCTAAAAACTCAAGTGATGTTTCTCCTTTCAAAGGAATTCCTTCTTCAATTAATTTAATCTGCTGTGTTCATTCCTCCAATGTGGGGGCAACACTATAAGTGAAACTCTTTAACGGAATTCTTTAACCAATTAATATTTAATCCACACAACAATTTGATATCAATGGAAGAAAGGGAACAAATGGGACGATATGATGTTATAAATCCTGTTTTACTGGGGCAAAAAGAAAACAAAGACAATTAAAGACAGCACACAACTATCTACAAAGATACGAGGTTTTGGACCGGTTCGTCAAGCATTCACGATGACTTAATTAAGGCAAACAGAGGATACTTTCGGTCATTTCACCAAAATAATGAACTTATTTTCTTAAAATTGGGCACTCTTTTAAAGAATATGGAAGGCGGGATGAGTAGTGGTGAACTTTTTTCCAGATTTTTCTGGTTTGGGGTGAAAATGATGTTTTAAAAGGATGCAACCGAGTGTCGTCTGTTCCAAGTAGCCACCTAATAACATTTCTAGATTCTAGTTTGTCATTTTGGTCGTAACTTTGACGTCATCAACGTATTTCTGGTTTCTGGTCTAGAATATGCCCCTGTACACAACAAAAATTAGAACCTTACACTTGACGGTCAGATCGGCGCGGCTGTACCGCCCAAAGACGCTGATGGCAATCTCGCTCTGGTCGGCCGCCTTGCAGTCCTTGACGATCAGCGTGTGGCGCCGCCCCAGCCGCTTGACCTCACATTTCTTGTCGCGTGGCGGCACTTTGTCGTTGCCCTTGTACCACTGGAGTTCCATGCAGTCGCCCGACAGCTCGCAGCTGAACCTCGCGTCCTGTCCCTCGTGGACTTCGACGGGCTTCAGGAGCGTCACAAAGTCCACCTTCGGTTTCCCCGCTGGATAGAAAAAAAATAATCACAAAGCCCAAATCTGCCGTTTTAGCTTCAGATCCTTGGTAAGAAATTTCGTTATTCTGTTAGTTGACACTCTACATGCTAAACAGTTATTGATGGTGATGTCATGGGTTCGTTGCCATCTGAAGAATGGACTAAGCACGAATATCTTGCTTAGCACGTTGGGCAGGGGACCGGCTAAAACTGAGAAAAGTGTGTGGAGAAACTGTTAGCTGGTTCCCATTTCACTGTGTCAGACAGATATTCGTACTTAGGGAATTTTCCAGTTGGCTGGATCAGGTTATGACTGTTTAGGACGAAAAATTAAAAGACAGGGGTATATAAATGTGCATAGACTGAGTAAGGGCACAAATTTGATTGGTATGTTGATGATGGACGTAGGTAGAGAAATTGTATTATTTTTATGGCTAAACCCAAAGCTAGAAACAACAATTTTCTTTATTTAATGATGCAAAGCCAAATGACAAAGTAAAGAAATACAGGAATATAACAAAACAGAGAAAAAAAAGGCAAATATTACTTTGTACAGAACGCAGGTTGGAGTTGGCTTTTGAAGGAAAACATTTACTTGACTGTTGTTGAAAACTTAATGTCAGAAATATCACAGTAATTTTCTTCCTGTTTTTCCGTCTTATTCTTGTTTACCCTTTTTTATGGGGGGGGCAGGAGATAGAAGAATTTGTGGCTTACTTAAGATTAGACTTCTAGATGATGAAACAGTCTACCAAAAAAAACTTGAACATGAAGAAATTCAATACTTGTGGGAAGTAAAATTTATGAGAAATGCTAAAATATGACACTATAACAGTGTTTTATTAATGGGAATCTCTAAACAACTAGTATGTGGTGAAGTGCAATGGCCACTGCAAATTACAAGGTGTGCCAGAGTTGGGGGAGAACACAAAATGTACGTGTAGTTGGTGTGAAAAGGGAAACAGAAGGTCTTGTGTGCACAGACACTTCATGTAAAAGAAACAAGTAAAATGTGAAAAAAGTAAAAGAAAAATCATTTTGCAACAATTTCAGGGGTGGTGGTTTTCTTCAATAAAAAAAAAAAAAAAGGGAAAAATAACAGGTACAAAGTGAATAATGTGAAAGTTAGTGCCATTTTAAAAATTCACATTATCTACTTTTCCGAAAAAACAAAAAGAAATGAAGAAAATTAGTCACTTTTTTGTGTGTTTGACAGGGAAACTTGGGAGACCAATAAAAAATGGAACAAACTTTCACACTTAACTCTTTCAGTGCCAAACTCGTACATGTACGGGGTATATTTGTTAATACAAAAGCGCCAACCTCGTACATGTACGAGGTAATGTTCGTACTTAAAATTAAGGTAGAGTAAATATGTTATCAAAAGGGGGCGCTCTCGCTCTTTCTAATGGTACCATTTTCATGCATGTACGACCTGTATTTATTTTTTCATTCGAGTTCTTGCGAGAGGGCGCAGCACTAAATCTCGTATTTTCTGCAAAAAGTGCGGAATTCCCCTGTGTTCAGGCCAGAGTTTCAGGGTGTATCACTATGTTTGTGACTACTTTTGACTTTCCAATACATCAAGGATATACCAGAGAGCAACAACAACAAATTTATTGAGTAAAACTTATTTACTTTTTTTTTTTACAGAATTTCGAACAATTAACCAAAACGCTCGAAGTTGGGCACTTTAGGGTTAAACTTTTCAAATTTCGCGGGCACTGAAAGAGTTATAACTGTGAAAAGGTGAATGTGGTGAAAGTGCTGAAGCTAAAGAGTGAAATGAAGAAAAACAATCAGTGGAAAGTGAAAAGGGCAAATCATCGTTTTTATTTCAAAAGCACCATCCGGCGGCCATCTTTTTTTCTCTGGCACCTATGAGGTCACGGCTGACTTCATAATGACCGCAGGCCTCGAGGTCAAGGTACTAGACGGCCACTGCATGACCAATCTGGTTTGGAGTGAAATACTTACGTGGAGGAGCGGCTGTATCGATAATTAATGGTTTGTCATGTTTTGAGTTAGGTGGATTATAGGGAAGTGGAATGAGGGAAAAGGAAGAAAAAGAGACGAGAAATAGAGAGGATCAGAAAAGGATGAAAAAGATAAAGATAAAAAAAGAGGCCACTTGTACAGATCAAATTTTATCGTAATCAAAGATCTGATAAAAAAATATGTAGATACGGAAACATAATTTGAGAAACGTAAACATAAAACTGCAAAGGGGACAATTTTTTTAAAGTAAAACTTCGATAAATTATGTAGCATTCTCAGATACACTCAACTTTATTACTTTAAATTTCTAGGATTTGTTGTTGGCAATTTAAAGTTCACTGAACTGATGTTCAAAACTTCAACCATCATAAAAGGAACAAATGTGGTCAAATTTTCTAAAATGAAACCTTCCTTTTTTCATGAGTTTTTATTAATTCGCGAGAAAAATAGAAAATACTTCCTTCCCTTAATAAATTGAATGTACAAATGGCCTCAGAAATTCAAACAGAACTTTAACGAGAAATGTGACATCATTGAAACAAGTTTCAGAGAAAGATGAATAATGTATGGCCAGATATGGAAATCTAAAATGAACCTTACAGGTTTCGAATATGTCTGAAGCATGGGGACAAATACTTTGCATATTTACCATGCAATTTGCATATCCATCGTGAAAATTTGCATACTGATCATGCAATATGTATGTTCATCAGTCACCATGCATATTCATGCAGCACATGCTAATGATCACCAGCAAGGGAAACAGACAAGCTGCAAACGGGAGAAAAGATGAAATGGCGACATGAATTTATTTATTATTTTTTTTTGTATAAAATGGAACAGTCCATACCACCCTTAGGTAAAATCCCCTTGGAAACCATTGTAGTCACTTCTCTGTCAGACATGGTTGCTAGGCAACGGTGCACTGTGGGTAGATGCATCAGCCAATGGGAAAACAGCAGAGGAAGGGAGGAGCAAGGCACAAGAAAATAGCGTGGTAGACAAACAAAAATTGGACAGAAGCGAGAAAAATAGCAAAGCAATGCAGACAATTTGATACGCCTTAACAATGAAGCAAAAAAAAGAAAGAAAAAGCTGTAATAAGGAGCTTCTACGTGTCACTTGGTGGTCAGTCGGTCGGTCGGTCAGTGGGTCTGTCTATCTGTCCCCGAAAATTGACCAAAATATTTGACCAAAAATTGACCAAACACCATGCCATGGTCATATAAAAGCACTCTTGCCGAAAGATTTCGGAAGACCAGCTTTGTGTTGATCGATGCGCATGTGCGTCTATTTTGCATATGTCTGTCCCCGGAAAATTGACCAAAAACGAGCCCCCTGGCCCTAAGTTTCCCATAAAGTGTAACTACCAAATTTTAATTTTCCAAAAAAAAAATTAAAAAAAAAAAAATTAAATACTTGACAAAAATTGTTTGTGACAATTTGTGGGGTTGTTTTATAAATGGAGGGAAGATATGTGCAGTAATGTTATAGTCGCGTGGCATATAGCGCAGCGCGATTTTCAAATTGGGATGGCGGCCCGGGCTTGTACGCACAATCGTTTCATGCAAGACTTTCATGCAAGACGGCCAGAGCTTATTGTGCACTCATTTTGTAAACTGCAAAAAAGCACAAACGCATACTTGCCAAGCACGGAAAATGAACAAGCATAAAAGCTACATGGACTGCTGACTGACTAAAAAGCATGTGCACATTTACAAAGCTAGATTTTTCAACCGAGGATTAGCGATAAATTACAACGCCAACATTCCTGGAGTCAAGAATAATGATACTACATCACACACAGGGGAACTTTGCTAACACCATTAAAAAATAACACCATTAAAAAATAAGCCTCTGTACTGATGACGTCATACTTTGTTTACGTGCGTGCTTTCCTATGGTGCTCAGTGGACCGCGGGCCCCCACTGGCTCCATAGGAAAGTGCACACCTAAACAAAGTGTGACATCATCAGTATAGCGGCTTATTGAGCCATGCTAGCTGTAAATCATTCTTCTAAATTCTAATGGCATTATAAAATATGCATTATTCTTGAACGAAACAGGAAAAAGAAAATTCCCAAAGATGTAAAGTTTAGACTGTTTTGTCTGGGCACATTGGCGGATCCAGTGGGTGCTGAGGGGGTGCCCGCCCCTGGGGCAGTGACAGAACTTTTCTCAAGTGTGAGAGCCCTCCCCCCGGCAAAGCCTCAACATCCCTGGATCCGCCCTTGGAAGCATGAACAATTTTCTTCTCGCTCATAACTAGTCTCTGTATGCAAACTTTGTTAACTTGCATTTAACATTCTTTGGGAAGTGGTATCTACGCATTGGTTTGAATCACTCCAAAAGATGCTCATTATGGGCTCCGTGCACAAGTACTCCTTCAACGGCCAAAAAAGGAGAGTTGGGGAGACCTAGACTGGTTCCCGGTCCATCCACTGCGTCTCTTGAATGATCCAAAGTTATTGGAGGCAGGGATTTGTCTGGGAGACCATCGCAAGTTAAATTTGAATGTTTTTGCGCGCCGACGACGCCTGACGCTCACGCAAGACGCTGTGACTAGCTTTGGCACATTCGGGAAGTCGTGCATACTTCGCGCGCAAACCAGTGCAGTACAGTGCGCACACGCTGTGCGTCCCGTCTACGGGCTCTCAAAAGTGGTAAAAAAGCGCCCTCTTTTGTTGGCGCATGGAGCCCATATCAAAAACTGCTTTCACAGTGAATATACAGAAAAGAAATTTCCAACATTTGTTCAGTACTATTTAGTGAACATCTGTTCATATTTGAAAAAGAAAAATCCATTTTAAAAGCAGCGTCGAATATTCAGCGAAGTTCTTTTGAAGAATTAAAAATCCTTGAAAAAGCCCTGAATCTGAACCACGCGGACTCACCATCGATGACCACGTTGCACTTGGACTCGGCAAAGTCACCAAACTTGACCGTGTAGTCCCCGCTGTCCGCCACCTTTAGGTCCGTGATGGTCAGCTCGTAGTCGTTGATCGTACTCTTGATCTTGTACTTCTTGCTGGCTGTTAGTTCCTGGCCGTTCTTATGCCAGGTGGGCTTGACGCCATTGGCCTTACAACCAACTTCGAGGGTCAGCCGGCCGTCGCGCTCGTTGGCGCGGGTCGATCTTAGGGGACGTGTCACCTCCGCGCCCTGGTGGAACGTTGAATTACGACTTTCGATGAGCCAGTTTGGTATTCTCGAAGGCATATAGGATCATTTGCTTTTCATGCATTTGGCAGTTTCCAATAATAACGCCGCTCAAACTTCAAAGTGTGTTCAAAACCCAACCTGTTGAAGTTTCAGCTCAGTGGATATTAATACGCTTGTCGAGAAAACAGTGAAAAAATATGCCCAACCTTTTTGATCACGAAACACGATTTTGTCCATGGCACTCTTTATTTCCAAAAATCAGTCCACTGACTGATCGTTGGAAATCACCTACATTTCTTGATTTCCTCTTAATGACAGCAAGCCAGATGGAAGAATTCCACTGGGTATTTAGTACCACACAATCTTAATCCAAGTAAGCATTTTTTTAAAAATAATTTGGTAGGTTACTTTTGGGATAAATGCAAATGATCTTATTATGCCTTTTAGTCCAGTTCATAATTGGCGCGAAAACGCATGCGAACACAAAATTTCTATTGGCATGACAAACATTTAAGATAATAATTTGCAAAAAGTTGACTAAGTTTCAAATCCAGCAAGTTTAGCTGAAAATGTTTCATGAGGTTATGGCTAGAGTTCCTTTTTGCATTTTCATTCATTAGCATATGAACCTGTTTCAATTATTGGAAACAAACAAGCCACTAGTATGTGTTAAAATTGCCTGTCGCTCTTACCACTTTGTCGGGTACATCAGTGTCCTTGAGGGTGCCCCAGTCTGGTACCTCAACCTTAGACTCACGCCGTTCCACCTCCCTGAAAAGGGTACCACACCAGAGGGTTATTATCCTCACTGCACATGCTCACAACATGCTCAATAAGATCACACGTGTCGTATCACAGCTTTTTTTTTTTATTCAAATATTTGAAAATTTTTTTTTTAGCGGTTTCAAGGAGACAAACACAGCTGCACGTAAACCCTAACGGCAGCAAATTTAACTGGATCAGAGCATTTCGAATATTCAAATATTCAATCAAATTAATTGAGACAAGTACAAATTGGAATAATCGAATAAAACATTTTTTTCTGAGCTACCTGTGTCTCAGGAACTGACGGAAATCCAACGCATCAGCTTCTGGCTTTTCTGGTGGTAGGAAAAATTAACAAACAACGAAAAGTTAGAAAGTTGTTTTCTTATCTTTTATCCAATATTCTCTTGAATATTGTCTGGTCAAAAAGGGGCTACTTATACATTTATAGAACGGCTGCTTCCAGTATTTAAAATTGTCCGAAACAAAAAAAGGGGACAAAAAAAGAAAAGAAAAATACCAAAGATCACTAACCGATCAAAATATCATGAGAAATGGTCTGAAAGTTTTACCCATTCCAGTTTCAGTTCAACACAAATCTTAACAATAAATGATGAGTCCATGTAAAGTCAAAACCCAACATTATCCTTTCTCTGTTACCTCCTCTACCAGAAATCCTACGATAAAAAAGATCCTTCTAATTATCAGTATCTTGGCCCAACGTTCGCACAAGAATGGAAAACAATGTATGAACTCCGTGCACAAACAATAGATGGTGTTTTTGACCACTTTTGAGAGTCCCAAATGGGCGGCACAAACCGCATGCACGTACTGGCTCATGCGCGTATTGGGCAAGGTACGCACGATTCTGAATGCGCCCAAACCCGTATCATCTTCAAGCAAACTTGAATCCTCGATCCTGATTGGGCGATCCATGGCATCAACAGCGCAATATTATACGTGATTGCAAGGTCCGTAGCGCACTCTGTGAATTGTACTATTCCAAGATGTACATTTCTGATCCTGATTGGGCGATCCATGGCAACAACAGTGTGATATTCCAAGATGCGCGCGCCGTTCCTTTTGCCACACTTTTAATAGAATGACCACTGACAATTTTGTGCACCGCATGCGTGTTCCATCTTTACTGTGCGTCAAGTTTGCTCGAAGATAAATTCGTTATCCAACTCGCGCTCGTGGAACACAGAAAATGTAGACGCATTACATTATTCCGTGTTCCACTCGCGCTCGCACGATAATTAATAGTGTCTTCGCGTGAGCTTCAGGCATCGTCAGCAATGCGTTCCAATGTCTCTCCTAGTGGTCTCCCCAAACTCTCCCTTTCTTACCGTTGAGGGGGTACTTGTGCACGGAGCCCATACTAATTATAACTGAATTTCTATTTTCAAAAAAATGCTGCTACATGTACGTTTTTCCGATTTTTCCAATTTGAATACTTAATGGCACACCTTCTTCTGGAGTTTCTTCCGGCTCCACTGCCTCCGGGTTCTCTGTTTTTTTCCACGGGGAAAATTTGACGACAGTTTTCAGTGAATTGACGCGGGCCTCAGTTTTACAGAATTTACAAGTTTTGCTTCTGCGGCTAATGAGTTTTGGGAATTTGTTATCTCGCTGTAAGCTGTGCTTTGTTTTGCGAAGCAAAAGTTAAACTTGGTGCTTATTAGTGAGTCTTGTAAACGGGTTCCTGCAAGTCGTCTGGGAGAAAAGACTTCCGTGATTTTTCCCAAAAGTTTTCCATGATAAAACATGGAATCTTTTTTTATTTTTTGTGGATAGTCATGGAAAAACGGACGACACATTTTTGAGTCACTGATTTCTGGAATTCTGTGATCCATAATTCCATGATTCCTTGGATCAATTTCCATGTTTGTCACGGAAAACACTGGGAAGTGTCAAGGAATTTTTCCATGATAAATGGTGAGTTTTCCACATGCAGTCACGGAAAAGAGCTCCTGTAGGGAATCCTGAACAATTCCTGGAAATAAAACCTCCAGATATTGCCATATTTTTTCCTTGGGAATTTTCCAATTTTTTTCCCAAACATTTTCCGTGACTCGTCCCGGAATTGGTGATTCCGGATCAACTTTTACCCCCAGATTTCCTCAACAGGAACCCTACTGTAAAACTGAGCCCCGGTTCGGTCAGGTCTAGCTGTGCAGAAAAAAATCAAAGTGCATTGTGGGAAACTGTGTGTGCCGAGCGCGTGTGAAGGAAGGGGAGGAATAGTCCTGGAAGTCTGTGCATAATTAATAAAAATGAAACACTGGTGTGGGGGACCAAAATATCATGCACTTAAAAAAAGAACGAAACGTAGCGGCGGACTAAAAGTTATAATATTAATATCATTTTTAACTTTGCATGTTTATTTAATAATTAATCATTAATCATCAACACTGTTTCATTCGAAATTTAGTTTTCTACACTCAATTAGACGATTATAATAAAGCTCAGAAGCACTTCTGTAGCCAACGCAACAAAATTACTATTATTAATGTTTTCATTTTGTGAAGCCAAAATTCGAAGAAAAAAAAAGAAAAAACAGCCAGAGACAACATTTGTCAATGATTAACTGCCACTCTCAAAACAGTCAGCGGCCAAATCGTTTTTGAACTACGATCTATTTTAACATCTTTATTAGCCGAGACAGCTGTGTGCAGTGGACACTGTATTCTATCGGTGCAGAAAGTGTCAACGTTACAATGTAAGCATTTTCAAAGGGTGCTGTTTGATTTGGTTCCCGTGTTGATTGGTTCTCCCATCATATTGAAGGGATGCGCCTGAAAGGTTCTCCAATTCGACAATTTGACAATGTTCTAATGACTCAAACTGAATGCAAAGACATCATTTTAGAAATACAGTGGAACGTCGCTTTACCGAACACCGCTATGCCAAACATTCGGCGATACCGAACATCGTCCTTGGCTCCCGATTTTTGTGTACAAAACATACCGAACATTGTTGAAAAATGTCAACAGAAGAGCAACAAGTGGCTATTATTTCCCCAAGGAATAGAAGGGGAAAGCCACCCATTGCTGTAGGTGGTAAGCTCAAAAACTGTGTAATTACATAATTCAATAGTCGGCAAATGTTCAAAGTCGTCTTTCAGTAACTACCAGGGCGTGCAAGGTGAAGTTCTGAAGTGCGCTATTTATTGAAAAGTGAGTACCGGAGCACAGACAGCTTAACATCGCTTATAACGAATGATCGCTATTATGAACCATTTCATGTGGATCCTGCGATGTTTGTTATAGCGGCGTTCCACTTGTACAAGTCTTTTCTAAAACCAAAATTTGCTGAACAGGGGTATATAAAAAGAAATCAAACAGCACCCTGAATTAAGTAACACTTAAGTCAAAGACCTGTTGGGGAAAAAAAAGGCAAAACAAAGGTGAATTTTTTCAATTTTCATTTGGAATTGGAACAATTTACTTTTTCTTCAGCAATGTGCCCAATAACAGTTTTGTAATGCACTGGGTGTTTTTTTTTCGATATAATTTAATCAAAGCAAGAGCGAACAATGCCCTGAGCATCGAGGGGGGGGGCCTAGTACCAACTAGGGGGCCCACTACCATAAAAAATACAAAAAACACATAGGTATGGCTTTTGCCGTTGGGAACAAGTGCTCGCCAAGGGGGTCCCGGCCCCACCAGCCCCCCCCCCCCCCCCCACCCTTGGCGACGGGCCTGGATAGCGTGAAAGGCCCCTTAGTCTCCATTTTTGCCACATAATTTACATTCAGACACACTTTTTTTAAGAAAGACAAATTCTTTTAGGAGGAGTACAACCATCAGTTAGGCCTTTGGCAACTGCAGGCAGCGGCTCTTTAAGCAGAAACCTGCTTAGTAAATTGTTTTTGCCGACCAGAACCCAGCTGAAAATGAGTCACAAAGTCCCTGTCTTATGATGAGAGATTAAACAATCTGCACCTGACCACACTAGAAACAAGAAGGAAAAGGGGCGATCTCCTCCAAACCTACAAAATCATGATTCAAATCGACAGGATCAATCCAGACCATTATAAGATGGAATTTTTGCGCCGGGGTGATATAACTCAAATTAGGTTTTTGCCCTTCACCGACGTTTTAAACACTGTATACTCAGTGTGTTACCTCCCGAGTGAAAGTTGGAAAAAATCACTCGGGTGGGACTCGAACCCACGACCTCCTGCTTTCTAGTGCAGATGTCTTACCACTCGACCACCGAGCTAACGGGATCGCTTGGCCGGTTCGAATCTGATGTACATAGCAGCGGGTACCGCATAAACTATTATAAGATGGAATTTTTGCGCCGATATATAATTTGATATAAATCAAATTAGACCATGACCATGTTTCAGAAAGCTTACTACCCGGGTACCACAGAACATTCACAGAAACTAGCCAAATCCAGACCAAGACTTGACGTCAGAAAGCACTTCTACAGCCAGAGGCTAGTGGATAGCTGGAACGAATTGCCTTAGACTTGCCATCCAAGCGTCCACACTTCTCTGCTTCAAGCAGAATTTAAGTAACTTGGGTTTTTAATGAGCAAATGAAGCCTGCTTAACCCTGCCACACTTTTCTGCTACATGACGTGAAGTTGGAGGTGTGGCCTTCAATATAAACAAATATAAACATAAACTGTTTACAATTTCTGGTCAAGCAACTATTTTTCTGTGCTAGGCAAATGAAGCTCCGTGATACTTGCGCAAGCCTTATGTTGTTTGACAGAACTTTCAAAATTTGGACGGCTTCAAAAGACACCGATACTTACTGTTGACCATCATTGAGAAGACGCGCTCGTCTTTGCCGTGGTCGTTCTCCACGATGCAGCTGAACTTCCCCGTGTCGGTCATCTCCGACTTCTTGACTTCCAAGACGTGGACGTCCTGCTTCTCCAAGAACTTGACCTGACAAAAGAGGAGATAAATTGAGGAAGGAGGATTGGATTTGGTTTAGAGGAAATAAGCTAGAAAACCTGGTCACTAACCCTTGACAATTTCAAGTTGAAGACAAAAATCTCTTTGATTTTAAAAAGTCTTTTTTACTTAGCACCGTGCATGACTTTAGCATCTGCAGGTAACTTTGATATTAACCTCCTATGCAAACGTACATTCAGTGCCAAGTTGTCCTTTCAGTCAAAATCAAGCAAGTGACTGTTTTTCAACAGTTAAGAGCTCCCAGCCTTCATAAAGCAGGATCGACTGGCTGGGACTGTTTATGTAACTTGATACAGCTATGCTTTGACTGTAGGCGATTGATAAGCCAGCTGTGCCTACTCCATGCCTGCTTTTGTCTGTGGACTGAATCTGACTAGTCACAGTGCTTGCTTGACATATGATCCGACTGTTGGGGACTAGCCTGTGGAAAAGGCATGGCAGGGGAAGAGGATTGAACTTTGACTGTCTGTGACTGGTCGGACAGCAGGAGGTTTTGAGATAAACAGTGAGATACGCAGCCCCACAGGTCCAGCAATTTTTCCCCTTTTTTTTGAAAGGGGAATGATAATGTGAATGTAGACATAATGTATTTATCCAACATTTTTGGATAAAATGACATTCAACTTTCTTCAATCAGAAGCATCCAATATGCTCTTGAGAAGGGGGAAGCAAAATTACGACAAAGTGTCTTGCCCAAGGACACAATCACTGCAGACACTGCAAGCCGGCTGGCCCGTTCCCACAAAACACTTACAGCATAGCGATTCTTGTAACCGTCGTCAATCTTCGTGCTGCCTTTGTACCATGTGACTGTGGGCTTCGGTTTGCCTTCCACCACAGCCTCAAACTTCACTGACTGACCTATGGGTCAAAAAGGTCAAAGGTCAAAGACATGGACTGATTAGTTTTATGGGGGAAAAAATGGAAAGAAAAAGAAACTAAAGCTTCGTGTCAACACAGTTGAAAGCAATTCCACAGAACTGTTGTATATAGCAGAAGGAGCAATCAAACTGTCACAGATGTAAATGGACTATGACTAGTTCATTGCTGATTTTTGCTAAGTCAAAATTTTCTGAGCAAAATTTTTTGCTGAGCCGAGTTGCAGTACGGTCATCACAATCATCATCACAAGTCAATCACAAGTCATCCATTCATTCACACAAGTATCAAAGGAATGCCTCTGCCGCAGTTCATTTCATCAGTTTGAACTTGACTTACAAGACTGGACGATCAGTGACTGACTTTTGATTGACTTGTTCCTCTCGGAAAACTACGAGTAAACACTTTGAACTTTATCACTGAATTTAAATAACAGAACTAGTCTTGATACAAGACGTTCTTAGCGGGGTAGTTCGCAATAGAAGGTACTTCGGAGCAGTGTGCATGTTCCCCTTCACGAACCACTTGGTCAACGAACCACACGCAAAGAACGTCTTGGGAATTTCGCATTGCAACAAGGAGTTAGTGTTGTGTAAACCCGACCCGAAACCGAAACCGACACGAAACCAACCCGACCCAAAACCGACCTCGGGTCAGGTCGGGAAGGTTGTCCATAATTTTACCCGGGTCAGGTCGGTTTTGTGTTTGTGACTTTCGGGTCGGGTTGCTTAAGCCATTTTGGAAAAACCCGAAATAAACTGAAATAAAAAAAACAGTTCAGAGATTCACACGGTGCAATATCTAGTGCAGTCACTGCGCCCGGTTTCAGTTCAGATTCGGTTTATATCTATAATGTTTCGGGTCAGTTTAGCCTGGTCAACCCGACCCGATGCACAACACTGCAGGGTGTGGCTTAATATGCAAAATAGCAGCACAAGCGCATTGGTGGAAACAAAAGAGCTGTTCCGAAAACTGTTACTCAGGCGATGGCACTAGGTGCCGGCACTAAAACAAAACAGACAAACGCAGCAAAAAAATACAACACAGGCCTAGAATTGGAAGTGTTGTCACCAACCTTCAATGACTTGGACCTTGCAGGGCGACTCTATGAAAGAGGGCGGCCCGCCTTCCTCCTTCATCTTGACGGCCGGTGGGGGAGCCGTGGGCTTGGTCTCGGCCGGCTTGACCGACTGACCAGTCTTTCTGAACCCTGACCCGACACAAATATACAAAACTTAGTTTAACGAACAGGCAAAAAGGATTTTAAAAGTGACTGCATTAGCTACGGAACACACTTTCATACGCCTGGTCAACTTAACTGGAATTGAAATTATTCTTTTGGAATATTAATAAATTAGTAGCACTGGAGAAAAGTCAAAACAATGTATGCAAATTTTTTATTATGTGTCAAAGTTCTTCATTTTTTTTGCCTTGTAATGAGTCATATTGTTGTAGTTTTACCCCCCCAAAAGTGTTCCCCCCCCCCCAAAGTATTTGGTTCTGCCAAAAATCACAATTCAAGGCATGCAAATTTGCAACTGAAACAGCATATCTACACCGGTATAAATGGTTTGTGGAATGCCTTAAATTTTGCAAATTAAATATCTTTAGAAGGGATATACCTAAAAGTTTGTTCAGCCAAGAGTCACAATTTTAAGAAAAAGGTTAGAGCATGCAAACCACTGAACTAATGTGTCTCCATAAAGTGTTTGAATTTATGAAGCATTTCTTTGATATGAACTAAGTGAATTCGATAATCACAAAAACAAAAAATATTCAACATTTAATTAAGGAGGCTTTTAAGCATGCAAGTAAGTTTAATCACCGGTCATAATCTCCAAGTTAAATTTGAAAAAAGCTGTAAGCCCACAAACTTAAAAAAAAAGTAAACAAGTACAGGGAGACAACTTAATGATTATTTTCTGACTTTTTTTCTGACAAATTTTTACTTTGAAAGTTTGAATATATTCAACAGTCTAAGCTTAAAAACTTAAGCCTTAGTTTTTATGCATGAAGTTGCAAAGTAGAAAACACTGCCAAAAACTGTTAGTTATAACTTTTCAAGTGAGGTTGTGAAGGGATACTGAATTTCAGGGGCCGTATCATAAGTCCGACGCCTCATAGGTTCGACGCCTCATAAGTCCGAAATTTCGGACTTATGAGGCGTCGGACTTATGAGGCATAAAATTTATTTATTCCGCCTCATAGGTCCGACGCCTCATAAGTCCGATGCCTCATAAGTCCGACAACAGAAAAACAAGGCGTTTAATTTGTCGGACTTACGAGGCGTCGGAGCTATGAGGCGTCGGAGCTATGAGGCGTCGGACTTATGAGGCGTCGGACCTATGAGGCGTCGGACTTATGGGCCTTTATTTGGTTAGGGGATGCGATTTTGTCGGACTCATGAGGCGTCGGACCTATGAGGCGTCGGACTTATGAGCGGACCCCGAATTTCCAATGGTTCCTGGACAAGTTTCATATCTCACACTGTTGGCGGGGTTCACATTGTTAAATTCTAGCGACGAGTTTTAACACAAGATTAAAGCTATAGTCCATCATTTGCAGCCATCCGAAAAGTAACTGGCGTAATTACTGTTGAAAAACAAACTTGGTTGAAAGATAGTAAGGGAACTAAACTCCCTGTGAAATTATTCTTTCTGGGAAGCTGTCATTTTGAAGTAATCAACAAAAGAAGGCATTTCCAATGGTGATTCTTAAGAAGCACCGTAGGAAAATTTAAAATAGTAGTTCGTTTTGTTATTCAGCGCAGCGCGCACAAGTATTGGAACGACGCACATGCGCGCGCGGTTGTTATAATTCGTCGGATCAGTGCGCGAGGCCGCGTATAGCTGCAATTACAAAACAATTCAAAACATGATTCAGTAACTTTTGATTTGAAATTGAGATCTTAGAATGCTGTTTTTCTCGGAATGTACAGCTGAAGCTGAGCTGAAACTTCATCAGGTTAGTTGCTCAGTATCCTTTATTAGATTTTGAACACTTTTGTTGCTTCAAACGAACAAAATGCACAAATTACAAATGATGGACTAGAGCTTTAAATTTACCACAATACGATGAAATACAACACAACATATACATGTAATACATTTTATCTACATGTACTACACACACAAAAAGAGCCAGATATTTTTTTGGAGAATAAGATTAGTACTCGAACATTTTTTTTTTAAACTGCCAACTTTAAATTTACAATACATGTAAAATTTCCAGTGTCAATATTATCAAAGATGTAACTCACTGAGATAAATGATTACCGTAATGTCAAAATGTTTCCATTGATTTGGCATAATTTGTATTTTTTTTTTCTGACCAAAATTATTTTATTTTGACACTTCCTTAATTTTCCGCATCACTGACTTAACCAGTTCACGCCGGATGACGTGTGTGTATACATGCAAAGCTTTTGTGGTGTTCGGAACGGATGACAGATAAACACGCAGGGAGCGAGGCCGGAAATATCTGTCAGCGACCCGCTCGCAGCAAGCGAGGCCGGAAATATGAGTGTGCTGCCCGAGGGTGATGGCTTCAACCCGCCTGGTTTGAGGTCGAGTGAAAAATAATCCCGCGCCTCGTTCCGTTCTGGTCAAAATAATCCCGGCACAAACTGGTTAAAACAGACAGGGAACTTCAGTTAACGGCAGCTATTCTGGATACAAAATAATCTGCAAAACAAAATTTCTGGAACAAGTGACAAAATTACAAATGTACCACACAGCAAGGTCAATATTATCAGTGGAGTTTCGGGGTAATGACGGGCTTCTTCTTGCCTGGGTTTACAAGATTTGAGGAGCTTATTTTGCAACGGCAAAAAAAAAACGACTTAAATTTCTTTCTTTTCAAGTTATTTTATTTTGTTTCAGTTCAATCCTTTTTTTCTTGATGCTCTGAAAATCAGCAAAAGAAGCAAAGAATAATTAAATATTAACTATTTAGCTAGATTGCTGAAGTGCAAGAAACACCATTTCTGGGGGCTGCAGGTTCCAATCCTGCTTAAATTTATTTTTTGGGGAGCATCTAACTTTTTTCTCTCAGTACTTTAAATTAGATGCCAAATAAAAAAATAAAACAATATTAGCAAAGGAAAAAAATTATGTCATTGTCAATTGTATATTCCATTTTTTTTTGTTATTTTGGTAGCCCCAAATCTTCCAAACCCAGACACGAATATAAACAGTAGCATGCAATTCTCGCTTATTCGTGTGTGCATGTTTATGGTGTAAATCGAGGACACACTTGTGAAGCTTCATCAAGTAATTTGAGGACATGAGTCAAATCGAGGACGACCTCGATTAGAAAATTGATTAAAAGAACAATGAGAGCTGTTGCAAAGATCGTTGATGAGGAACAACAGAAAATCCTCAATTTACTCCATAAACAAACCTGCTTGCACGTCTGTGTGGGTGTGTGGGTGTGTATGTGTCAAGGGGGTGGGGGACAGAGACTGCCACGGCAAAAGGGGAAGTGGAAAAAAAAAATATCGAGTTGGACGTTGGCTTCACGGCAGTCACACCAGCGGGGCAAGCATTCACCTTCGTCGGGGGCGCTCTCTCCTTTCTTGGGCGCAGATTCCGGGGCGGACTCTTCATCTAATTGTCACATGAGGGCAGCAGACAGGTTGGCGGTTAAACATTTTAGGTTGAATGCAGAGAAAGAGTGCTGTAATGTATTTGTGGAAACTAACTTTTTGATCAGCCAAATTGTTAAATATCATCTTTTGAAAGTGTAAAAAATGGAAAAAAATATAGTATGAATGTAATGACTCTGGAAAAATACTTCAAGTGAAATGAGGGCAAGTGTTTTTAAAATTAAAAAATGTATATGTAAACTAAGATCGTTGCATCTGTAACTTGACAATGCATGTCATAATTATTGGGATTTTTTTTATAATATACTGATGTCGGTTGCTCAAGCCTGTTTGAAATTGTTCTGTTTATTTAAACTGAAGCGTTTAAAACTTTGCCAACTTAATTTAAAGAGATGATAAACTTTCAAAATTGACATACCCAGGTAATCGGTCGCCGACATCCGACGCTGTTTGGGAACAGCCGCCTGTTCCTCCGGCGCCTGTTGAGCCACGATCCCTCCCTCTGGGGTGATCTCAATCTCCACTGGAGCTGGTGTGGACTCGGCGGGAGTCTGCTCCATTGGCGTAACAGCCTCCTCTACTGGAGCAGGGGCTGATTTTGCAGGGGTTTGCTCCATTGGCGTAACAGCCTCCTCTACTGGACCAGGGGCCGATTTTGCAGGGGTTTGCTCCATTGGCGTAACAGCCTCCTCTACAGGAGCAGGGGCCGATTCAGCGGGGGTTTGCTCCATTGGTGTAATAGCTTCCTCTGCGGGGGCGGGCTTGGGCTTGTCGCCGGGGCGGGGTTTCTTTTCAGGCGGGGCCTCTTCGTCTTTCTTCGGGGCCTTCTTCTTGGACGGGGTCTCTGAAGAGAAAATGACGTAACCCTTCCGAAATGAGTGAATCTGTTCGAGTCGGAAGGCTACCCATAATGCCACTGTTCTTGGATGGACTTATTTTCAGACTTAAAACTTTTTTTTTTAATGTTTTTCTTTCCTTCTTTTTTTAATTTCTTTCTTTCTTTCAAAAGGGACAAAAAAAACCAACTGATTCCTCGCTTTGGGAAATAAGGAATAAATACTTACAGCCATTTTTCTGTTGAAAACCAAAAAAAACCTTGACTGAAAGAGGATTTCAGATTCCGACCTCTGCATTTTCATGACCCCTATTTCTATCAAAAGAACAATCTAACCCCATAATCTGGCAAAGTACTTGTTCAGGGGCATTGGTCGGAAGCCGGAAAACACAATTATGAGTTTATATTATATTAACACAAAACTGTTCTTGTATTCTAGATGCCGCAGTTGTAAACCCTACGTAATTTTTTTCTGTTTCCCATCAAGAATTGACTAAATGTCGTCTGGTCTATTTCCTTGAATATAAAAAAAAATCATCAAAAAGCTGCTAGAGACTTTAGGGTAGCGGTAAGTTAATTTGGCATTGTGCTGCCACAAGCTTCTTTGCCGTGCTTACAAATGAAAAGTCATGCTTTGAGAAATTATAGTTACATCCTCAATGGTAAACGATGATCAGCGTTATAGCTGTAGTTGTAGTAATAGTTATAAACAAAAAGTCTTATATATTTTCAGATGCAGCAGTTTGCATAATTCTTTTAAATGTGTGCAGTCATGCAGTGCACATTTTCACGAAGTGGAGTACTTGTATATTCCAGCTGAAAAACAAATGCTCGTTACAACCATTATAACTAATTCTAACAATCATTTGCGATCTATAATTGCTTACCTTTTTATACCTTCCTAAAACATGAAAACAAACTCATTCATTTATATGCTTGCTGAAATAAATGCTTCACTTTTGCCGTCATGCAAGTGCGGCATACGTTACTGTGCATTCTTGCTGTCCGCGTGCTGTACCTTGTCATGAAAATAAATGTATACTTTTATTGTCAAAACGTAAATGGCCATGCTTTAAAATAAAACATTTGCATGAGAAACGTTACTGCATCATTTACTCGCTTGCAGTTCAAACTAAAATGTCGTCTATGCCAACTTCTAAATTAATGCAAAAATATTATTTTCATTTTTTAATTATTATTATTTTTTTGTGGGCAAATAATGCCGTGCATATGATGCAATGTTTGTAGCGGCCTTGCCTGCTTCAGTTGGTTTCTCAACTTCTGGTTTTTTGGACGGTTTTTCCGGCTCCTTTTTCTTTGGCACTTCTGAAAATGAATTGAGTTTTAATTAATGACGACAAAATGTTGGATAAACCTGTAGAACGAAAAAAGAGCATTAGGTTAGTTAGTTTGTGCATGTTATGCAAATGAGACTTTCTTTAAATGAATATGGTTACACCTAACTTTTACAAAGTGCAACTGTTAGTTGGTTTTGAAAAAATGTAACTGGCAAAAGCTATATTTATACACGTATTTACTCCCAAAAAACATGCTGTGCATTTCAAGATCTGCAAAGACCAGAAACACAAGAAATATTTAAAGCATGTCTTGTATAAAGCCGGACAGAACATAAATTTATAATAAACTAAATGAGCTGACAAACAGTACAGAAATACATTCAGTAAAATGATATGCCAGCATTCAGAAGACTGTAAGAATGTTGACAATAAAATAAAATAAAAAAATAATAATAAAAAAGAAATTAAAAAATGGCAGGTTTTGTCAAGCGAGCTCACATGTAAAAAATAAAAGAAAATAAATTATAGCACAAAATACTCTCCCCTACCAAACAAAAAATGAAAATGGAAAAAAAACACATACAGCGTACTTGTGCATATGTTTTTTCAGCATCTGTAAAATGAATTGCAAAAGTTAGCGTTTTTATTTTGACTGATCAGTTTCAAATAATATGGTGCGCACGATGCAATGTCTGTAGACCCTTGCCTGCTTCCTTTGGTTTCTCAACTTCCGGCTTTTTCCACGGTTTCTCTGGTTCCTTTTTCTTGGGCACCTCTGAAAACGAACAAGTTTATTAATGATGACACAACGTTAGGTTTAGGCCTGTAGAACTAAAACAGAGCATGCAGTAAGTTATTATGCAAATTACATGTAGATTAATGCTAATTGATATGGTTACAGCTAACAGTTAATAGAAGGTGCAACTGTAAATTACTCTATGCAATTTGCAAAAGCTTTACATGTATTAATATTTACCAAAACAAAACAAAACAAAGAAAGGACCAAGAGCATGACTAGTATAAGGATCAGACACTCATGTTGGCAGAACCACGGTTGAACGTCCGATATATCATAGCATGTAAATTTTATGCGACCCTGCGCCAGCAAATCGGAGTGGTCTTTAGAGACTGTGACGTTGTTTTGATCAGCATGTGGACTAAGCTGTGGATTGGTCAGTTTGGATGCCATGTTTTTATAATACAAAAACAGGTTACGGAAGACCTGATAGAAAGGCGCCCGCTGAATGGTCAGAATCTCGAGGTCAAGACGCAGTCTTGTTTTGCATGATTAATCGCCAAATCTGCTCACATATCATAGACCCTTGCTGTGCAAGGGGGTATTCCATAGACTAGACATGACAAGCACAGACATAAATAGCAAAGTACAAGCATGTCAATACATATGATGGGGCAGAACATCCAAATAATGACAGACTAAAATGAGCTAACATACTGAGAGAAAGACGTGCCAGCATTCAGACGACAGATTGTTGAAAATAAAATTTAAAAAACTTAAGAAATAATGAATGGCAGGTTATGTCATGTTAGGTCACATTTTGTGTAATGATAAATCATAGAGCACCAATTCATTACATTTCCCTTAAAGGAAAAGTAAAAAGCAAAACAAAAAGGAAGAAATTTCAGACAGCATATTTGTGCATGATTTTTTTTATTCAGCAGCATCTGTAAAATGAAATACAAGATTAGCATTGTTTTTATTCTCATGTATCTAGCAGGTTTACTTTAAATTAGCAAGGGAATTTCATACACAGAATCTGTGAAATAAAATGTCAGATTAACGTTGCTTTCAGTAAATTCTACATGGTTTTTATCTGTTGCACAAGATGCAGTGCCCACGATGCAATGTTTGGGGACCCTTGCCTGCTTCCTTTGGTTTCTCAACTTCCGGCTTTTTCCACGGTTTCTCCGGTTCCTTTTTCTTGGGCACCTCTGAAAATGAACAAGTTTATTAATGATGACATACCTTTTAGATTAATGCCTGTGGAACTACAACAGAGCAGTCAGTTCGTTATTATACATGCATTGTGCAAATTCGATGTACTGTAAATAAATATGGATAGAGATCACTTTGTACAAAGTGCAAGTGAGTTTATTATATTGTGCATAATATCCCCTACAAAATGCAATAAAAAAGCTTCTTTTAAAATAACCCTCCCAAAAACCAAACTAATAATAAAACTGACAAACAGGGAAGAGAAAATGAATGCAACAATATGTGTACATACATGTATACTCACATACAGGGCGAGTCAAAAAAAAAAAACCAAAATGTAGGGACTATTGTTTTATTGAAGTTCTGCATGTAGCACTTTCACAATTTAGGATATGAAAGCCCAATTCATAAGCTTTCTTTTAGTACAAGAATCATTGAAATCACTCGTGTACTTTTCAAGTTACAGAATTTTAAACACAACCACCATTTAAAGTTTTGTCCACGAATCACAAAAAGGTAAGTGTTCTTTTAGCAAAACGAAAACAAATCACATAGGGATGTGTGTGAATTGTTTTTGTTTCAAATGCTGAAAGAACGCACACTTTTTTTGTGATCCGTGGACAGAACTTTAAAATGGTGGTTGTGTTTAAAATTTCGTAACTTGAAAAGTACATGAGTGATTTGAATGATTCTTGTACTAAAAGAAAGCTTATGAATTGGGCTTTCATATCCTAGATTTCGAAAGTGCTACATGCAGAACTTCACTAAAACAACAGTCCTGACATTTGGGTTTCAGGGTTTTTTTACTCACCCTGTATAAAGGACATGCCAACATGTACAAGACAGAAGGGTATGCTGTTCATAAAATGAATTAAAAAAAATATTATAATAAAAAAATTGCGGCTTGTGTCATGCTAGCTCACATTTTTTTTGTTATATATATCAAGGAGCACAAAAATAATCCAATCCCCCCCCCCTGAAAAAAAAAAAAAAACATGTCTGTGTATGGGCATTTCAAACACAGCATCTGAAAAATAATATAATAATGCAATTATTAGCGTTGTTTTATTGCTATTCATCTGTTTTTAAAAAAAACAGCGGTGTGCACGATGCAATGTATGTAGACCCTTGCCTGCTTCGGTCGGTTTGTCAACTTCCGGCTTTTTCAACGGTTTTTCTGGCTCCTTTTTCTTTGGAAATTCTGAAAAACAGAAATGTACATTAATGGCAACAAAAGAATAGAGTTCGGCCTGTGGAACGAAAACAGCTTCAGTTAATTAGCATGCAAGTATCATGCAAATGAAATGTGATGAAATAATGATGGTTAATAGCTTACTTTGGCCGGGTTACATTGTAATACCCCTCCCCCCCCCCAAAAAAAAGAGTCTGGCTACTGCCACTTGTGAAAAATTTAACAAGTTGGCTAGGGGGGCAGATTTGGGAGAATTGTGCCTTTGATGATACAAGCATGGCATTTGGCACACAGTCAGAGTATGTCTTAAGAAAGATATTTGGCTAAAGGGCCATCGCAGATTTTTCCTTTGAAATAATATAGGGAAGAATAAGGCCACAAAAAAAAAATATTCGGTCTCTGGTCAGACCAAAGTTCCGGAATTGACGCGGCCACGCGGATTTGCCTTGGTGCTTACGATCATTTGCCTTGGTGCAATTTCCCATTCCTTGGTGCTCTTTGGTAAAAAAAATTGAGGTGCGGAAATAGAGGGCGCTGTTGGAGCTACCGCGGAACATTTTGGGGAAAAAAAAGATCGACGCGCATGATTAAAATCGACGCGCGCTCTGACCAGAGACAGACTTTTTTTTTTTTTTGGCCTAACAAGCAATTTCCAGAATTTTCAAAATTCTGACATAACTCTTTACACTATCTCTTTATACTAACAGAAACATCTCAAATATTCCGAAAACCCCAAGATTATCAAGAAACAACAGGTACGCACGTGGTTTTCTCAATCACAGTTTCTGTAATTAAGCACACACAGAATTGTTTCTTGTTTATCTGTTTCACATGATGCAGTGAGTTTGTTTCTGCATTCAGTAGGGGACGTTGAACAATAGAGGACAATAGGGTCCCCACTTCCCGAAGGTCCCCAATTTGGCAATCATGTACAAAACATATGGGAGGTCTTCCTAACAAGTTTAAGTACAAACAAAAAGAGGGACAATAGGGGTCCCCGATTGCAGGCAAATACACACTTGTGTGTGCGCACGATGCAATTTTCTTAAACATCCTTGCCTGCTTCAGTTGGCTTATCAACTTCCGGCTTTTTCCACGGTTTTTCAGGCTCCTTTTTCTTAGGCACTTCTGAAAAATGGAACGTTACGGACGTTGATGAAAAGTTAGCGCCCTGCTTACATGGAACTAAAATAAAAGTCTTCAGAAAGTTATTAGAGAAATTAGAAATTGTTACTGTTATAAAGTGTATAATTGCGAGTTATTTGGTCCACATGATGCATTTCACATGATGCAATGTTTGTGTGCATCCTTGCCTGCTTCAGTCGGTTTCTCAGGTTCGGGTTTTTTCCACGGTTTTTCCGGCTCCTTCTTCTTGGGCACTTCTGAAAATAAATTTTATGAATGTGAAAAAGTGTTCTTCCTATGAAACTAAAACAGTTTCTTTAATTAGTCACAGTGCAAATTAGAAATTATTTAGTTACAAAATGTATCATCATACATTTCAACCCCACCCATCCAAAACAAAAAAATGAAAACAAAAAACATTGACAAAACAAATGTATAGAAAATATATTTAAAAAAAAACCTTAACAGAGCAACAAAGGAATGAGCACAGTTGCAAACTGACAGACAAAGCAGGCATAAATATGGCACATCAGGCAAAAGGTTTCATACCTGCTGACTTTAAAACAAATTTCTCAGTTATAAGTTATAATTAAACTGAAAGAAAAGCATATTTAGATCTATCACATTACAGTAATAGCTTGCTGTGAAATTGTGACTAAACACTTACCAACAAACGTGCAATAACTATTTTATGACAAATAATTAACCAGTTTGCGCCGGATGACTAGTGTATATGCGCAAAGGTTTTGCGGTATTCGGAACGGATGACGGATAAACATGCAGGGAGCGAGGCCGGAAATATCTGTCAGCAACCCGCTCGCAGCGAGCGAGGCCAGAAATATGAGTGTGCTGCCGAGGGTGATGGCTTCAACCCGCCTGGCTTGAGGTCGAGTGAAAAGTAATCCTGCGCCTCGTTCTGTTCTAGTCAAAATATTCCAGGCGTGAACTGGTTAAAAAGTCGAAATGTACCACAACGAACAGAAACGAAAAATAAACAACTACACGTTGAGAGGTTTTTTGTAAACTGACTATTTCTGACCTAAACGGGACAGAACAACCACTAATGAAATGCATATTTGCGAAAAAAGCTGCCGTACGTACAGGACATGAACAGATATGCCAACCTTTGAAAAACAAAGTTTCAAATGTGAAATGCTCCGTTTGTTTATTTAAAAGTAAGTGTCGTTCATGCAGATGTGCAAAACGTGAAACACTGCTGCCACACTGACATACACAATGCCTGTAATAAAAATGTGAAAGAATTTTTTTTTCTAATGCCATGCATTGCATTTTTCATTTCATTTGCTTTGGAGACTATTGCTGACTTTTCACCTTTCTTGTCTTTGTCGGTCGGTTTAGTCTCGGCAGGTTTTTTGGTCGGCTCCTCTGGTTTGCGTTTGCTAGGAGCTGTGGAATTTTGAATTAGAAAATCATATTTTAAATTCAAAACGATGGATTTGCTTTCATGAAAAGGGAGATGAGACTGATATTTCGTATGACAAAATATTAGAAGTATGTGGCTGGATCTAAGTAGAAAAGTTAATATGCATCAAGATTGTGTTACAAGAATTAATGTATGCATGTATTGTTGATGAAACCCTGACGTGGCGCGGCCCCTAACGTGGCGCACTTTTATTTTTTGCCTGTAGCGCCTAGCTAGAGCAAAAGTTTTAACTGAAATTTCACAGAAAGTGAAATTTCATCAAGTTCTAAACACTCCCGTTCATAAATCGCGAGTTTATTTACCCGTTACAAAGTTAAAAGAAAAAATTGTTTTGGCGTGATTTTCCGATTTTATTTTCAAGTGCAAAGTGAACCCTTTGAAAATGCCCCGAAAAATAAGAAAATAATTTTCTGACAAACATCTGGCTGGGTTTGTAAGTAAAGATAATAATGATTTATCAGGATTTATCAGAATTTATCAAGTTTACAGAAATTCTTAAATGTTAATTTGGAATTTTCTGAGATTTATTCAAGTGCGCCACGTTAGGGAACACTCCGCCAATTTGTGCCCAATTTCCGGACGCGACTGTTTTTGCATTTCGGATTAAATTTTATGAAACCGAAATTGTTCACAGAGGTTAAATAGCAAGCATTAAAAAGGAAAAAGTACCAGTATTTCACTGCATGAATTTGAGGTTTATCAACAAAGAGGTTTGGCAACACTACACGAGGAAAGTTGGGTAAGCTTCGAAGTGCGCCACGTTAGGGAACACGACTATATCATGACTTAAGGTTTAAGGTTAAAGATGTAAGGTTAAAGGGCCCATCACAATTCATATCTGGGACAAGTTGCAGACATTGTATCGGGTATAAAGGGCAGGATTCTGAACAACTTCCCCGCAATCTTCCCGCAATTCGTGAGTCAAGCAGTTGCTGATGAAAATTTCCCTAGAATACGTCCTGGACAAATGCAGAGCTTCTTCCGGAGAAAGTGAATGATTCTACCTGCAACTTGTCCGGAACTCGTCTAGGGTATGAATTGATACGGGCCCTAACAATATTTAAAGATATAGTCCATCATTTGTAATTTGTGCATTTTGTTCGTTTGAAGCAACAAAAGTGTTCAAAATCTAATGAAGGATACTGAACAACTAACCTGATGAAGTTTCAGCTCAGCTTCAGCTGTATATTCCGAGAAAAACAGCATTCTAGGATCTCAATTTCAAATCAAAAGTTGCTGAATCATGTTTTGAATTGGGCCTAAATTCAGCGTCCGAGACACGTTCTCACTGAGCCAATTGCAGCTATACTCGATGTCGCGCACTGATCCGACAAATTATAGCAACCACGCGTGCGTGTGCGTCGTGCCAATGCTTGCTCACGCTTCGCCGAATAACAAAACGAACTACTAATTTAAATTTTCCTACGGTGCGTCTTATGACGCACTGTTGGAAAGGCCTTCTTTCGTTGATTACTTCAAAATGACAGCTTGCCAGAAAGAATAATTTCACTTACTATCTTACAACCAAGTATGTTTTTCAACTGGATTGCTGCAAATGATGGACTATAGCTTTAATGCATGCATCAAGAATTTGTATACGAATTAATGTATGCTTAGGTGACAATCTGCCCACCGTAGATAAACTGTGTATAAAGCCGTAGCTTTAGAATGAGGGAATGTTTGCAATTCTTAATTTACAGGGACCACGGTTCTTAGATTCGCAGTTATCTGAGCATTACAGCGAATATTGTTAGTGACGCAAAAGTCACTCTGCATTTGGACTGCTGTGAAGTATGAACAAGCTTTGCAAAACATCCATACTTGACAAATACAATTCACTTTGAAACAAAGCACAGTGTATTTCACGAATTAATTTTTACAACAAATCATGTAAGTAGCTGTAGTTTTCTTGCCTTTTTCCTCTACTATACTTGACAAATAAAATTCACTTTGAAACAAAGCACGGTGTATTTCACGAATTAATTTTTATAACAAATCATGTTAGTAGCTGTAGTTTTCTTGCCTTTTTCCTCTACTTCCATGGCAACGGCCTGCTGCAAAGGCTCCTCGACTTTAGGGGCTTTGCTAGGAACTTCTGTAAATCCATTTCATTCAGGAAAAAAATTTAATTAAGAAAAATTGAAATTCTCAGCCAAATCTCATGAAGCTACATGGCAGAAAATATCGCTTAGCATATTTTTGTAGTAAGCAGAAATCAGCTGAATACCAGTCACAAGCAATAGTCATCTCATGAAATTTTGGCTGGTAACCAGTTTTTGCTAAGCAATTATTTTTTGCGCTTAGCAATATCTGTGAAATTGGCTCCGGGAAGGTTGACAGAAACTGATATAACCAATACACTTTTAAAAAAAACCTGACTTAGCAGTTACAAAGGTTTTACATGCACTGTTACGTTTATTTAAATTCCGACTCTTTTTTTTTGTATTAATTTGTTAAAATTTGGAACAACTGTTGGTGTCGTCTTGCCTTCTGGTTTTTCGGGCGCTGGTCGCTTCGCTGGCTCTTCCTTGGGCTTTGGAGCAGGCTTGCTGGGCAGATCTTGGAGGGAAAATTATGGAAGTTATAGACAACATAATGGGAAAGAAAAATGCCCAAACCGGGTAGATTAGTTTATTTGGTGCAGTTTCTTAGAGCTTGGAAGAATCTGCTTTTTGTCACATTTTTGTTGAATAGCATATTACTTGAATTTACATTGTCTTGTGGTTGATTTGTGATTTACTTGTGGCTTGAGAATGACTTGTGGTTTGTGATTGACTTCTGATTGTCTTGTGATGACTTGTGATGACTTGTGATTGACTTGTGATGGACTTGTGATGGACTTGTGATAGACTTGTGATTGACTTGCGATGACTTGTGATTGACTTGCGATGACTTGTGATTGACTTGCGATGACTTGTGATTGACTTGTGATGACTTGTGATTGACTTGCGATGGCTTGTGATGACTTGTGATGACTTGTGATGACTTGTGATTAACTTGTGATGGACTTGTGATGGACTTGTGATAGACTTGTGATTGACTTGCGACGACTTGTGATTGACTTGTGATGACTTGTGATGGCTTGCGATTGACATGTGATTGAATCATGATTGATATGTGATCGACTTGTAAACCGAGTTATGATTGACTTGCGATTGATTTCTGATGACTTGCGATGACTTGTGATACACTTGCACTTAACTCCCCACTAATTTCCGATGACTTAATGCAGTTGTGATAACTCGATGTAAGCGCTAATGACAAAATTGGGAACCAACAACAGAAATTGTCCTCAAAAACAAATAATTCACAAATCAAGTTATCATGAATGTACGCACACCTTGCGTACCTGCGAAGCAAACAACTGGCAATTTTCATTTCAGAATTTGAAAAAAAGAACCCGGAATCTTACCGTCGACAAAAAGTTCAGCCTCAGACTTAGCCTCCCCTCCAGGCCCCACCACGACAATTTTGTAGTCTCCGCTGTCGCGGGCCATAGCCCTGGGCATGCGCAGCATGTAAAGGTCGCCCTCTTGAAGTATTTTGATGTTATACGAGGGACGGATTTCCTTGCTGTCTCTGAAAAGCAAAACAAAACAAAAAAAAGAATAAAAATGGGTATTTGTGATCAGATCCAACAAAATGAGTCTTAAGTCTTCTTTCCCACTCATTACTTGTTCATGTGCATTAGAATGAGGATACTCCTCATTTTGATATATCACTCAGTTTGACATCCTGATGAATGTTGACATTATAGTACATTTTATTTTAGACTTTGAAAACCGGGCAGAAATAAGTCTCACTGGTTCTTGTGCATTTTGCAAAATCACTGCATACAACGGACTCGCGATTTTTTTTTAAGTCCGTGCATTGGGAGTGCCACACTTTAGTTTGAATGGTGACGGCACTGCATTCGCCCCCGATTGTTCCCCCTCCCCTGGTTTCCTGTTCCCTGGTACCAAGCCATTATCAGAGTCACTGGTAACCCACCTGTACCAGATGACCTTGGTAACCTTGCCGACGATCCTGCATCTGAACTCCACGGCTTTTCCATTCTCCACATCCTGGGGAAAAAAAAAAAAAAAAATTGTCGCGTCAGTGCGACAAAGTCGTACAAGGTCGTAACTCCATTCTGCAACAAAGTCGTATCTCGCACGAATACGCTCCGTGCAACAAGGTCGTATCTTGACATTCAGTGACTTTGTGTGTACATCCGGGTTATTTTACATGAGATACAACCTTTAGACATTCTAAAACTTGAGTTTCACGTACGGCCCATTTTAGGAGATACGACCTTGTTGCATGGAAACAACGAATTGCATTTTGTTCCAAGAATTTCCTAACTGTTAGTCTGTTGTTGAGGAGAAGCAACACAGCATCTGGGCCTAATTTCATGGCTCTGTTTACCATTAGCGAAAAAATCCCTGCTTACAATAGCAGGAAATATCGTGCTTACGGTCAGCATAGTTCACACGTTAGGGAGGAATTTTGGCTTCTGCAACATGCGTACATCCCATAACTAAGGTTTCTGTGCTTACCGAGTTAGCACAGAATTTTTCTGCTAGCGCGGTTAGCACAAAATGGTGATCGTAAGCGCGGAATTGTGTGGTTAGCAGAGCCATGAAATTGGGCCCACGTTTCCAAAATCATCTTAGCAGATTTTGAAACATTCTTGATGCTTACCACGTCTTCGAGCGGCTCGGAGAAGACTGGCACCGAATCCTTGACTTTAGGTTTCTCCTGCTCCTCGGGTCCCTTGCTGATCAGCTCGATCTCCCTGGGCCCACCCATCTCCATCTCCGGCATGAGCAGCTCCAGGGTGCCGAAGTCCGGCCCCAGGTCGATGGTCTCCATGGAAGATGCCGGGAAGTCAACGTGGACTTTGGCCACCTCCGTCGAGACCTCAAACTTGCGAGGGAAGCGCTTGTCTTTAACTGGGAGGTAAAAAAAAAATGGAAAAATCCAATTACGAGAAGATGTACAGCGTGTGTCAATAAAAACGCAGGATTAGAAACAAAAATATTAAGAATATAAACCACCCCTATTCATCATAATGTTAACCCTCTTTTCAAAGTACCTTTCCTTCTCTTCACTATGCTTTTTATCCCATCTCATTTGGACAATCCTGTCCAGACATTGAAGAAGGGTTATAAATTCCAAGCTGGTCTGATTTGTGAAATCACACATACCTAATGAAAGGTTTGAATTCAGTTCAGGTGAAAGTATTTGTGGATCACAAAGAAGGACATGTGTGGCAGGATTAGGTTTACATAATCCTTTAGTCCACAATCAATGTTATTTGATATGTCAGAGACGACATTCATGATGCTTTGAAACAATGATAGTCCAGTTATTAAATTTAAGTGATACTTATCATCAGTTGTTTCAAAGAAAGTTTTGTTCTGGTTTAATTGTCTTCAATTCATACCTGCATTGTACATAACTGGTCGTTGTGTTAAGGTCATTGAATCAGACCAACCCGCTTCAGAAGGGCTTCACAAAACTTGTCATAACTTTTGAACCAAAAGTCCAAATTCCACCAAACAAAAATCTTGTCAAAGATGAAATTATGGACAATCAAATCCTTATCAAATTAGGCACACCAGTAGCATAATTTTCTCAGAAAAAAATCGCTTTGAATCCTGCGTTTTTATTGACACACGCTGTATATGCTGGAAATGAAAACATTTTCAAGACTTTCTCATGAAGGAAACCAGACTTGAAATCAAGTCGGTAATTGGCCGGATGTATTTCACTCACTGTGCACCGGCGTGGACAGATAAAGCATACCGTCTCAGGGTGTACATATAGCGTGCGGTATGGTGCTAACTTGCGGGGACGCTTTGTGCATTTTCTGCCCCAATATGCGTGTAGGTCGATACCAATTGACCTATCGCCGTTTGCGAGTTAGCCACGCCCCTTAGACAACCCTATGGAGTTTTTGCACACTTAAAGTTTTGTTTGTCTCAGATTTTGCTCGTTCCGCATCCATTTGTATATCATGTAATTGGACAATATTTGACAAGCTGCGTTGATGCCATTCTAACGCAATTCTACTGCGATAGGTCAATTACCGACATGAATAATCTGCTCTTAGCTTTCTACACAATGTATGGGGCTTGCTACCAGATTTGGATGGAGCAGTCTGATTGGTTAAGGTTCAGGAGACTACTGAATATTCATGTTATGCCATACAGCTTGCATGTCTTGTGCATAGTTGTTCACGCGTTCAAACACGTGCAGAAAAGTTTCTTCACGTGGTGAGCGCAATACAACATGGAGCGAATCCAATTCCTCGTAGGGTCAAAAGCTAATTCCTGGGCTGTGACCGGGTTCGAATCCCGCTTGGGCCAACATGTGGATTTGGTTTTCAGTCCCTACCTGATTCTGTGGGTTTTAACTGGAATAGTCTTCTTAGGTTTTCCTCCCACCTCTAAAACTGTAATTTTTTTCTCACTGTCTTCTCTCTACAGGTTTCTCCAGGCTTGTGAGCTACAGTGCCTAGGGCGCTTTTGAGGAATCCTTGGTTTCATTGCAAGAAATAATTACTAATAATAAAAATTAATATTTTCTAGAACAAGTTTTTTCCAAAATGTTGTCCTGGGCAATTCCACGGTTACTCACGTTACATTTTTGATGTACTTTTGAGTTTCCTTGGGCTGTAATTACCTTACTGAAAAGGTTTAATAACTGTTATCCCCATGGTAGATAGAGTAGACCTAGACCTACCTGAGCACCAAAGATGACATCCAGAAAAATGTGTTATGTATGATAAACAAGACTCACAAAATCGGTTACTCACGTTACGAAAATGTAACGTGAGTAACCGTGGAATTGCCCTCCTGCCCTACCTTCAAAGTTGACCGTCATGGTGGACGACGCTTTGCCCTTCTCGTTCTCGGCCACCACCTTGTAGATGCCCATATCCTGGGGTGTGACGTTGGACATGTCCAGCACCAGGATGTAGATCTTACCCTGCTTGGTGGTGCGCAGGCGGTAGCGGCCCGCGTCCTTCAGCTCCTTGTTGTTGTAGTACCAGACCACCTGACAATGGCAACGACATGAACAATGCAGTAAAAATTGCAATGGAGGCAAAATAAAGGGGAAATGACAGTGATGATAACAGAACAATGGAAATGTATTACAAGTTGCTATAAAAGTTTAAGTTTCTCAGAATGCAAACCCTTTGTGTACAATAGCTGCGCATTTTTTTTTTTTTAACCCTTTCTTTACCATGGGCAACTGTTGTCAACATGTCGTGAGTCCTCATAAAATTCAATCTTATAATAGTTTATGTCGTACCCGCTGCTATGTACATCAGAGTCGAACCCGCCAACCGATCCCGTTAGCTCGGTGGTCGAGTGGTAAGACATCTGCACTAGAAAGCAGGAGGTCGTGGGTTCGAGTCCCACCCGAGTGATTTTTTTCCAACTTTCATTCGGGAGGTAAACACACTGAGTATACAGTGTTTAAACGTCGGTGAAGGGCAAAACCTAATTTGATTTATATCACCCCGGCGCAAAAAATTCCATCTTATAATGAAGTAGACTTGTTGAACAAAATCGTTGGAAATTTATATTTTTTGACTTGTTTTATTATTTGTCTCAAAGGTAATTTAGAATTGGAATAAACATGTGCTTGGTCAGTATGTACGTTTAAGACCGGCTCAGGGGACTGGGAAGGTTTGGGCCATTAAAACCAGCCAAGCATATATTTATTCCCTTAATAATGTGCAGCCCCAGCTTGTAATTGTTTAAAGCTAGCGTCCATCATTTGCAGTTATCCGAAAAGTAACTGGTGTAATTATTGTTGAAAAACATACTTGGTTGAAAGATAGTAAGGGGACTAAACTTCCTGTCAAGTTATTCTTTCTGGCAAGCTGTCATTTTAAAGAAATCAACGAAAGAAGGCCTTTCCAATGGTGCGTCTTAAGAAGCACCGTTGGAAATTTCCGTTAGTAGTTCGTTTTTTTTTATTCGGCGAAGTGCGCGCAAGTGTTGGCACGACGCACACGCGCGGTTGCTATAATTCGTCGGATCAGTGTGCGACATCGCATAGCTGCAGTCGGCTCAGTGAGAAAGTGTCTCGGACGCTGAATTCAGGCCCAATTCAAAACATGATTCAGCAACTTTTGATTTGAAATTGAGATCCTATAATGCTGTTTTTCTTGGAATATACAGCTGAAGCTGAGCTGAAACTTCATCAGGTTAGTTGTTCAGTACCCTTCTTTGTATTTTGAGCACTTTTGTTGCTTCAAACGAACAAAATGCACAAATTACAAATGATGGACTATATCTTTAAGGATTGTATATCCTGTCCGAACAAATTTCTACATACAACGATTAACGAAAAGCTGTTAAAAAATAAAATCAGCAAGTACGTGTATCACTCAGAATAACAGGCTTGGCATTTAAAGTCGGGGCATTTTCAGCACTGGCCGTTATTTTTTGATTGTTTATGTTTCAAATCTACATGTACAAACTAAATTATTTATATTTGATGCTATGTGTCTCCAGTCTGTCCCTTAACATGCTTAATGTCATTTCAAGTTTGTTTAGCAGAAGACCTTATTTTAACATGACATTTCCATGTACGGATGATGCTGACTATTAATATCGCTGATAGTGTACGGCATTCTCCGTCTGGTCTGTGAATCGCAGAATTTGTCCCTGGGACGAGCCTTGGCAATCTGCCAGGTCCCCGGGCCGGCATGCTTGGAATCTCGCCAATGTGACCAATGTATTAACTGCGACGCTTTATATGTAAAACCTCGTCCCAGGGCAAGGTTAAGCCAACCTCGTAATTCCAACTGCTTTAAAATAACCGTGACTCGCCCTGTCTGCCGGGACGTGAAGATATGAAGGCCGGAGCGAATGTTACAGCAATGCATTGTGGGATAGAGTGTCGGACTTTTAACATAACGGTCTGCTTCGATGAATTCATTGGCATAGATAAGTTGCCAGGTTTCCAGACAAGTATATTATTCTTGGTAGACCATTCATAGAGTTTTAAAAAATATATAATTTTTTTTGTTTCCTTGTAGATGATAACACAACATAGTTTCCATGAAATGCGAAGTGTGGAAATAAAGACTGATAGAGTTGTCTACACATATCTTAATTAACCACCATGGATAGTCTGTAAAGTCACAATTCAAGTGATTGGAAATTTTTATCTCTAAATCGTCTTGTGCTTTCTATAGGAACTCATAACTTCGAAAACTTTGAAGTCTAAAGATAATATTAAGTCCTGTTTCAAGCTCACGATTTTCCCATACGATTGCGTTTAAATATCACCAAGGCTGAGTGCCATGCCAACAATTGTAAACAATGAACTTTAGCCCTCACTAAATTACATGTATTATACAACGCCTGAATACATCCCCGTCATCTGATTGGTGAGTCGTTGATCACATGTCATTGAATTATTCGTCCCAACCTATGGCCCAGCCATTCCACGGTAAATAGACGTTCCATTGCACGGTCACAGCATTGGTGGCTCTGACCAAGCAGACGACGAGGATTTATTCAGGTGTTTAATCAAACAAATTGCACGAATGTTTCACATTTGTGCAATGGTAGTATTGCGCATGTCGACATGTGCATTGTAAAAGTTCAACCAATAAAATGGTAACTAAAAGGCACCGGATATCAAAGGAGTCAAAATTTCTTGTGACACTGGAAAAATGTTTCAGACCAGCCATCCGGTCTTTATCAACCGTTTAAAACCGGCCACGTGACAGGCTCTCGACCAATAGGAATGGGTGAACTGTTTTAAGTACAAGTATTTAGGAATAGTTGTTAAAATCCGTTAACGGTGGTAGTGAGGTTAATATAATTGTTACTCTTGGAACTATTGAAGTATTTATGAAAATTGATTCCTCACCTACAAATTTTGTAAAAAAAAATTGCATACTGGGCACTCACCTTGGGTCGAGGGTCGGCCATGACCTTGCACTCCATGACCAGACGACGACCGTTGTCCTCTTGCTTGATGGTAGGTTTCTCGATGAAGGTTGGGGCGCCCTCCTTGTTGGCTTCACGAACTGCGAGCAAACATGAACGAAACTCTTGAAATGAAGTCAAAATTCACATCTGAATACGGACATTTGTTGCATCATTTGCCGTGACCATAACTTGTTAACCATCACACCTAAACTTTTTCCCCTGCTTATGGAACCTTCATTTATGCTTGAGACTGTAACTTAGTATTAGGCAAAGTTTAGAAGCAAAATGTGGTCAATTTGTAAGTTTGCTTTGACAAATCTTTAGAAATAGAAATTTTCTTCAGGATTAGCACATCTACAAGGAAAAGCGAAATTGTTTGTCCATCTTTTGTCATAATCTTCCTTAATCCTTTGAAATCTACCTGGATTTGATGGATTTTGCAGGGACGAGGAAGGTCAAGTGCGATTGATAGCATTTAACAAGATAAAAATTAAAAATACCAAAAATAAGCTATTATTTTCCTGAAAATTGGAAGATATTCAGGAATGTTCCTTAAAAATAATAAGATACTTCACATATCTACCAACAATTAGGTACTAAAGGCGCTGTTAATTATGTCTATTTTTGAAGAAAGGTAAATGAAGTTTATGAGAAATATGAGACCCATAATGTAGCACCTTATAAGGGTTTACAAGGTGCTGCGGCGCATATTGCAGCCACTGCCAGAAACACCGGGGCAAACCCCTTCTCTTAGCGATAACTGTTACTGGGTTCTTTAACGTGCATTACACAACACACGGGACCTACGGCTTTACGTCCCATCCGAAGGACGAAGCAATAATGGTAAAGTGCCTTGCTCAAGAGCACAAGCACCATGTTCCCACGGTCAGGATTCGAACCAACGTACCACGGCACATGAGTCGAACACCATAACCACTGGACCACAGCACCCCAAAAGTGCTTTAGGAGTTCAGGTTAAGCAAGATGCAACAAATGGCGCTTACCGTCAAAGTTGAGGTTGATGGTAGTCCTGTCCTCCCCACCCTGATTACGGGCGTAGACCACATAGGTCCCGCCATCCTTAGGGCTGATGTTGTCCATACTCAGCATCAGCGAGTACTTGTCTGTCCCCTTGGGCTCCAGTTTCAGGTTGTACTTCCCGCCGGTGGGGATGCGTTTGTTCCCCAGGGTCCAGATGACCTCGGGTTTGGGGTCGGCCATCAGCTGGCAGTCAAAATAGACGGAGGTGCCGTCGTCCGACTGGCGCATGCCTGGCTTTCCGATGAAGGAAGGAGGAGTTCCCTTACTGTTAGAAAAAGGGGGGGGGGAATCAGTAATTGTCAGATGCAAATCATAAGCTTATCAATCTGGTGAAACAGGGTTGGATTCGATTCTAAACCAATCAGACTGCTCCGTTCAAATCTAGTATCAAGTCCCATATACAGTGTGTCCCTAAAAAGTGTCCGTCTAAATATTTTTGAAATAACAGCAAAACCACGAAGTAAATTTTGAGTTTTTTTAAATTTTGCAGATTCTCCTAAGCCTTAGGCCTAAACCCCTATGAGTGTTATTTAATTTCACTCACGCTACACTGCACAATGGTCAATTGATCACAACGACATTTTTGGACACTGTGACCAAGTTCCTTGCCTTAATCAATTTCAGTGCTTTGTTATGTAAGCTGTGTAAAATCCTTCATGTTGTGAAAAAGGACTGTGGTTGGGGATTGGAATCATTTGCCTGGCTATCAGTCGTGGCGCGGTGCAAGGCAGGCGAACAAAACTAGACTTGAAATGAAGTCTAGAGATGTACTGTAGGCTGCCTTGTAAAACTTTGAGAAGTTATACATCCATGTCGGCTGCAGCAGCTAATTTCACGAAACTTTACACCGTAGGATAACTCCACAAATGCAACTTTGTCAGTCATGACACATTTTATCAAAAGTTTCAGTGGAAAATTGTGTGTCTTGAAATACGCAACGAAGTATGGCATAGCTTATGCAGTCAGTATTGGCGGCGTAAGCTATGGCATAAAAATTGAAAATGTACTATTTTACTGACTAATCATAGTTGTCAAATGGTCTGTCATTGCCCAAATTATCAAGGTTGATACAAGAAACTCACAGCTTTGTTTGAAAAGGTAAATGTTATGCTATTTACCCTCAACCAAATTTTGAGAGCTGCCACACGCTTCTAAAGAAATGTTGTCAAAACTGTTTTCAAAACTACTTTCAACTTTTTTACTTACACCGGTGGTTTGGGTGGTTCCTCCGCGCCTCCCTCAAAGTTCAGGTCGATGGTCGATTTGGCGTCGCCGTGCTCGTTCTTGGCCATGATCTTGTACTTGCCAGCATCCTTAGCCGACACATCCGCGATGCCCAGCGTCAGGAAGTACACGTTGTCGTCGGGCTCCACATTCATCGTGTAGCGTCCGCCGGCGGCCAGCGGCACGTCGTCCTTGAACCAGGTGAGGGTCGGTTTGGGGTCGGCGGTCAGCTCGCACTGGAAGGTCAAGTTGCGGCCGTCCGGGGACTGCTCGATCTTGGGCTGCATGGTGAAGGACGGGGCACCGGCTAAGTTGACAAAAAGAAGACAACAAATAAACACATGGTGAACAATATGTGACCTGTTCTGTCAAAAGCAGACGCTTCTGGGCAGAGGTTGAAATTGAGATAGGGCCAAAACACGCTGTGGGGGTGATTTTTATCGATTTTCAAATTTTTGCATATTTGTAATCCTGAACATGTCTGAAATACATTAAAAAAATTGGAAACCCTAATTTGAACTTTACATGTACTATTTTTGATGATTTTGATAAGGTATATCAGTTAAAGAAATAACTGTTTTGTGTCGTTCGTGGCCATTTTCTCTGTTTTCTACTTTTCAACACAATGAACTTCAAAATAGCATAACTCTGCCCAGGAATGACTGGTATCAAAAATTAAACCACCTATTAATAGGAAAAAGAACATAGGTTAACAATATGTAAAAATATCATTTTCGACCGTATGCCCAGAAAAGTCTGATTTTGACAGAACAGGTCACATATGTGAAGGACAGGGCACTATCTAAGTGTTAAAAATGATTAAAATGTTTCGGCTCCTGGGGGTGCAACGGTACAAAGCGGAATGCAGAATAAAGAAAGGGATATGAACTGTAGCTAATTAAAATCTTCTTCGTCAGGGGATGGCAATGATTCAGAAACAACACATTGGGTAAAAGTCATGGAATTCACCACAGGATCAATGTTTTAACATCGGCTCTATGCACAAGAACATACTGAGTTTTGTCTTTCAAAGACATAATATTGGGGAATCGGGTTGGCGTAGTGGTACTTTCCTCGCCTTCCACCGCTGTGACCCGGGTTCAAATCCCGTCTGGGCCAATATCGTCACCGTTTTGACGAAGTGACACATCCGTCCAAAACCATGATTTTCTGAAATCTGAGATTTTTGGATATTCTAAGATTTTATGATGTCCTCTACATGGTTACCAAATTTCAAGACACAACATTCCATCGTTCGTTAATTACGCTAATTGCAATAATTACGCTAAGTGTTGAAAGTGCTACACACTGAGTTTTTCATTTTGACGAAGTGATGGATCTCTATGTGTCACTTCGTCTCATTGATTTTACACGTGTGCTATATTTAGAAATATGAAGCCTCCAGGATTTGCGTTTTGACGAAGTGACGCATCTGCGTTCTAAAATGTATAAATTTAATATACGCACACGCGCTGTGTACAAACATATGCCTCATTTTTGTTGATTTTCCGTTTTGATGAAGTGAAGAGACTTTCATGGGCTATCCCAGCCAAATTGCTGAATAATTACACATACAAACACAATAGAACAAGTGCCCTTGATAAATTTAATATGTAAACAGTACGAACTGGACTCACTCTGGAAGTTGAGCTTGATGGTATTGGTAGCCGTGCCCAGTTTGTTGGAAGCTACGATCTTATACTCTCCGCCGTCACGCTCCGTCACGTCGGTGATTTCAAGCGCCAAGAAAATGTACTCCCCGTCCGGGGTGTAGGTCAACCGGAAGCGGCCTCCGTCGCGCAGAGTGCTGTTGCCGCGGTACCAGGTGACCTCGGGCTCCGGGTCGGCCATCAGCTCACACTCGATGGTCAGCTTGAGGCCATCCTCAGACTGCCGCATCTTGGGTTTCATGGTGAAGTTGGGCGCCAGGCCATCGGCACCCCTTCAGGCCATTAAAAAAAAGGAACATTTTTAATAAGACGGCAAGTCCACAATTTTTTACGGCATGAAGCGATGCAGCGCGCACACCATGTTCAGGGTTTTCCGATGTGCAGTCACATGACCGATTCTGTTTGATCAATAGAGGGCGCTGTCATGCAACTGCACCTGGCCCAACGGTAACCGTCAGGCTAACTCGAAAGCCAGGCGCGCATTTCCAATGCCGTCACCTGGCCACCACAAATAGCCAGCAATGGGACCGCCGGCGTGCTGGCTGCAATTGGGCCGGTAGTAGTGATCAGGCAAACAGGAAAGCCAGGATTTGTTGCAGTTACAGGCTGGAGTCCGATCACATTGGCACTGAGTATGCTGCATCCCCACGTGAAAAGACAAAGTACATTCAGCAATGGGCTCCATGCGCCAACAAAAGAGGGCGCCCTTTTACCTAGCAACGACGTCCCTTGGGCGGGTCATTCGGTGGTTGACGCGCACCGTTCCTTGTGTGTGACGCACGTACACCAGGGGATTCAGTTGTACTGTGTAAACGCAGCGCTAGTTGTGGCCTCGCGTCGCGGCAAAATTGCAGTCAGGCAAGATGGCGTCGGTCGGTCACCCCCAACTTGTACTTTCTTTGCCGGTGAGGGGGTACTTGTGAACGGAGCGGATTATGACTCATGATAAAAGTTTTGTGATCTTTTTATGTTTCATTGTGACTGTAAGCTGCAGGTTTCTTATGGACTGGCTGAACAAAAGTTTTGGGTAAACGGAGGTACCGGTGTGGTCTTTCGAGTTTACAGGGGTATTCGTGTACAGACTATACTATTCTCTTGACGGGAATTATCCAAGTTATCCGAGTTTGACTTATCGAGATTTCCCTTTTTTAATTTAATTGAGGAAATGACAACTTACCCTGGTTTTCCTTCACCTTCTTCTTCCTCTGTTCAGGGCGGAAAAAAAAGGAGTAGTAATTTCAGAAAAATGGGGGGGGGGAAATCTTGGGAAGTCATGAAAATTTGGTAACGACATAAACATTGTGTCAAAGTGTGTGACTGCTCAAGTACAAAACCAGTCAGACCATTGCTATGTATTCAGAGAAGATTTTTATGTATTTTCTTTTAGGCCAAAAAAAAAAATAAGTCGGTCTCTGGTCAGCGCGTGCATCGATTTTAATCATGCGCGTCGATCTTTTTTTTTTCCAAAATGTTCCGCGGTAGCTCCAACAGCGCCCTCTATTTCCGCACCTCCTCAATTTTTTTTTACCAAAGGGCACCAAGGAATGGGAAATTGCATCAAGGCAAATGATCGAGAGCACCAAGGCAAATTTTGGAGGACACCAATGTACATGAGGACACCAAAAAAGAAAAATAATCCAAGCTTCATTTTCAATAGTTAAACAATGTTAGACAACTCACCGCCAAACTTGAGATTGATGGTGGCACTGGTACTGCCGGATTTGTTCTCGGCGACGATCTTGTAATTCCCAGCGTCCTCGCCAGACACGTCCTCGATCTCCAAGGCAACCTGGTAGCTGTCGCCGTCGGGCTTGGTGGTCATGAAGTAGCGCCCACCGTCGCTCAGCTCTTTGTCGTTCAGGAACCATTTGAAGTTTGGCCGGGGTTCGCCGGCGATGCGGCAGGAGAACTTGAGGACCCGGCCGTCATCCGATTGGTCGAGGATCGGTTTCTGGACAAACGTGGGTCCGGACTCTTTCACCATTGTGATCGTTGATTACAGAACCTGCTCAAAAAGAGCAAAAAAGAAAACAATTATGGAAATTTTATGGGATTTGAGCTACTACAATTGTTACATTCTACATTACGAAAAATTCAGAAAACTGCTGCAAATTAGTTTCTGACTGAATCGACCTGAAATATGCAAATTACAAAAGTTAGCAGGCTTGACATATCGATGCTGGCAGGTTTACAATACAGGGTGAGTACGAAAAAAACACTAACAAATGGCAGGACCAATTTTGGAATGAAGTTTTGCCTGTAGCACTTTCAAAATCTAGGATATGAAAGCCCAGTCATTAAGCTTTTATTTTAGTACAAGAATCATTCAGATCACTCATGTACTTATCAAGTTACGGCATTTTGAACACAAACACCGTTTTAAAGTTCATTCCACGGATCACAAAAAAAAGTAGATGTTCTTTCAGCAAAACGAAAACAATTCTCATAGGGATGCATGTGAATTGTTTTCGTTTTGTGATCCGTGGAATGAACTTTAAAATGGTGTTTGTGTTAAAAATGCTGTTACTTGAAAAGTAAATGAGTGATTTGAATTATTCTTGTACTAAAAGAAAGCTCATTGATGGGATTTAATATCCTAGATTTTGAAACTGCTACAGGCAAAACTTCATTCAAAAATTGTCAAATTGTTCCTGCCATTTGGGATGCATTATTTTTACTCACCCTGTACAGTAAACTTCATTGTACATTTTACTTTTAAACACACAAATTGCTATTTCCCCAACTATTTCGAGTATTGTCAACATTAATACATTGAAACTTTGAAAAAGTTTTATGTAGTGATTATAATCATCCATTTGCAATATATTTTACACATTATATATAAATATAAATATTGCCTTTTTATTTGTTTCCAACAAAATTGTAGCTACAAGTATGTAGAAAGGCTTATGGCTGTGGACACAATTTGTATCAGCAAAAGATCAACCTTATGTGAGAAAAGTGAGATTTTCAACAACAATTTGGGTATTTCAACTGCAAACGTGCACTTCATTTAATGATTATGCCTACTTTGGATACAACTTTCTTTAGAATGGTTATCAAACTAGACGGAAAAAATGTTGCAACCTGACGCCACTTTTTTCTTCATAAATCAATCTCAATGAAGGTCATTCATTGCAAAAATGACGATAAAAATAAGACATGAATCTGGGACTGAGAAACATTTCCAAATTGTTAGGAACTATTTTAACTTTAAAAAAAATTCTTGACTCTCCATAGACTATATATGTACACAATCGCGGAAGTGGCGTCAGGTTGCAACATTTTTTTCCGCAGGCAGGTATACCTATTAACTAAGAAAAGGTGTACAAAATACTAGACATGCTAGAAAAATGTTCAAGGTTCACAAATTCATTTTCACGAAACTGGGTCAACATAATCCTGCCCTTCAACTTTCAAGGCGCCAATCTTGCATACCAAATACTGGACCGGGCCGATCGCGCCATAATAAACTCATCAGGCAACAACTCCAGACGCCAAACGGCAAGCAGTCGTCGGCAGACATAGCTAGAATTTCAGCAGGGTCGAGCTAAAGTTGGGGAAGGAACGTGTGGAATTTCTTCGCACATTAAAAAAATCGTACTCAGAATCGTATTCGATCGCACATACACACGTACACACACGTGAAGTTGTTTTTAATCGGCCCGCGAGCGATATCGCGGAAATGGACTGATGTCTGGACTTATCATGTGCAGAATGTCATATCCAAAGTTTGACATTGTTACCAGACTACTGTCATCATGGCCATTTTTAAAACTTCGTCTTTGTTTAAAAAAATCAGCTTCAAACTCGCGTACGTACGTTGTTGCATGATTTTTGTAAGTTCCCAACTTTGGAGATTATCGCTTAATTATGAGTTTTGAATTAATTAAAGTGAGGCTTTTGAACTTTTAAAGTGAGGCTTTTGAAGTGAGGCAAAATGTTGTTGCGTGTTCTTTTTTTGTATCCAACGTGAAACTCTCTGGATATGGGGACAAAGACGACATCGGAGACACACCTACCGAGTCGCGGGCAAGTTTTGTGAAATAGCCCAAAAACCGAAAGCAAATCGAAAGACATGGACGTAGAAGTTATTCTGCTTGTCCATTTTTTGGAGTTTTACCCCGCAAAAGAAATTGATTTTGTTTATTTGCTGCTTGTATATCAATACAAAAAAGTCGTTTAAGTTTGAATGAGAAATCGAACGAAAACAAGCTGCCTGCATTATTCTATTAACTAATGGAAAAACAGATTTTATTGCGGCCGGCCGTATTAAAATTCGGCTCTTGTAGGTAGATTGGTGTCGGTCTCCTGACAGAATCTATTATGTTGGGACCGAGAACCAGCCTATTCGCAGGGAGGTTCAGTTTGTGCTAATAACCAATCATAACAAAAAATAGGCGGGAGAAAAAAATATGATCAAAGTTTGTTGTAGGCCTACAGCACGTATATACGCGGACAGTAATCTGTACTGAAACGAAACTATTGCTCTATAACTTATTTCATCAACACATCGCACTTAGCTCCGGCCAAAAGAACTTCAATCTAATCAAAAACAGGCCCGTACCCAGTGGGGTGCGCCGGGTGCGTACGCCCCCCCCCCCAAACAAAATCCAAATTTTTAAGGGGTCTATGAAATGAATTTTTCTTAGAACAGTATTTTTTTAGGAAATGTATGAAAACTATTCGGACATCCCTTTTTTTGGGTTAATTTTATTGAATAGCGAACTTCATTAAACAAATTCAAAATATCCATGCTTTTCCGGACAACAGAGGTCGATGTTGCTGTTTGCTGTTCAAAATAATGTGAACCCAAACATTCTGCTCAACAAAAAACATTAATGAGATTGGCCTTCTGCCATGTACTGACACTACAACGAATCAGCAAGGAAATGAAAACGACAGCAAAATATCCAAAATTCTGGCAACTTTTGGTGCTGAAACTTTTGGTGCTCATGAATTGATATACGCATTTTGAATTAAAACCTAATTAACTTTCGTAACTTGGCATTTTTTTTAATGAAAGTTGTCCTCATTCAGGATAGATCCCAAAAGGATCGGGGTTTCTTTATTTGAGGGTCGATCGAGTTTGTAAAAGAATTTATATTTAAAACTTGTAAAATATAACTTTATTTCGGGAGCCGGGAGGATGCATAATAACGGTCTTCGGGGCAACCTATCAAAATGAAGCCTGTCATGTGCAATTAGTCTGATCGGCGCCCCAACCTTGACACGAAACCACCCATAGTTTTTAGTCAACAGTTATTTTAGCCTTATTTGTAACTTTTTGTTTTGCCTGCTCTTTTTGCCTCCTGTTACACCGTCCCTAGTTAATGTGCCGGTTCTGATGGGAAACATCATTTCTATAACACGTCAAAATTATTGAAGTATATTCTCGAGTGGCTAATCCTGGGGGGGGGGGTGCAGAGCGCGGCGCCCCCCCCCCTTCCCCAGCAAGGACCGGAATGTTCTCAAATAAGGCCATTTTCACTTGTGAGAGCCCTCCCCCCTCACAGCCTCAGCCCCCCCCCCCCCGGCATAACCTCTCTGGATCCGCCCTTGCCTGCAGTATGCACTGAGCACCTAAAAGATATTGCTATAAAATCTTGCCAGAATATCCTCTACCACTCGTTTTTCGGTTAATGACAATGGTTTATTCTTAGCTTACAGCACCCAACAAAAACCCACATTTGCCTTTTGGTATATCTTACAAAAATCGTTGAAACTTATAATTGTTTTGGATTTCAGTAAAAAGAGATTTGCGCGCCTGAACCAAATTTCCAAGGCTAATCGATGACTAGCAGTTCAAGCAGTTGAACGGACGATCAGATGTATTGCATGCATGTCTTTAAACGTTAATTAAAATCAACCTTTAAAGTTAATTACACTGATTAGCACTTTATGATGAATAATTATATGGTCCTGCTTTTGATGTTCAGATATTCAGAGGTCTTGAAACATATTTTCCTGAAAGTTCTTCTTCGCTGCAGTATACCAGTGTACGTAGGCTTTTTTCCCGGCTGTTGATCATGAATGAGCAAGCCTAAATTCCTGACATACTATCGGCTAAATTACATTGAGATAACACACACACACGCCCAAAAAGATGCTACCGCTCGCGAACTGAAGATGCTTACTTAATTGAAGCCCGGTTCAAGTTTTAAATATCAAGGCTTCTTTTTTTTCTCGCCAAAACTTACCGCTTTCCGAGGCGATTTTTAAACTATCCTCATGTCCAGCTGACAAGGAAGCTCAGTGATAAAATAATCCAAGTTGACTTTTTCTTTATTCTTCCTTTTATGTTTCTTCGTCGATGATGCGGAGCCGAGATACAGCCAGATCTGGGAGCAAAACTCAGAGATGTCCAGAAGACGAACGCGATGAGACCGGTGCGCAGAAGACGGAGAATTCGCCAGGAATTTTCCTGATGCCGTCTTGGGCCGCACTGCGCATGTCCGCCACGCGTGCCGTCTTGCAGTCGTGTGGGTGTGCGTGTGATATGCATTGGCAGATAGGGTCAGCACAGATATGCGGCAGCTTACCATAAAAGGTTCGCACGCTGTTGGGTGGGGAAACCGCGCATATATACACAGACGTTATCTGGTTCGAATTCAGTTTGTGCTGTGCTACGGAGAAATGAAGATACAGACGAATTCTCCTTCATTTGCTCAGACCGAGTTTTATAAACAACTGTCAGTTGTAAATGCCCCAGTATTTATTGTGTTGTTATTGTACAGGGTGGATAAAAAAAAAACGAAACCGAGATATTATTGCTAATTGGAACAGAAGTAGGGCACATGTGAATAAAAGGGAGATATCCTCTGTTAGGGTTGAATCTCCTCTTTAAAATGACACCCTGATCATGTCCTTACATTCACGTTTGACTGAGCAGTGACCAGAGGTGGCAGCAAGTCACTTTTTGCAAGTCCAAGTCAAGTCACAAGTCACTGTTTGCAAGTCCAAGTCAAGTCACAAGTCATTAGGTCCAGTCACAAGTCAAGTCACAAGTCATTAGGTCCAGTCACAAGTCAAGTCACAAGTCATTTAATTGGTCTAAACACAAGTCAAGTCACAAGTATCTTTGTCCAAGAACACGTCAAGTTGCACATAATTTTTTTCCAGCTGTAATAAGCTAAAAGAACCTGGCGTTTGAACTTACAAGTTATTTTTAACATGCCTCCTTAATTCCACTTTTTCAATGTGTTGCAATTACTATTCTTGTAGTTTATCACATATCTGTCGGATATATTAGCCCTTTGTATACTTTAATACATTTACTTTACATTGTAGAAATAAATGTTGAGATGACATGAAAAAAAAGACTTCACTCACTCGATTACATGTAGTATACTAACACTTTATTGTTCAATTTTCATGTATACTAAACGCCTACCAATGGGTTAGGCTATCCGGTATTTTACATGCAATTGATAAAGGCCTGCTTTCTTTTCATGAAAGGTTCCTTTCAAATTTTGTTCAACCATTACATTTAGCAAGAGACTTGGTCATTGAAAACTGTAGTTTGTTGTGACAGTCTTATTGAAAACTTTTGAAACTAGTGGGAACTATTCATTTGACTGGATTAATTAAGTCACTGAGGTCTATTTTCTGGAATGAAACTTTCTCGCTATAATAGCTTGATTAAAGTGTATTGGGTCGCTCGAGTAGCGTCTGACTTGCGTTGGTAACAAGTCATTTTTTGCAATCCCAAGTCAAGTCACAAGTCATTGTTTGCAAGTCCAAGTCAAGTCACAAGTCAAAGCTGGTATTTACAAGTCAAGTCACAAGTCACAAAAATAGCGACTCGAGTCCGACTCGAGTCCAAGTCACATGACTCGAGTCAGCAACTCTGGCAGTGACCAATTTTATGAAAGGGTCTATATAGAGTCTTGCGCCACTTTTCATGGTGAATCTCATTTTCCCCCACCTGCCTTGATTGGCAACCATAGCCTTTTACTCTGGGACAATAATTGACACAACAAAAACCACAATTGAAAAGTGGCGCAACAGACCCTTTTATAAAATGGAAATGGGCGTTGCCGGGATTTTTTTAGAGAGGCAAAGCAATTTTTCCCCACAAAATCCCTATATTTTCCAGCATTTTCCTGGTTGATCATTTTTTTCGAGGGTGGGCAGGGACATTTGCCCCTCCCCAGCCCATTAAATTAAAAACAATATGCTTTCGCGCCCGTTCTTCTTTTTATTTTCTTGCCGGGGGGGGGGGGGGGTGGGGGGAGGGGGGCAAGCACCCCTCCCCCCTCATGACGCCCATGGCCAAGTCCTCCTACACGACTAGACAGCACACAGCAGTTTAGAGCGGTATAGTAAGTTTTGTTTTCTTTTTTTATTTTTAAAATGCCTGGAAGCGACAACTATATGCTTTCCCGTCCCCGAGAGGGGTAAAAAAAGAAAGTAGTCCATGAAAAATACAACTAAGAATCGTTTCTTAAATTAGGGTAAATTTTTAAGAGTACATGCACACTTTGTGCAAGTTTATACGCGAGACCCTTCTTTAAAGTGATATATGCTAGTTTTGGGTGGGGGGGGGATTGCAAATTTGCTTGAAGGATGTCTGCATTTAAATAAATTCTTCAAACCCAGGCCCCTATCCGTCGGCAACTTAGGAAATTTCTAAGGCACATTGAATAAAAGGCTTAAAGATAGCTTGAATAATAATTACCCCTTTCAATATTTACTTTCACTGATAACCCGAAACGACAGCCTGATGTATTCAATGTGAACACTATCAAACCGAGCAGACGACTTTGGCCCAAATCTTCAACAAACAAGTTTTTGGAGGGCGCGCCGAATTGCACCTGGCGAAAATTCTTCCGTTCCTATTGTTATGCAAATTAGAAACCGCACGCGCACGCACGACTTGTGCATGTTTGTGCCACACTAAACTTTTGACGGGAATGCCGGCCGTGCACAAGATGCGAAACTGTTGAGGACGTTCAAGTTCATTGGCTGGGAAGGGCGATAAAATGACCGTCGTTTCACCTCGAATCTTCGTTTCTACCTGTTTCTGAAACAGAAACACTTTCTAGAACAAACTTGGACACAAACTTGCGACATAGTTACCATGCCGGATCAACGTACATTAAGGGAGAAACTTTTACGGCCTTGCTGAGAACGTTATCATGCCGCTGCTGCGCCTACTTCAAACAACGTCGCCATCTTCGATTTTTGCCAAACGTGTATTTGCTGCAGTAGACTGAAATGTGTTTCTGCAACCATGTGAGGGGGAACTTTCAGCAGTTAGTTATCCTGGGCTTTCCAAGAAGGTCACTGTATTTAAAGAAAAGGACAACGGACGGGCGAGCCAGTGGATGCAATGTGCTTCGGTGAGTTGTTAAACATGTTTTTAATATTTTTTCATTTAGAAAACTTTCCGATATAAATGGCATAGTTACTCACCTAATCACCTTTAGAAAGTAACAGCTGGTAAAGGCCAGTTTTAATTTCTCTTTCTGCTTCATGACCCTGAAAGATTTCGTTTAAGGTAAGTCCGAGAGCCATTTGGTTGACAACTGACGCATGGCTAGCCCCATAAATGTGGCCAATTTACTGGACTTCCTCCGTAAACATATATATAGGCCACACATCCACATGTACAAAAACGTGTCGCACTTTGTCAAATTTTGATTTTCACATTTAGGCTTAGTTTGTAGGGTTTTTTTGCTTTAGAAGCATACTCACCCTCTTTATAGGCTAATCAGAAAGTGCTGCCTTTTTCAGATGTCTAATTTTTGTGAAATTTCATGTTGAAATTTTGATACGCAAACGTGTGCAAATGAATCTGGAAATTTCACAAAAATAGACATCTGAAAATGGCAGCACTTTCTGATAAGCCTATATAGAGGGTGAGAATGCTTCTAAAGCAAAAAAAACCGACAAACTAAGCCTAAATGTGAAAATCAAAATTTGACAAAGTGCGACACGTTTTTGTACATGTGGATGTGTGGCCTGTGTTTTCGGAGGTAGTCCAGTAAATTGGCCACATTTATGGGGCTAACGCATGGCCAACTGTCGACTTCCGTAAAAATAGCAACAGCAAAAATATATAGAGGGTACTAGTACAATACCCGGTTATTTAGTGGACCTAAGCCGTTCCCCTGTTTCACAAATAAGCAGACATAACCGTTGTCATATCCTGTGACTTCCACGTAGATTAATTACCCCAAAATGAAATCTGTCAAAATTAACCTGAATTCACGGTAGCCTTTTCTTTGGTACGTATTAGTGTGGTGGGGGGGGGGGACAATTAACCTACCCCCATAGGCCTTTTTGCTAGGATGCAACCTTAATCCTGCCAAATCCTCCAACTGCATGCCTTTATGTAAAGATTGCATAGGCCTACAGCCTCAATCCTGCCATATCCGCCGTTATTTCTTGAATGGCACCCTGAAGCAGTGCGGAGGATTTCAAATATAATGCATGCGCCTAAATGTATGCACAGCTGAGCATAAACAACACAAGGTCTGGCCCAAGAATACCTTGACTCAGTGCATCTAAAATCAGCCGCATATTTTGCCATATAGCGGAATTCTGCAAAATCCTCCATTTTGCAAAGGGGATTTTAGAGGATTTGGGAAGGTTAGGGTTAAATTAATCACACCAGCACAGTGTTCATTAGACTTAATTCCGCACGAGCTCGCAATGGACACGGGCTTTATTCCGACTGTATTTTCCAGTGATAACAAGTTTTGATTTGCAAAATATACTAACATCCATCAAACTAAACTGTGTAAAATAATAAATACATGTATTTTAAAAAAAACCTGCAGACTGCGTAATTGTCTAATAGGCACATTCATTTTCAATGGCACACACTCTAATCATTAGTAAATTCAGAGTGCGTTTACCAACTTCACCTCAAACCCAAACATTCCATTTCTCTTGCCGACACCTGCTGAATAAATGTCAGATTGTAAGTAGCTATATTGAAAACGAACATAAAAAAACACCTTACAATAGCCGTACACATTTTTATAGGTCACAACGATTTCTTGCCACATTCAAGCTTTGAAGATAGTATCAATGGTACTTAAGAGGCTTGTAGATTCTTATCCAGTAATCCAGAAATCTTGCCTTTTCCTTGTTTCCATGCTTGTGTTTGTTTCTCACTTGTTTATAACTATTCATTCTCACATTCTTTCATTGGATGATTTAATAGAATCGAAACAGACCCTCTACGAAAGTAATTTCTGAAAGGGCTAATTTACTACTGGATATAAATTCTGATCTGACTAATTTACTGCTGAAGACTGTCGACAAGGCTCTAGACCTGAAACTTTTGGAGTAAACTGCAGATGTAGTAGCTGATGCCCCTAGTTTCGTTTTTCTGCAGTAAGTCCCATAGGGATACCCGTCAGCGCCAACCCGCATGGCTCTCA